CTCCATCTTCAGGTGGTGGGGTAAGCATCTGCATGGAGCCGCAGCAGCATATAGGAGACGATCGCAGGAGGGACAAGAAGTGGCAACTGCATTCTCAAAAAGGAATCGAGGTTTGCGGCCATGAGACAAGGGACCCGGTTAAGTTATTGCCATGCCATCGTTTTTAGTACTGACAGCGACGGTGCTTCTCTCGGCGCCTGTCCAGGCGTGCGTCGGGGCTGCAGAGGGGGCACGGGACTGGGACGCCAATGCAAAATATCACGATCTGCCAGTTTCCGATGCGCCACGCCTCACATGACCACGTTTGAGCCGCCTCGCCCTGCCGCTCGTGTGAACTCTGTTGAGGCCACGCGCTGTACATGGCAATTAGCACCTGGCTGTTCAAGTACAAAGTCGTCAAACAGCAGCAAAACAGAGCATGCGTAGGCGGGGCGAACCATCCGACGCCACAAGCGCTTAGTCGCTTCCTGATCATCGACCGATCTCCAGCATGCCGACGCAGGGAACCATGACCTTGGACCACGCCCTTGGGCCTTACCGCGGTTGGGCATTCTATACCGCCTTTCCGTCTTAGATTATACCATTATACTCATGATACAGATCGCCCAAGACCCTGTTTGAGCTTTCGTTTCTTGACGTACTCGTGCGAAAGCAGTCTTGTCGGCAGCTATCACGACATGCAAGCTGATCTCTCTCCACATTAACCATGCACCGCTGCACAGTGCGCAATGCCCCACCAGCTTCGAGGACGGGCGTCGCGTGCCGTGGCCTTGCTCCCAAGGCGCCCTGTTCTTGCTGTTGAATGACACCCAAGGGCAGTCTATCCTTGTCGCCAGAGTCAGGAATCCATCAAGTAAGTACATGCTGCGTGGGTACGGCAGCCAACGCACCAGACAACACTTCCTAGCGGCCTGTCACCTGTGCTGTATCATCCGTGTTGACACTCCCGTCTTCTGTGAATCGAGCAACATCCTCCTTGTGGGAAGCCGGATTATGCCCCAAGAACTCGAAATAATCTACATACTCACAGTGCTACTTTTCCATCAGATTTCGCCGGCATCATCAAGGATATCCCAGAGCCGCAAAGAACGGAAATTCTGGGGATTGCTGTTTGCGGAAATTCATCATCAGCACAAACTAAAATGAGGCAGATTGTCTCATTAGCCATGCCGAAAACATTTCTTGAGTAGCCAATTTCGAAGCTGGGCGACACTATATTCCGCTTACTATTCCATACGAGGCCAATCCGAGACGATGTGATACTGAGCGTCATGGTCATAGATGGTTTAGACCTTTCTGCACGAACCCTCGACATCCTTCACCCCCAGCTCCCCATGCGGCAAGAAAATTAAAACCTTAACTTTCGTGTTCGGCGACTTGCATGAGGCACAAAGGGGGCGCATACGAACAAATTTCTTGCGATTCTCCAGCCCTGTGGCTATACAATGGAAAACTCTGAAGCATCATATTCTTCTTTTTCATCGATACCTGAACCTATTCTTTTCCATGGTTCCGAGGACTTGGGTTTGGATAACAGCACACACGATGTTTGACAAATATCAGTTAGTTGTTGTTGTAATCAAATTCGGGAGTGAGTAGATGTTGATCTTTTTTTCAGTCTTATCATTTTAAGCGCCATGCTACGAAAGTAAATGGTCTAGACGCTGTTATCTATCCCTTGAGAGAAAATCATTCCTGCAAGTATCCAAAACGCCCCCAACACTCTAAGACTCGATGGCAGATTTCGCAGTGGCTGTGGTAGAATAACAGGCCACAATGGCAACACACAGGCCGATTGACTGTCTGTGCATGGCCTTATCAATTTGGGCAATCATTGAGATACGACTAAGTTGCACCTGCCAGGCGACGGAGTAGCTCTACGAACGATTTGTAAATTACAAAGTTATGACAGCAGGTGTTCCGCAGCTAGCCGGAAGTAGTTAGCGCCAGACAGTGACTCTCCTGTACCAGATCAACACTGGAACATAGCAGTCGTGCTGCGTCTCTCAAACTCTCGTTTCCTGCCTGAGGAAGACAGATGTCTCGATGACAAGAAACAACACCCTGAGCTACCTATTTCTGTTGACGATTAGCTTCTTTTATGTCTTTTTGTCTATAACAATCCTTGCGCTTTTGTTCCTTAATTTTCTGATGCGGATACATGCTGTCATCTACTTCGCGGCCACTTGCCAGCTCCTCTTCCATCTCTTCAACAGCTTTCCGAGCCACCTCCTTTAGGTCTACAGGTCCTTGGGCGGGGTCTTCTGTCAAAGCAATATTTGGGTTGTTGAGTTCTCTACCGTATACCGGAATTTTCCTTCGGAGCTTATCATAGACCCTCTTCATCTCGTCATTTTGATGTCTGCTGCAGCCAACTGACATTACTTTTATCTCCATGCCACATCGGACCCAACCAATATTCTTGATATAAATAGTCCCAGCAAGGACAGTATTTCTGATGTAGGCCTTGACCAAAGCAACTAGCTGTTCTTACATGACTATCGCAATGATGAAGCACTTTGGTAGTAGTGCCTTTACGGATGTTTGTGACGTTAGGTCCCCAATCGTCAGCGTCGACATTGGGACCATGGACAAGACGGTCAAACTTCTTGATGTTCTGGCCGTCTATGATTTCGTCATCCTCAAAGATATGGTAAACATGTGTACCAGTCTGGTCACGCATACGGTGTTTAGTCCGCTTCATTCTCAGGCTCGATTTAAATTTGATGAGAAGGAGGTTTGTGTTGTTATGTCACGTTGATGGAATTAGTGAACTACAAGGTCCACGGTCAAGGCGAAATATATATCTTGTGGGCACAGTCCGCAACAATCAATTAAGTGGGTCCTAGAAGGTTCAGATTGGATTGATTGATTACCGCTTTAAGCCTAGTAGTTACCTATAGGAGTTTAAGCCCTACCTAGATAGGTAAGTGGGTCTAGGAGAGTGACCGGATTGAATTGATTGTTGCGGAGTCTACTTGTGGGAGTGTCTTATATTCATGTTAATGCCAGGGGCTCAGAGCATGATGTCTTCCGCCTGATTTCGTTGGGCATGAATGCCTCTCATATACAACTCCCTTACTTCGGAAAAGAAGGTGAAACCCTCTGGGTTAGTGATGGTATCATGTATCAGGCTCCTATTTGGTGTAAGTCCAGGGGTTTCACTACAGTGATTTCAATATGGTTCAGGGCAAGAGCATTTTGCATTCTCATTGTTAGTACAAGATATACTGACGCTCGATAGGTAGCAAATCACTTCTAAATGGCAGCCAAAGGACTTGCAGACATTCTTTTAGATCATAAATCTCTACTCCTCATCAAACCCCCGTAGAGAATCACTGTCGGGTCAAAACAGCTCGCTACGGCAACCCGGCTGACATTTTCCAATTATATCACCGGGTTACGCCTAAGTGTATAAGAGACCACTTCCTTCCTCATAATATCTATTCAACAAATCACAATCCATCTCATTACACAAAACCCACTAGACTTGATTACTAGCTTCAACATGTTGTTTAGTGCTCGATCAATGCTTACACTATGACCCCAAATATAACGGCTCCAATTCATACTATTAGGAGTCAGGACTAAGCCATCGGAGCCACCGCTTTCATCTCAAGCTTCACACTCGTTCTCGAAAGATACGGTAGGACAGCCGAAGGGGCTTGACTCTCGGACTAAGCGTGCCTTCAAGGCGCTTTTCTATTGCACAGTCAACTAAATTTTTTGAAAGAAGAATAACGAGTCCATTTTAGACATCACGCAGTCGGGAATATTGTCGCCCTTCTCGTCGATCCATACGTCATCTACACCAGAGTTGTTAGGATACCGTTAGTTGCCATCTAGTCATAACGATATTGGAGCCGATGTCTCAAATTCTTCTAACTTGACATCGTCTTGGGATTTGAACCCGACTGCCTCGTTGGAATCTCCTACCCCACACTCCAGCGTTGCTACCGAAATTGCTGCCACTAGAAACGACGATGAGGATGTGCATAGCAGCAGCAGTAACAGCCACAGCAGCCACAGCCACAGCGATGACGAAGATGATGACAGCAAGTGGGAGCAAGTCCGTGTTATTCCAGACGCGCAGTACTGTAAGCTTGTTCTAATGGCACCCACTCTTTTACGCAAGATGAAGCTTAGTGACATCGCAGTCACTGCCCATCGCGAAAGCTCATTCCATCGCGCCACTCTCGTTCATATTTTCCGCAATTCCAAAGTTGAGGACTGTATCGTTCGTGTTCAAGCTCGTGGTTACCCCACAGCTGTGGTCCCAAGAAGACGAACACATGTTGGAGCGCGAGACGGATATGGTGCGTTACATTCAATCGTCACACCAATACGCCTATTGCAGAAACTTCCGATTACGAACCGACCCTTTGCAATGACCTAGGCATGCCTTATATTGTAGAGGCTCATATCAGCGGCCCCTCGGCCTACGCTCTCGGTTCTCTGATGATAAATAATATGATGTTCGAGCCGCCATATTCAACGGTGACAATCCATCCCCAGAGGCTGAAAACAAGCATTTCAACTTTCTACGCTCTTTGGCCCGTGCCATGAATGAGCTGGGGACTTGGGCGGTGGAGATGTAAAGGACTTTGCCACCAAGCTTCTACAGTCAATTCCTCTAGTGCATCGCATTCCTGTGACTGAATATCTCATTGTTTTGGGTCGTGGATTGCCTCATTAGGAGGTCCTGCTGGAGCATGATATTGCTACCATGTTGGAGCTGCAGTTGCCAGATGAGAAGTACTTTGAGCTGATTCGTTCGTTAGAGCGTGTGTCTGAGCCGGCGTCGCCTACGAGCTAGACTCTTAGGTCGATGCGTAGCAACGACTATGTGTCAACTTTGGCGAATCGAAAATCTAGGCAGTCGGTCCAGGACGGTTAGTGTGGTGCACTGTCTGTGAAGGTCGACGAGGGTACAGGCAGGGCTTAGAGCAAAGAACGTTTTTAGAGGCATCATTTTTGTGCCGTTATCAGCTTAGTCTCAAATTATCTTCTTCTCCCGCTTACACTTGACCTAAACATGGATATAAAATTGTAAATCCTATCTCCACCCATAAATCAACCTACCCATCCCCAACGTCTTCCCCACCATCCCCAGAGCTCCATCCCATCCACCTATCCCACCGCCCCACCCTTCCAATCCTTCCCCAAAATTCTCCTCAACTCCTTTTCCTCATACTTCTCCTGCGGCTGCTACAAAACACTGTTAGCTCAATTCTCTACTTAATCCCCCTTTCTCACCAAACACACATACCTCAATAAATACCGGTCCCTGATACTCCCTCCACACCCCCACATACTCACTCAGCGCCCGCAAAACAGTAGTATCAATATCCAACGGCAACCCACCAACACCCTCTTCAGCATCAAACACCATCGCTACCACCGGCCCGCGGAACGGCGCTCCCAGCGCTTTGTTCAAGGCTAACGCGCGTGTGCCAGCGGGATTGGTATCGTATGTGAGTTGCACGAAGAAGGGAAGGTAGCGGTTGTGGAAAGACAGTTTCTTTGTTTCGGTGAGGGGCACGGCGGGGAAGAAGGAGGACAAGTTTGGCGTGCGTGTTGGTGTTGGTGTGGCGTTGTTGGTGGACAAGGTGAGGTAGTGGAATGTGGGTTTTGTGGCCGAGAGCGGGAAGAAGAGGATGCGTCTGGTTGTTGTTTTCTCTGGGCGCTGGGTGAGAGAGGCGAGGTAGCGTTTGCAAACGGGTTTGTGCAAGGGCCAGTCGGTGGTTTGGCAGGTGGCGGAGCAGTAGCGGATGTTTTTGCAGGTGCTGCATTTTCGGGGGGTCGGGGTGTGGCAGGTTGCGCAGAGGTTGGGGGTGGTTGTGGGGGAGGGGACGGGGGTGTAGTCTTCGAGGATGAGGGGGTAGCCGAAGTCTTGGGGCGAGGTGGAAGACATTGTTGGTGTGGTCGTGGAGGATGAGATTGGTGGTAAGATATCAGTGGCAGTGCTTGGGGTTGCAAAGTTGTTATGAAGATAAGTAGCTAAGGACTCAGAAGAAGAGAGTGTCCGAATAGCGATATATATACGAAGTAAGAGTGCTTATCTAGGCGTCCTTCTTTCACCACGACATGTCTCACCCACGCCTTTACTTGTTTGTCAAACTCCCTGTTAATTTATCACCTGGCTCAATAAGGCTTGTAAAGCCACTGAGATGGGTGGAAGTAGACATCAAAATCCACCCCGCCGAACACACCAATCGCAGGAAACAAGTCACACTCTCCTCTCAGCCCAGTGTTACCACCCACACTCCTCGTATCAAGCTCCTCATTGCCATCCCAGCCACCCTCTTTGACTCCGTTACGCGTGAAGAACACATCGATATCCAGCATTACACCCTGCTGCGACTGTTCATATGACGGAGGATTCCTCGGAACAGAGAAGGTAATGCCGATACCAACAGTTTCACCCGGCTTAAACGCAGTGGTGAAATCATTGCCGCCCCATGCGTCATTGACGTACTTTCGGCCGTCATCGCCATGAACACCAAGACTGGCGCGCTCCCAGCCCGGAAGACGAAATGTGGGATACGGGGGCGCGACAAAGCCAATAGCGATGCCGGCGTCTGCTTCCGACAGAGAAAAGCCGCCTCTTCCAATGTTGAGGACCTTGAGTTCGAAGTAGATGGTCTTGGACCGCTGGGTGTTGAGCGGTGAGTCCCAAAACACACTGTACATCGGAAGATTGGTAAGAATGCTTGAGTCACGGCATTTGGCGTGGGTACGGCATGTCCAGTGGCCTGCTTGTGGCTGCGGACGGATGTCACCGGCGCAAAACGGTGGTTTCAGCAGAGCAAGTTGACCGTTTTGGATTGCAGCGTGGGTGCTAGGTTGGAGATTTTGCGGCGGCCAGAGAGGATACGTGTTTGTCCACTCCAACGCACGGTCGCCCTCTTCTGCAGTCGCGTTTGCAGTTGGCGAACTATCATAACCCATTGATGGCGGAGGAGGTAGAAGTGCCGTATCGGGAATCACTGTCCAGTCGTGATATGGTGGAGGTTCCCAGCTCGGAGGCGGTTGCTGTGGGTAAGAAGGAGGCGGACCTGAAGGAGGCGCGTACCCTGAAGACTGAAGACTCGGTGGAGGTCCGGGAGGGGCAGTATACTGAGTATTTGAAGAAGATGACCCCTGATTTGGGGGCGGACCAGGAGGAGCCTGATACTTCTCCGTCGGTGCGATATTATGCTGCTGCGGCTGTTGCTGCTGAGAATGTTGATAGTAGGGATTGTTCGACATGAGATTATGCTGATCTGTTCCGTAGGAGGGCTTCGAAGAACTTTCGTCTCCCTTGATCTTGTCCTTTAATTTCTTGAACACCTGCATGGTGGCTTATGGAGTGGTGATAGTTGGGAACAGTAGTGTAGAAAAGTGGCGACCTGCAGTTACTTTGAGGTGGATTGAATCAGGCAAACCATTCACTAAACTGCCAATAAGTAGGCGCAGCACAGTGATGATGTAGGACAGGTGACCGGTCGTGGCTGTGCACAGGTATGTTGGTTGCCATAGCCGACTGCGTCATAGAGGCTTGGCAGTACCCTTCCATCGCTGCGCCCGACTCCAACACTCTGTGCCACATCTGTTACAATCAAGTTTGTTAGAATAGCGCTATATAAGACCTCTAGATACATACTAGGCCTATAGGATATGATAACCTATTCAAAGCCACAACCTACAACATCCCCCTCACCCCTCCTTCCCCGCATACCTCACCCCTGCAGCAACACTTGCCGGAACCTGAACAAAGAATTCTAACGCCCAATTCCCAATGCTCTTACCAAGCGATTCTAGCCAACTACTTCAATTCCCTTGCTCAGCACCCCATGAGCCACACAGTGCAATGCCATAACCCCCGGAAACTCTATTCTTTCGACAAACTCCGAGCAAACTGTTACCCTGAGTTTCGGGATAGTGAGAAAGCTGCGTGGCTAGACCCAGGACTCCCTGTAAAGAACCTTGGAAGGTAGTGAGACGAATAGGAAGATGGAAGTGACCAATCTCTTCTACACCTAGAGAAAAAAGAGACAGTACATAAACCTATACCTCCCCTCTTCTTTCCTAGCCCCAACCTTACCTAGCATATCTCTGACATCACTACATAAGGACACATCCCCGCCCCTCACCCACGCACTAGACGATCTCATGATTCCTCGCAATAAACGAGCTGTCCACCCTGTGCTGTAGTTCAAATGAGACAAGTGACATTCGTACTTGAAACCCTTTGACAGGTCTGTTACTAGATATAGATAAGCGGCTAAATCGAACGAATGTAGCCTTGACTTAATCTGAATTACGACGTCGAGACACTACTTGTGTACAACAATTTCGTTCACCACGTCCATGTCCTCCACAAACCAGGGGCCCCTCTCCTATTACATATCCTAAACTACCAAACCTCGCTCACGGGGGTATATACATCCATCACATCACATCACACAACAAATAGCGTACGTCCATTCCATACAGCAACAACAGCAATAGCCAAAAAAACAAACTTCCCTCCATCCTCCGTCCACCCATCACTCCAGCACCCTACTCTCCCCATTCCCCATATCCTGAAACCTAACATCCTCAAACTCCGTGTCCCCTCCAGCTTCCTTCAACGCCTCCTCCAACGTCCAAACCTTCCTCCGTATAAACCAACTGATAAACCCACCTCCCCTCTTCACCTCATCATGCGTCGCAACCCAATACTTGGCCCTCAGCATTCTCTGCGCAAGGACCCCATTCTTCGCGCCGAGATTAAGCTGACTAGCATTAGAAATGGATATATCGTGAAGTCCATGCAGGAAAGCGAGGGTATGCAGCGGCGGGTCCGCCGTCGTTATCGGGGTAAGCGCCGTATGCGGTATACCATGGGGTGTGTAAATGAGACATTCGGCTGCTTCGCCGTTGAGGTGTGGGGCGAGGTCTTCGGCGCCGTCGCCGTTTATGCTGAGGGATGAGAGGCGTTTCTTTGGTGTTGTGTTGGAGAGGAAGGGGTGCGTGGCGAACGTTATGAGAAGGGCGGAGTGGTAGAAGAGGGCGTCGGCGGCAGCGGTTAGCCGCGATATGCTGAGCCAGGAGGGCAAGGGGGAGAGACTGTAGTCGTGCCAGTCGGAGTCGTCGACGAAGGTGGGGGTTGTTGTTACGGTGCGGAAGTGGGACCACGAGGTTATTAGTTTGGCTGCTTGCTGGGGTGGTCGTGTTAGTTCTGAGGGCTGCTGGCATGGGATGGAATGATGGTGGTAAGTCTGCATACCTCTGTTGCGAAAACAGGCACGTCGCCGTGAACTTCCAATAACGTCTCTTTATGACAATGATCCGTGAATTCATGGCTAATAGCCACACAATCGATAAAACTCTCCTCCTCCACCGTATCCTCCATCTTCCTCTTCCTGTTCTTCCCTAATCTCAACCCTCCCGCTAGAATCTCAACTTGCCGCGCCAGCTCATCCACTTCAGCTACGCTCTTCACTGCGCTCTCCGTCGCGTGGAATTGCTGACTGAACCACTTTGCGACATCGCTTTGGCCACCCACAAACCACGGGTCAATCAATACATTATAGTATATCCGGCTTCCGTGCTTGACTGCATTAGCGGGCCGCGGTATTTGCAGCAACCACGAGGTATCGGCGTTCAAGTGATGAAGGATAGGGCGGCGCGTAGCGAGAGCGCGAACGACGGCATCGCGAATCTCGAGGTGGAGTTGTGCCGAGGGGTCATCCATAATTCGATGTCTTTTTGATATTTATTATCGATGAATGTATTTCTTTCCGCGCTGATCTGAATGGTTGCGCTAGATGAGTTGCGCCGGGCGTGCGCGCATTTCAGGGCAACATGGCGCGCGAAGCGTCAGGCGGTGGCCGATGCGATGGATGGCGCTGTGGCGCTAGTGCCATGGCTGGGGAAATTCCCATGGTCGATGACGCACGGTCGGCAAGGGAAAGACTGGAAGCGGGCAGAAAAGCCACACCCGAGTAGTGGATCGCGGCGATGATGGCATCGTTTGATTTTACACCAATATTCTAATGTTGGAGGAGGCCTCGGTGGTGCGACGAGAAGATAGCATCATTTGCATCAATCAACCCTCACCGATGGCCATCTCCTCTCGCCACGACATCACCTTCCCCTCCCTCCCATTATCCCAAAGCATCTTCATCGTCTCCAGCAATCCCTCCCTTCCCACACACCACCTTCACCCATCACCCTTAGTAGCCCACTACGCCTTTCCCCTCCTCCAAATCCAATAGTCCACGTTGCACCCACACGTAGCATCTAATCCGCATCCAGCCAACCTCGCTCACCTCACTCAGAAACCAGACAAATAACAAGCTCCGGGGCGATGGTTAGGTAGGCTATATCACAGACTTCTAAATATACTGCATTGCCGATATTTCCGATATTTGCCTAGCTCCCACCTAACGCACTATCATTTCAGCCCTGGATGCGTAGTGGGTAGCCTGGCATGACTGACTGTAGTTATTAGGGCGATGCGGAAAATATTCTAGCGGCGTTTTTTTGGGGGGTGGGTTATTTGGTAAGTATGCATGTCTAGTCTGGGATTGGATAGAGGTGTGAGATGGGGTGTTTAGTATATATTCAGCCGCATACGCACGCATCATATCTATCTATCCTGTTTGTCAAATCCAACTCAGCCATATTTCTAATTCATCTCAACCTCCACATCCAACCCCCAAGTCCGACCATGCACATTCTCTCCTCTTCTCTCATCCTCCTTCCCCTCCTTCTCACCCCCACTTCCGCATCCGTCCTCTTCCTCCTAAGCACCCAACCCGGCGGTCTCGGCCTCTCAAAATCCTACATGGTCAACCGCTGGCAATGCGACACACTCGTCGCCCCCATGGACAAGAACACCAGTTGGGCCTTTGTAGCAAGTGGCTTGGCGAATGGGTGTGTTTTGTACGAGTAAGTCTGAATTTCCAGTTGGGTCACGTGTTGTAGGGGGATTGGAGGGAAGGAGAAAAGGCTAATAAGGTGATTAGGAAAGCAAACTGCACAGGCAAAAACCTCTACGTTGCGAAGAATAATGGAAACGTGCTAGGTCCTGGGCCGGTGAATCTTACGGATTTTGAGTTCGAACATGTTGCCAGTTCGTTTAGCTGTGTTTGAGGAAAACAGGACAAGGACAAGGACCAGGAGATGGCAATAATAATAGTAATGAAATGAACGCGCCGATGTAATTTGGAAAGGTATTATTAGTAATGACATGGAAGACTGAGAAAAGATCGATGGAAAAGAACTAGTTAGGTAATAATAATCACATCAAAGAATACGAACAAATGGTGGAAAACTTCAAAATAGTCTATTAGAAAGGTGTCTGCGCGACCCGAACACGCTCAACGTAATCGAAGAGAGCAAAACAAACAAGGGGCTCATAAATATACTACACGTCGGGAGAACAAAGGCACACATACAGATATGCGTGCGTGTCCCTCTTACTCATCGCTGAATTATCGTCGCCAGACATTCGATCCTACACTTCGTTTGGGGGCCCTCCTTCCCCTATCCCAGCTTGAAAACAAGAAACAACAAACTCCGTGCCATGCAATGCTAATTTCCTTTATCCTTCAAAAACACACAATATGAGGAGCTTTCGCTCAGGTTGATACAAAAACAATTACGCCAGATTTTGTGGGCAGGGGGTTCGGGACTTACGTGTAGATCGAAGAAGGGGATGTGGTGGGATAGGTGTATTGAAAAATGTTGAAAGGTGTATCGGGGTCGCGGGATAAGGGTATAATAAGCACAAGTGCTCAGCCTAGAACAACCGGGAAGGTTGTTCTAGGATATAATGAAATACAATCAAGGTAGTGACTCCGTGTACTTGGCCGCCAGCTCCGCTGCAATCTCAGGAGTCTTGACTGCAAACAAGAGTGATTGCAAGCCGCCTTCCTTTGCAGGCCTGGTGGCCATGACCATCTTCTTGCTGCCACCAGTAACAGTAGCCGGCAGGGAGGGTAGAATCTGATAGTTCAGGGGTGTAGCACCGCTGGCAAGGCGTACGCGCACACAGCACTTGCCCGTCTCCTTGTCCTTGAGGATCCACATTGGTCCTTTTGCAAGGTTGGTCCAAGCGTTGTTAACCTGGTGCTTGGCTAGTGCGACCTCGGTGTGAAAGACAATGTCAAAGGCCTTGATCTCTTCTTCGGTGAGTTGCGACAAGTCGATTTGCTCTTGCTTGCCACCTTCCTCCTCATCTTCTGCTGCCGACGCTGCACTAGTTTCGCCGGCTTCAGACAAGGGCGTACCAGCGCGAGAGGAGAATACAGACGAGTTTACGGAGTTGGCACTAGAAAAGATGAAGAGCGAAGGTGGTGCTTTGGCTGGTGTCGTTGAAAACTCAGCAGGTGACGGCGTAGAAGGTGAGAATGAGAATTGCGGCAGGCCGCCCTTCTTCTCAGTAGCAGGAGCTTGGCCGAACTTGATGGGAGTGCCAGCTTTGAACGTTTGATCCCCGACAAATGTGTCGGACTTGGGAGGGGCCGTCTTAGACGCAGCGTCGAAATTGAAGAACGTGAAGGGCTTGTTGGTAGGGGTCGTAGTTCCGTTGGTGTTTCCGAAGATAGACGTGCTACCGGTGCTACCCTTTTCGGATCCCGAGTCGTTGTCCCGAGTGATCCTTGAAAAAAGGCTTCCCTTGGGGGCTTCGTCTTGCTTGGGCTCCTGGGTGTCTTCAGATTCCGTCTCCGACTCGCCGAATTTGGCTTTCGGTGGCGTTGTCGGCTCCGCAGAACCCGCATCCTCATTGTCATCCTCATCGGACTCGTCTTGATGGTTCGATGAAGGGGCGGGAGACAAGTGTCCGAATATGTTAGGAGTCGGAGTTTGGGAGGAGCTGGGAGCCTTGAAAATTGACTGACTACCGGTCGATGGTGCAGGACTAGCAGCTTTAGGCGTCGAAAGACCTGGCGTTGAAGTGCCGCTCGTCGGTTTCAGAAGACCAGAGAATGGGTTCGCCTTTGGAGAAGTACTACCGGGTGCAGGAGCAGTTGGCTTGGCAGCACTGGGAGCAGTGGCATCCGGAACTTTAAAGGTAGGGGCGGCAGCGATCTTCTTCTTTTCCTCGGCGAGGCGCTCTGCCTCAGCCTTGTCGTATCTAGCTGACCACTCTTCCTTAGTTTCGTCGTCCGAATCATAGTCCTCATCCATGGCCTTCTTCTTGCGCTCGGCAGCAAGTTGCTCGTAGGTCTTCGCTGTCTTTTGGAATTGAGCCATGAAGCCTCCACCAGATGTTGGAGGAGCACCAAAGTTAGGCTTGAAGCCACCGCTGCCTGATGCGCTCGTAGACCCGCTACCAAAGCTTGGTTTGAAGCCAGTAGAATCTGACTTGCTTGAAGAGTCACCTCCAAAGCTTGGCTTGAAACCAGACGATGTAGCTGGGGTCTTGTCACCGTTAGTAGTCGGTGCTGAGGGTGTGAAACCAAACGCATTCCCTCCACTGGTCGCACTGGCAGGCTCGGCAGTAGGCTTGGGAGCAAACAGGCTTGTGGATGACTGTGCCGCGGGTGTAGATGGTTTATTGCCAATAGCCTTTGCAAACATATTTGCCGTGGCTGTTGCTGTAGGGTTGGACTTCTGCGGCGTCGGACTAGCAGGTGCTTCACGAGCTCGCTTGGATGGAGAGGGGTCTCGGATCTCTGGGCTCTCATCATCAACCTTACGCTTGGTGGACAGGCTGGACTCGTAGCCAGTGACACCCCTGGCCACCGCGCGTTGCTTCTTCGCGGTGTCAATCTTCTTCTTGATATCCGTAGCGTGCTGATAGTGCCAGAGTGATACACTTGACCAATCTGCTGTCGGAGGAAGGGTGATCAATTGCTGCCGGTACTTCTCGTTCAAGACCTGAAGTTGGGCAGTCAAGTCCGAAATCTGCTTGAGCAATGCATCGCTGGTCTGCACACGAACCGCGCCTGGGACAGCCCATTCCTTGGGAACATGCACCTTGGGAACTTTCGGCAATTCAGATGCCTGCGACTCCCCGTTTGACATTGCAGCATCGCCAGTGAGATTTGGCATTGCTGGCGCTGGGGAGGCTTGAGCAGGCTCCTTTGGTGTACCGAAGAGATTGGGGCGGTCCGTGGAAGGCGTTGACAAAGAGGCGAAAGGATTGGAGGAATCCTTGGACGCGGGTGTTGGTGCCGCTGCAGCCTTTGGCGCTTCTGTCGATGAAGTGTTTGTCGGTGTAAAGGATGGAAAACTTGACTGGGGCTTCTGGAACAAGTCGCTCGAGTTGTTGGTCTCCGGCTGGAATGACTGCGAGAACATGCCTGAGCTGGTCTTGGGCTGAGCAGCACTGAACATCCCACCCTGCGACTTCTCTGTCTCGGCCTTCTTTGCAGGTTGTGGTGTACTGAAGGGCTGGAAGAGGGTTGACTTTGGTGCCTCTGGAGCCTTCGCTGTTGCGGCACCTGCATCCTGCTTGTCTTGTGTTGTCCCAAAAAGACCGAAGCTCGAACTGCTGACTGCTGGTGTCGACGATGGCTGAGCAAGTCCCCCGAATGGGTTCGACTTAGGTGCCTCAGTGCTGTCAGATGCCTTGGGTGTCTTGAGACTGCCAAATAGGTTCGTTGAAGTGGCTGGTTCCTTCTCCTGTGCTTGAGGCGTGTTCGACGTCGCGCCAAATCCGCTAAAGGGTGTTGACGGGGTTGCTGGGGCCGGGAGGGACGCAAACGGATTGCTAGAGGATGGAGTTGAGATCGCATTGTCTGCCTTTGGTGTGGACGCGGTGAAGTTGAACAGGCCCGTCGCGGGTGTGCTCGTTCCATTTGGCGTGCCTTGGGCGCCTGTACCAATCTCCCCGAATAACTTGTTTTGTTTGGGAGTCTCTATGCTACTCTCGCTCTTCTGAGCGTTTGAACCAAAGCCACTAAACATGTTCTGTGGTGCAGCGGGGGCCTTGGGGGTTTCACTCTGTTGAGTACTTGCACCGAAGCCGGAAAATATGCTATTCGCTGCTGCTGGCGCTAGCGACTGTGCGGGCTTACCGAAGAAGCCACTCGTTGCTGGAGTGCTCTCGGTGTTTTGGGCAGACGTACTGACAGCCCCGAAGGTGAAGGGCGTCGTTGCTGGGGCAGGCGTGCTCGTGGCGTTGGAAGTACCACTAGTGGTACCGAACATGCTGCCTGAAGGAGCAGCGCTCGAAGCCCCAAACATGCCCCCTGAAGGTGCACCACTGGAAGCTCCGAACATTCCACCTGAAGTTGTAGCACTAGAAGTGCCGAACATGCCACCACCTGAAGGTGCTGCACTCGAAGCTCCAAACATGCTGTTACTTGAAGGCGCTGCACTTGAGGCACCAAACATTCCGCCCGGTGCTGTGCTGGAAGTACCGAACATGCCACCTGAGGACGCCGAACTTGTAGTGTTGGGCTGGCTTAGCCCGCCAAATGGATTGCTTTGCGATGGGGCGCTGTTGAATATGGAGGACCCGCCAAACGCCGGCGCTGGTGTGCTGCCATTGGTCGCGGGGGCAGAGTTTGCATTTGTGAAAGGGTTGGATATGGGGTTGGCGCCTCCCGCAGTGAAGTTGAAGCCCGAGGATGACGGCGGTTGGAAAGCCGAGCTCTCGTTACTCGCGCCGAAGGCAGGGAAGGAAGAGTTGCTAAAGGTGTTGCTTGGGGCCGCGGGTTGGGCGGGCGGGAAACTGCTGGTGGTGCTACCACCGAAAGCGCCGCCTGCTCCAAAACCGCCGAAGCTATTCGCGCCATTGCTCGCGGGGGCGGGCGCAGAGGCGCCGAAGTTGAAGTTGTTCGACGGTGCTGCGCCAAAGTTCGCGCTCTGTGCTAAGTTCTGCGCGTGCGCGTTAGCAAACGCCTGATCGCGGAGACGCATCTTGCGCCGGCCAGCAACAGTGTAGCGCTGTGGTTGCATGGCTGCACAGTGGATGCAGTTGTGATGGCGGTTGAGAGCGCTCGTGATGTGGTGGGTGAAATACTTACGGGGGAGGCGCCGGCTGGTCGTCGAGCTTTGGCGGTCTTGATTCTGGAACAAAGAGTCAGCGTGTGAAGTGAAAGGGGATGCGCGTTACGATGGCACAGACGTAACCTCGGCACCGGTGGAGGTGTAGAGTCACTTACTTGCGTGCAGCCAACTGTGCAGCCGTCGCCTTTTGAGGAACATCAGCAGGCTCGTCGCGTTCATCATACGGGCGCTCAGGCCTGCCCTGGCCGAAAATGTTGCCCCGCTTGTTAGACGACATGGTCGCGATCACTCAGGGACAAGAAGTGATGGTTGCGGCTGAAATGGGGAATGGGCTATAACTCCATGAGACACGCGTGGTTGATGGTTGTGTGCTAGGGTACGATGTTTTTGATGGTCGGGAAAGGTGCGACCCGTGCTCGACGTCACCTTAGTCATCCAATGCCTGCCTAGCAACGGATTGGACTCTTGACTTTTCACTTTTCACTTCCTGCACTTGGCAATAACTCCAAAACCGAAAACATTGTTTTGCCGAAACTTCTTGACATTGACATGTTTCATCTTGGCAACTGTCACGACACGTACGCCTTCCGGTGCAGCGACGTGTCTTTATCATGTAGTCGGCTTGTGAGTGCAATGTAATGTGTCATGGACGTGATCGGACCCGACTACTTTATAATATATTCCCATCCAAGCTTTCCCACGGTCTATGTACCCGGACGAGCGTTTCTTTTGATCATACTTGCAGCCATATATAGGTGCATTAGTGTCCCTCAACGATGTTAAGGCCCGTGTACGTTCGCGCCATATTGACATGACATATGTTTCAAACCTTATCATGATGAAGCAGTCTAGTCTACAATTCGATAGATTCTGATGCCGGGATACACGCACGTGTCATTGTGGGACTCAGAAACGGGGAATATGGATCTTGACGACCGTTGTCAGTCTTTTCACCGCCATGAAGCTAGGGTGCTAACGTGATACCCAAGCCAAAGCAATACAGTTTGTTCTTTAGAAAGTTCTTTGGACGTGGCGTATGTTCTACAGGACCGGTGAAGAGAAAAGTGGTCGTTGGCAAATAGGACCAGAAATCGTGACCAGAGTGTGCTGGGCAAAAGTTATTGCAACATGTTAATAAGGAAAACAAGTCAACAGTACCGTTGTTTGCTCTCATACCAAGCCCAGTTCCCTGTATGCGACATATCGAGTTACATGGCATGATTGAACGCGTACCACTGGTGATGTCCATGTAGAATCGAGCAATCGGGCAACCGTGCATATGTTTGTTTGATGCCGGTACTGGAAGCCGCGTCATAGACGGTGTCGATGGCGCGTTTAATGCAAGAGTCTCGACCGCGCGGGTTCAGCCTGATGGAGGCGCGTTAGCAGGGAAGTTGTTGAGTAGAGAAAGCGGAGAGACGGAGCACCACCGTCTGAGTGTGGGGTAGACATGAGCGTGTTTCACGTTTCAGGCAGATGGCAGGCACGTGAGGCGTTTTGCGCGAGTAGCCGAAAGTTGGCTCGGGACCGGTCATGGTAGTATTGTTCCTGCTCTCAGCGTTTCCCCTCTTCCATGGGATCATGCTTTTTTGCCTGGGCTGTTGAGCAGACGCCAGAGATCTGGGCCGTGGCTTGGGATCTCGGACCAACCAGCCGCAGGTGGAAGAGCGGGCTTTTGGTGGGGTAAGAGGGATATCCTGAGTAGTGGCGGCTTAGTGAGAGCATGGGTAAAGGCCGGCCGAAGAGAAGCCATGGGTTTGTCGTCAAGCTACCCACCCGTTGCTATCACTATCGCAATCGCGAAGACGTACGATATGGGGCGTCGGGGTCCGGGATGCAGGTGGGTTGGGCTGGGCTGGCTTGACCTCTCATGATGGCGCAGGGCCCAAACCTGCTGCGCGTCCTCAGTTCTGCCACCGCCGTGCCACTCGATTGCGTCGTGTGCGCGCCGAGTAGAGGCAGAACAGAGAGGGGAAGAGAGGCGAGAGGGGACGGCACGGCCGCGAAAGCAGAATGTCACAGCTGTGGCTCTGTAAGCGGTGAGGCTCTCACGTCCAGTCGTGTCGGTGTCGACAAAGGCCAGCTTATCTCGATCCAAGTAGACGGCGCCTCCGCTCCAGCCGTAGTTGTCTTGTCGCGATCCACCCAGCCATACACCGACTAACAATGGGCCGGCAGTGCAGGTGCAGGTGCAGCATATAAGCACACTCGCCTTCTCTTACCCAGCAACAGCCCCGAGTGGCCATGTTCACCCACCACAATCGCCCATCTATCGTCTAGGTACTTGCTGACTCGCAGCCGCGGCACGTCTCGAGGCCGACCAAGGCGAACCGCTAAAACCACGATCCCGTCCTCTAAAGGCGCGATCCGGCGTGCATGTGCCCAAGCCTGCAATTGCCCCGGATCAACGCCAGCCGCCCGGTTCTCAGGTGCTCAGGTTCAGCATCCAGCAAGCCTGACACAGTCGTTTCGTCACCACTGTTGCGCACTTTGCCCTGCCGCGGAACCATCGGAACAATTCAGTCTTGACGTTGGCTTGGTGATGCCACACTGACACGGTGCAACCGTCGTTTGCTGATCCCTCCTGGTCTGTTCTTAATCCTATTTACACGGACATGCTCCGATAACACGCGCCGACCGCTCCTCAATCATGTCGGCCAGGCATGCGCGTCTGCACAAACGAGGCAACTCCGCCTCTTCTACTGCGACGAGTCCCCTCAGCCCCGTCGCTGACTACGGCGCCTTTACCTTTGACCGCTCTTATACTCCAAAGGTCCTCGAGGAGTCCTGGATAGAGACACACCACCCCATGCCTCAACCACCTTCTCACCAGCTTAAGATTAAGCCCTACCTGCGCAAGCTCTCCTCCAAGGAGACTACCGGCCTTGATCTCTCGCGCCCGGCTGCCGAGAACGACTTGTCTGGGCTGGGTATTACTGAATATGGCGCCTACTCACGATCCATTTCCGATGTCACCTTCACGCCGGTCAACCCCCGTCACAGGCACAACCGCTCCACCTCCAGTACCTCGCAGTTTTCAAACTCGTCTGCGGGCCTGCAGCGTCCTACGCCTTTGCCCACCCTCCGCCAGACCCCGCAACCCTACACGCCGCCAATAGCACGGTCCTCACCGCCATCAGTACTTGGAAGTGACCATGAGGGCGATGATATCATGTCTGATGACGAGGTTCGTCTGAAACAAAACTCGTACGATCCCGCGCGCCGATCAGGTTCCATTTCCTCGGCCCAAGGTACATCCCTACGCCTCCACACCAACAACTCGTCTACTCGACTCGCGGGCAGCTACTCTCAGTCCTCTGTTTCACTCACTTCACCCCTCAACCCGCCGAGGGCGCGGGGAGACACGCTCAAATCCATTGACACGACGACTTCGCCCAGCTCGCGCACCTCGTTCGACCAGACATACCGCTTCATTCGCGGCGGTCGCGACTCACCCGTCGACCCTGCCTCACGAGCTGCATCCATCCGCGCTGCAAGACTCAAGTTCGAGGAGGAGCAGCGGGCCAAGGAGCGCAAGTATGAAAAGGTTGCACACAAGCAGCAGGAGCGCGACTACCGGAAACAGCTGAAAAAGGAAGACTTACAGCGCCGCAAATCCGAGACGATCGATCGAACTGAAATGACGCGCGCGCGCACTGTATCCGAGGACTACCAGGAGAAGGCGCCGAGACCATCCGTTGGCGGGCGTCAATACTCTGACCACCGCCAGGCTCACTCGCACTCGCTACCCAAACTTGTGACGACGGTCGACCCCGAAAAGTCGAATCCCTTTGGCGCCACACCCAAGGTCACAAAGAGCCGCGCGGCCAAGGGAAGGTGGCTGAGGTTCGTCACATGGCTGAAGACGAGGCTATTACGCATGTCAGGAAAGTAGGTGTTCATCACGAGTGTCATTTAGGTGCATACACCGCCACACACATACGTGGCAGGTAGTCTTGCTTCTCCACACACCCTTCTCCACCCCGAGCCCTACATATTCTCATCCTCTCCTACTGGGAACCGAGCAATTGGCTTTTGCATCTTATCCCTTGTTATACCCCGAGTCATCATTATCTGTTCTTTCTTGTATTTAGCACGGCGTTTGGACCACGATCACGGCCTATCATGTCAGTCGCTTCCCAATGCATATATCGAGGGCACCGTTACGGATCTGGTATTTTTCCACGGCGCTGCAAGGTTCAAGCTGGGAATTTCCTTCAACACGTCACACGTCTCTCCATCGACATGCACAGGCGTTAAGTGCTTTTTGGGACATTGTTAGCCAGCAGCGTGTGTCTGGTTGCACTGCGCGTAAGACTGGCATTGGATTTTGGTTAGTTTGAACTTGATACATTGCTCTGGCTTCGGCCATTGAGCCCAGCAATTGCATATTCCATTTATATCCATCTCATCTTGAAATGCTACAGTGCAAACGATTGGTGCGTGATGGCGTGCATAGGCTGTGACGTTATAACCTGTCGTTTGGTCATCTTTACTTTTTCCAAACAAACCATGCATGAACTCCTCTCCACACGGCATGGATGACTTGTGAAGCTAATGGGCGCATGCGCTACACAAACTTCGGTCCACAGCATCGGGTCGGACTTAAGCTGCCGCCAAGACATGCGCATCATGCAGTACCAGCATCACCTCATCCGCGGAACTCTCCCCGCACATATCGCCAGGACAAGCACGACATGAATATTGTTCTCGTATAGTCGCAATGCCTCTACGAAACCTACCCCGGGGCGCAATTGCGCCAAGGATCGTTGGAGGAGGGGCGTTCTCGCGACAATGCGGACCTGGTGCGGGAGTGGGAAGAATAATGCAGAGACGCTGGGCAAGCAATGATAAGAAGATGGGCAAGGACGAAGAGAAGCCTTTTTACCTGCAGTTGAACGAGAGTATCTACGAGCGTGTGCAGAAAGAGAAGGCCGAGCAGATCCAAATTCAGTCTATGCAGCAGAGAACAGCCAGAGGGCAATTCTTTGCGACAGTCGTCGGTATCGACCCACAACACCTATTTACGACGACGCGTACTCATAAGTGACCAGCATGTCTTCTCACCGCCGGCATAGGCTACTACTATGGCCAAATGATACCACCCAAAGCAGACAACAGCTCGACCGCGCCGCTCGAAACTTTCAACCCTCCCAAACACAACATCTCCGAAGCGAACATGGAAGCAGCATGGGTAGACTTCCGCGACATTGTTGGTGAGGAGAACATTACAATAGACAAGAACGACCTGGAATCGCACAGTGGATCTTCGTGGTCGTCGCATCCAGCTGAACCAGGCGATGTACCGTTTTGCGTTGTCAAGCCGGGTAGCACTTTGGAGGTCAGCGCGATTATGAAGATCTGCCACGAGCGCAAGATTCCCGTTACACCATACAGTGGAGGCACAAGTCTGGAGGGACATTTTGCGGCGACAAGAGGTGGCATTTGTATCGACTTCAGTCGCATGGACAAGATTTTGAAGCTACACAAGGAGGACATGGACGTTGTTGTGCAGCCGGCAGTGGGGTGGGAACTGCTCAACGAGGAACTTTCCAAGGACGGCCTTTTCTTTCCCCCTGACCCAGGTCCAGGCGCAATGATCGGTGGCATGGTTGGGACAGGATGCTCAGGCACGAATGCGTATCGGTACGGCACAATGAAGGACTGGGTCATCTCGCTCACGGTAGTGCTAGCAGACGGAACTGTTATTAAGACACGAAAAAGACCACGAAAGTCATCGGCTGGATACGACCTTACGCGAATGTTCATCGGTAGCGAGGGTACATTAGGTCTCGTCACAGAAGCGACGCTCAAAGTTACTGTCAAGCCACAACACACTAGCGTAGCCGTATGCGCCTTCCCATCCGTTCGTGCAGCAGCAGATTGCGTGTTCAAAGTCGTTGGCGCCGGCGTACCTATCGCAGCCATTGAGATTCTAGATGATGTTCAAATGCAATGCATCAACGACGCCGGTCAAACCTCCAAAACATGGAAAAACGCACCGACTCTCTTTTTCAAGTTCGCCGGTACCCAAAGCTCCGTCAAGGAGCAAATCAGTCAAGTCCAGGGTCTAGCTAAGAAGTCTGGGTCTGTGAGCTTTGAATTCGCAAAATCAGAACAAGAAAAAGAAGACCTCTGGCAGGCCAGGAAAGAAGCCCTATGGAGTGTCATGGCGAAGGCTGGGGGTGATCCAGACATGGGAGTCTGGACTACCGATGTCGCCGTCCCCATATCAAAGTTACCCCAAATTATTGAAGAAACAAAAGAGAAGATCAAGCAAAGCGGGCTCTTGGCCAGCATCGTCGGCCACGTTGGTGACGGAAACTTTCACTGTAAGCCCCTCGATTCCCTTTTAGCGTATATGCATCAAGCTCACCACCTATAGCAATCATCCTTTACAATCGCAACCGCGACCATGCAAAGGCATCACACCTTGTCCACGAAATGGTCAAACGCGCCATCGAACTAGAAGGCACTGCTACGGGCGAACACGGTGTTGGCCTCGTCAAGAGAGATTATTTACCCCATGAAGTTGGGCAAACGACCGTCGATGCCATGAGGCAGCTCAAGAAGGCGTTTGACCCGCTTTGCTTGCTGAACTGCGATAAAGTTGTTCGAGCGACGCTGCCGAAGAAAGGCGAGGTAGCCGAATGGTGAGTGATGGGGGGTAGGATGTGGGTATGTGATTACATTGTAGGTTACATACAGAGGCTCAACAGGTTTCAATCAAGTACATTCGCTCTCTCCCACATCCGACGCTAAATCAGATATATCACTGGCACTACAGTGTGTACACCCATCATCCCTTTGTCCATCCCACACCAACTCACTCCATTGTACCCCTCCTCCAACAACAACCCACACATATACAATGTCTCTCTCCTCTCTCTTTTCAACACTCATCACCCAAACAAAGGCCATCCCCACCAAACCACCCACACAACGCCCCCATTCATCCCACACAATGTCCACCTCCCAAACTTGGTATAAGAAACCATTCCTACCCCACCACCATTCCCTTCTCTTCTTCATCTCACTCACGACTATACTCCCGGAGATTATAAAGTGAGGTCCGGGTAACATTTCTCGTCTTTTGTTTTTCTCTGCATCAGCATTAGCATCGCATCAGCATTTTTTCAGCATCTCTTCTCGAGTCGCATATTTTTAGATCGTGATCCTGGTGATCAATCCCCCTATCTATCCATCTCAACACACAAGCTGAGCTACGCTGCGCCGTTACCCGTTACCGATTACCAATCATGCCATCTTTCCCCTACTTCACCACAATGTTCTCCAGCACCACCCCCGCGTCAACCCGCCAACTCACACCCCCCACCATTTGCTCTCTCACCCTGCCTTCCACGTTTCCCGCTCTACAGCCCGTGTGGTGCTCAGCTCACACATACCGCATCTGCACCGACGAGTCCGCGTATGCGGATATGTTGACGGGTATGGAAGATGAGGATGAGGTTGCAGCCGAGGAGATGGATATGGCGGAAGTGGAGGAGCGGTGGAGTTGTTTGTACCCACTGGCTGGCGTCTTCGAGGACGCGGAGGTGAATGTGGAGGAGCAGCAGGTCTGCGCCCCTCTCCCTGTTCCTCGCTCGTCTTTTTTCGGCGGCGAGGTTTCAGTCGAGTGTCTCTTCGATGCCGAAACACCTTTCGCAAGCGATGAGGAACTTTGGCTTCGCAGCGTGTTTGACCCTGTTGCTGCGCCGTGCGCTGTGCTGGATCCGCTGCTAGAGGAGGAGGAGATAGAGGAGGTGACGTTGGTGGATACGAGCGAGTTGAAGCTTTTGCCTTCGGTTGCTGTGCGGGATTTTCGTGATCCGGTTGCTGCGTGGGCAGAGGCTGAGGCTTTGCCTGTTGAGGAGTGGTGGGTTGGTGGTGAGGAGGAGGTTGTAGTGAAGCGGGAGGGTCGGTCGTTGATTTCTAAGGTGACTGTTTCTGTACCTGAGGCTGTGCTTGACACAGAGGTGCAGGAGACAAACTCTACATGGACACTGGAAGACGACCCTGTCCTCCGCTACGTCACCTCCCAAACCTTCCTCCCTGGCCTGGACAACTTTTCGGATATTTCTATTCATTCAGCGTTCCCCCAGTACGACAACGCCGACATCGACGCCTTGTACCAAGCCACCACATCTTTCGTCAAGGACCGTTACGACGGTGAGTGCACATGCTTGGATGGCAAACCCGCTGCTCCCCACTCACCGGGCGAGAACTACCTCCTTGTTAATAACGAGGATGTGTTTGGGTTTTCTGCTGCGCGGCCTCAGGCGGAGGATATCTTTGAGCTGTTGGATGCGACTGTTGATGCGGATATGGAGGATTTTGTTGATGCAGACGATGAGTTCGACGACGACGACGACGACTTACCTCGTGCAGGCGTGTTCTACGATGCTGCGACTAGTGGCATGGTATCTTATTTCGCTTTGGACCAGCTGTTATACCCGACTACTTCTATCGCTGAGTATCCCCCGTTCATTGCATCTACTGACTCACAGACTCCAGGCTACGAGCTCACTGAGGACGAAGACCATGTCTCAGACATGTCGGACTCAGATGCAGATGATGTTTCCATGGTTCAGTCTTCCGAGTGGTCTTATTTCGATACTGACACCCAGCAGTACATCGGCTACACGGCTCTCGAGCATCTTTTGCAGACCAACCAGCCGTCTGAGTTGCCCTACTTTGATGCTGACAGCCAACAGGACGCCGGATGCACTGCTTTCGACCAAATCTTGCCGATTGACGCTGATCAGATGCCACCGCTTGTTCACCGGGATTTTGATGAGTTGTTTGACAAGCTTGTTGAGGAAGTCACTGCGCTTCTACAGGATGAGTTAGATAAGCTGGATGATATTGACCCCCCACCGCCGCAGGTGGAGACTCTAACTCAACCTCCGCGCAAAGCCCCTGTACAGGAGCGGAGGCTGCGAGGTTTCCGTCAAGTTGGGCCGTATATGATGTATTCTAGTCATCAGCGGTCTACGATGCGATCACGTCGCAATGTTCAGCTGGTACTCCAGCCTCAGCAACTGTACAATATCGAGGAGGACAAAGAGGAAGAGGACTGTCTCAGCCCCGTCTCCTCAGCCGAATCACTGGATTTCACCACTCACTTTACCGTTGTCAAGACACTAGCCACACGCCGAGCCAACTTTCTAGACGACGATGAACCAGAGTCGTCTATGCCGTCACCTGCGTCTCAGGCCACTGAGCCACCACTCACTGACAGCCAATACGAGGACATGTTTGCTGATGCCATCTGGACCATGTCACCAGATTTAGCACTCACTAACCCCAGCCACACATCATCATCATCAATAGTCCCAGTCACGTCATGGTCACAGCACGATTTTCCCCCACTCCCTGTTCTCGAAGCCTTCGCAACCGAGATCCACAACCATCTTGCCTTGATTTTCGATTGTCTGAACACTAGGCGCTCGCATGAGCTACCCGGGCTCAGCAACGACCTCACCTGGGCGCTCAACGCACTCGCATCCGAGTACCCATCTATGACGCTATTGGGCTCTTTGGGACTTGCAGTCGAGATTCTTGTTGAGCGCATGGTGGCTTCTTCCGTCGCTTCTTAGCCAGCCCACACACATATATAGCCTTTCGTATTTATGAATTTTTAGTAAACATTGGTGGCGTGGCGGATAGGCGGCGTTTCAGCTGGTTTGGATCAAGTGTTTCTCCCTTCAGCAGGTGTTTTTGGGAGAATGGAGGATGACTAAAAGTATCTAGCTCATATTTTTGTAGGAGAATGGAAATGTTGCAAGACCAAGAATTGTGGTAGCATGGTGAAAGTGATGATGATGACGTGATTAGGAAACAGGTACCAATGCCGTTATGATCGAAAAAAGGTCCCACTCGACCTTCTGGAACGACCAGCGGAGATTGCAACCTCGGACGGGGAAATGCCAATTTGGAGTCGGTCATCCTGGGCAAAGCTTTGCTCAGACCAAGGATCTGTGCGCCTGGCAACGGGTAGACACGAGATCGGACCGCTGCATCTGGACAGGGAACCCTGACAGAACAGGCCGGGTATTTTTAGTCGCGCATTGCTGTTCTTTGCTTTTTCCTAGTAGCCGGACGGGAGAAACTTTTAGCGTCCGAGAAATAAGAGATTTGGAGACGTCGTCCGGACGTTGTGGAGGTTGAGGTGTTTTCCAAAGTACGTAGGGAGGTCGGTCACGTGTGATAAGGTTTTACGCAAACATGGGTCGTGGGCCGAGACCCTTCTGATGCTAGCGTCAGCGCGACTGGCTGACTGACTGGCTGGCTGGTCGGTTGTGACAATGCGCTTATGTAGACGATGAGGGTCCTAGGTACATGTGCACAGTCAGAATAAGCCTCATTATCAGCGCTTACACATTATGTATTTCCACTTTCACGGGTTCGTTGGGCCATCTTACTGTCGATACAAGCTCGCCCAGATAACGCCAGCTGACTGGTGGAAAATCTTATCCAAGCCCCGTGTGAAAGATTCAATGATTGCGACTTTGTTTGGGAAACGAAAATGTCTTATAGGATCGTGTGTTAGCCTCTCTAAGTTGTTCGATTGTGCATGTTTTCACAATGTTTGTTGTGGATAGACTTGTCCCTAGAATGTCCCTAGAATGTCACCGGAATGTCACCAGAAGGATCTGCCCAATGGTATGATTGGAGCGCCCATATTATATTCTCTCTTATCCTTGGAAAAGGCAAACCCACAAGACTAGCCAATGGTGTAAAGAGTCCTTGGATCATGGTCGACGGCCCATAGCTTTAGGTTTATGTGAACAAACCGGTATTGTTCTGCAAGGCGAGAGACACATCTGAAGTCCGTCCTAAGAGCGCTATCATCAAATCAGCCTATATGCGTCCCATGAGATATCTTCTGATGATCTGTAGGAAAGCAACTTCTGGCAACAGAACATTCATACATATTAGCCATATTACGGCCGAGATAGGCAGTAAGAAGCTTAATAACAGAAAATTCATCTATTCAGGCTGGAAAAAAACCTTCTCTCGGCCACTTTGTACTTTGCCTGTCTGTCCATTGCCAACGCCACGTTGCCCATGCTCATAAGCGTAGAGAAGCTCTTCTACAAATACATGCGACGGTCCCTCTCACGTACAGACTATCTCAAACACTCTATCTACTTAACAAGATGCTTTTATCTGCTCTAACCGCGATTTTCCTCGCTTTCTTAAGCCAATTATGCTATGCTCAAGTTTGGATTAAAGAGGAGTCTTGGCGCTGCGTTAATAGCGATCAAGACACTATAAAGGCCTGCGAGGACGTAGTTGGCGAAGGATACATAGGCCTTGGACTTGATACTGATGGTTCTGACAACATGAAGGTAAGGAGTCTCTCATCCAAAATATGCAATATACAACTGACTAAGACGCGTAGGTATTCTGTTGTTTACCTGACAATGTGAAGGATCCTCTTAAATTCTGGGACAGGTGCCACCATTATTATCATCCTGGAGGGAAAACTGAGACAGTCAGGTCAGGACCAAACATGTGTCGAGGGCGCACGGTCGGGGGCGAGAAGTAATAGGGCTATAGTGAGGGTGGACACGAAATACGCACAAACACAAAGCTCACCCTGCCTCACCAAATAAACCCACCACAACAATGAGGCATCGTAGTGGAATCTGCTTGTTTTTACGCCAGGCAGTGATCGCGGAATAGATAAGATGGTTAATCTAGAGGTTTTTATATACGCTAAATTGCTGTTGACTTATACTGAACAGTACGGTTCAACTCTACATTAGTACCGCGGCTACTTAATAACTCCCAAAGTCTTGTTGTTACAGCAGCACCGAATACCCCTTTTAATACAAGTTCTTTCCTTGTTCGTTTACACATTTTTGAAATACGTTGGGCTAGTGTCAGAACGTAGGTCTACGCCCACTACGCTATGCAACCAAAAAGGTACGTATGATCAGTGAACTCCTGATCATCGTGGTAGAATAGTATATATTGTACACCTCGCATTGTGTAGGCCTGACAGCTAGCGGGAACTTATATTTTGTCGACTTTATAAATACAAAGTAAGTGATAAATTATTAATACTTAGTAGTAAACTTCTATAACATGGTGTTTATAATGGCATTTTGCCAGCTTTATATTTTAAAGTATAGGTAGCTTCTGTTACGGATCCATAGACTCGCTCGGCCCATGGCCCCCATATCGATAAGATCCTTATCTTATCGGACTAGCGCCTTGGCGCCCACAGCATAAGTTCGGGCTCACAACGTAGATAGCTCGATAGCTTGTATCTTGTCAAATCCAATCTTTCTTGATCGATCCCTCACATTATACAAGCTCCCTTTCAAGACGGGCCCTGGAAGCTCGTTCGCGAATTGTATTTTCTTGTCGCTGCGAGCGACACGCCAACGACAGAAACACTTACGCGACGAGGATCGCATTGACTATACGTACCGCCGCAGAAGAGCCGCCGTAGTAAAGACACCTGATTGCCCAGCTGCATAGCTGTACCCACCTGCCAGAAAAGACCCGCCGCCGCAGAGTGCCGCCGCGGAAGACACTGGATTGCCCAGCTGCATAGCTGTACCCACCTGCCAGAAAAGATCCGCCGCCGCTTCTAGCGCTGCCGCCGATGATGGCCCGACTAAACGAGACGAGCAAGGATGCCCACGACCAGGGTGCTCAGAACGACACACAAACCATTCCAGCAGAGTCGCACCTTGAGTACGGCGACTTTGAGAATGACGACGACCTCACCGAAGCGGAGAAGGCGACTATTAGACAGAAGCTCGCCACCCGCAAGAGACAGGTCACTTTTGGCCGTGGAGACGGCCAAGGCAACAGCGAGGACGAGGGCAATGACGTCAACGCCGCTGAACGCCGACGACAGTCTTGTAGACAGTCTCTTAAGAAAGCCGTTAAGCCAGCGGATAAGACTTCTATAGAACTAGGCTACGACGACGACACGGATGACATGTATCTACGTTTTTATGGCATCCACGACAACGATGAGCGCGAGATCCTCGCGGACATGAGGAACGTTGACGACTTCACCGCTTGCATCGCTGAACATGCTGAGAGTGTCTTTGGACACCTAGCAGATTTGCTTAGTCAGATAGCTGAACAAGCCGAACAGCTAGACCAAGCACATAATGAAGCCCGTGTACAACAAGAAGCAGCTGACGCCCGCGTGGAGCGCGCCCAGACGCAAGCTCGCGCTGCCGCCGCAGACGAGCTTGCCCAAGTCACCCAGAAATGCAACCGCATGATCACTACTAAGAACAGCTACGCTTCACGGCTAGCAGTGCTCGAAGACGAGCTTGCAGCCTCGCGCGAGTCAAACGTGAAGCTCTACTCCCAGATTAGCGACCTCTACAACGAGAGGAGTGTCCTGCAACAGCACGCGGGCGTCCCGACGAATGGAAATTTATATGACACGCGCCCAGCTCAGTTCCAGTCGTCCCCTCCTCCAATGACTGCGAACCCGTTCATTGGCACTGGCACTCACGACTTGATGCTGCCTCCCCCTATGGCACATCATCAGAAAAACCGACCCCTAGCTCGGTCTGCTGTATCGGACAACCTCACTGCAACGGGTGCAAAGCTGAAGGATATTGACATCTTTCGCGGAGACAGCACCGACAAAGAGGACTACAAGTATTGGCGCCGCAGCGCCAGGAACTTCTTAAACAAAACTACTATCCACACAACTGTTCAAGATCAGCTCGACTACCTGATTGACCACTTGCGAGGACCAGCCGCTGCACAGGTGGAATATAGAGCAGCACCCGGAGCTCGTAACGCCTACGTGACAGCGGAAGAAGTCCTCACGGAACTTGATCGCATCTTTGACACGGTCGACAAGGTCACCGAAGCCAGCGCAGCGCTACACGACAGCGGCTCTGGAGGATTAAAGCAACGCGACAATGAATCGTTTAACACCTGGGTAGCCCGCTTTACCTCTACAGTCGCACCATTGAACCTGGGCGACAACGAAATGATCCAGCACGCGATCCGACTCATGAAGTTTGGTCGTAACGCAGGTTTACAATTCCGCCATGGTGATACTTGGGAAGCGTTTGCCCAGAATTGCCGCACTCAGCAACAGCTCTCACGTCTCACCCAGAGCAGCGGAAATAATGGTACCCGAACCGGCCGCAACACGTCTAACGCTGGTGGTGGAGGTAATGGCAACGGCAACAGCAATAGCAGCGGCTCCACAACGCGTAACAACTACGGTCGCACGCGCGCGCAACTCAACGCGTTGAGTAAGCAAGGCGAGTGCTTAAATGCGGAGGCACGGCAAATGTCAGCGGCAAGAAACATCGTCCGACCGACGCAGACGTCCCAGCAGCCTGCAAGTCTGGCTCTATCGTGCCAGCTAGCCGCGTCCCTGCCCTCAAAGCTACATTCACCAACGCCGCCCTCCAGGCCACAGTCGTCGATGCCACCGACGAGTCGGAAAACTAGCCGTCCCCGGCGAAAGACGCCCCCGGGGACCGCACCAAAATGGTCCACAGATACAGTTACAGTCACAGTTAAAGCCACAACTACCAGTCCAACCCTTGTTAGCGATACCCCCTATTGTTTCACCGACCCTTGATACCCAAACTACCCCGCTCACCGGAGCTACACCTAGCACTTTACGCGTTTGTTTACAAGAATTGGAGGACTGGACGCCTCCCCAGGCTATAGAGGACAGACACGTTGTCTTGAGCGCGAACACTATGGTCAAAGGCAAGCAGCTTGTCCAAGGCCAGCAGTTCGTTTTCAAGTGCAAGGTCGCCACTTCGAATAGCTATATTGATACGGAAGCTTTGACTGACTCTGGTGCTACTGGAAACTGTATCTCCACACTATTTGCGCAACGACATAACCTGCCGACGTTTCGGCTTAAACAACCTTTGCAACTACGACTTGGCGACGGCAATTTCGCCATGGCGCCTATCACACACGGCGTCCTAGCCCCCATCTCCCACGCTGAACACGTTAGCGAGGAACTCTTCTACAGTGTACCTATGACGACTTACGACTTTATTTTCGGCACTTCATGGCTAGAAGAGCATAATCCACACATCGACTGGAGGGAAAAAACTATGCGTTTCAACAGCGAGCATTGCTACGCCAACTGCCTACACAAAGGCGAGCAAGTCACTGTTCGCAGCAGTCGACACCGACGGGCCGCAGCAAAAGCCAAAGAACGGAACCCGACCTACGCGAACATGGACATACACCATGTGTCAGGTGAGGCCGCTGCCGCACTGGCATCACGACCAGAGAACGGTACTATCTGGCTGTACCCACATGATTTTGAACAACTCGACAAAGATGACAGCGATGACGCCGACGAGAGAGCCCAGGCTAGCCGCGTCTTCGCCTCACTATTTGCCATGGACATGAACGCCCTATCTCAGGAAGACATTGATAAGTTCCACCAGAAGCTGAACTCGCCCGCTAAAACTCGCGACGAGGTCCTAGACAAGTTGCCCGAATGGCTCCACGATCTCGCCCACCGATTTAATCCTGATCCCGCCACGACAGACTTGCCCGCTCGACGAGGCGCGGTCGACCACAGCATTGACATTATCCCCGGATCAAAACACCCAAACGCTAAGATGTACGGCATAAGTAAGGACGAAGGCCTTGCCGTTAAAGCTTATGTTGAGGACATGAGAGGACGCGGTGAGATCCGTGAAAGCAAGTCAGACTTCGCTTCGCCTGTGCTCGTCGTCCGCAAATCTGGAGGTGGACTCCGCATTTGCGTGGACTATAGAGCGCTCAATGCCGTCACTATCAAGAACAGGAACGCTCCTCCGATGATTAAAGAAACGCTCGCGCGGCTAGCTAACGTCGCCTACTTCACCGTGGTCGACGTCATCGCCGCCTTTAACAAAATCCGCATCAAGGAAGGCGACGAACATAAGACTGCCTTCCTAACACGGTATGGCCTATTCGAATACTTAGTGATGCCTTTCGGACTCTGCAACGCACCAGGTACCTTTCAGGCCTACATTAACGAGGTTTTACGCGATTACCTTGACGAGTTCTGCTCTGCATACCTCGACGACGTCCTAATCTACAGCGCGTCTTTGGCAGAGCATAAGGTTCATGTCCGCAAGGTTATCGAGAGTCTAGGTGAGGCCGGACTTCATCTAGACATTGACAAGTCCGAGTTTGCCGTCCAAGAGGTGAGATACCTGGGCCTCATTCTTACAACTGAAGGCATCAAAATGGACCCCGCCAAGGTTAAGTCAGTGCTCGACTGGGGCACCCCAACAACATTGAAAGAGTTGCAAGCATTCCTAGGTTTCGCAAATTTCTACCGAAGGTTTATTGTTGCCTTCTCTTATATCGCGCGGCCGCTCACGGATCTTACCCGCGGGACAAACGGCGACGTCAAGCTGAACTTTCCTATCGCCCAAGGATCTGCTGCCCACGACGCATTCGAAAAGCTTAAGAAAGCATTTACCATCGCCCCGGTCCTCGCGCACTTCAACCCCGCGCTTGAGACCTGGGTCGAAACAGACTCCTCCGACACCGTCACAGCAGCCGTGCTGTCCCAAGTCCAGACTGACGGAGTGCTAAAACCAGTCGCTTTTATCTCCACAAAGATGTCACCAGCTGAGTGCAACTATGCCATCTACGACAAGGAGCTTATGGCCATCGTCCGCGCCTTTGAGGAATGGAGACCAGAGCTGGCCGGCACCTCGGACCCGGTGAAGGTCATCTCAGACCATGCCACCTTACAGACCTTTATGGTCAACAAAGCACTCAACAGGCGTCAAGCAAGATGGGCTGAGTTTCTGAGCGAATTCAACTTTAAGATCACTTACCGACCAGGCAGACTAGGCAGCAAACCCGACGCCTTGACGAGACGCCCCGGCGACACACCCACGAACCCAAACGATCCACGGATCATACATCAGACCCAGACGATCCTCGGCCCCGACCGCGTCGACGACGTCATCAAACGAGACACGCACACACACAACGACGCCCGACAAGCAATTCAACTCGCGGCGCTGTTATTCGAATACGCGGAGGAGGTACAAACGCTAGCAGGCATGCTATATCTAATGAGCGAGGAGGCGTATGGCGTCGATGATTTGGTGGATGACGACTCAACCCCAGACGTAGCCTTGGACAGCCAGCCTAAGGGGGAGACAATTGAGATCCCTCACGCTGCTGCGCCAGCTTCCCTGGCACGGGTGCCGGGGGAGAACGCGCCTGACGATGGACTTATGACAGCGATCGTAAATGCCTACCGCGTCGATCCCACACTACAAGAAATAATACGAGCAAAGGCAGACGGCGCCCGTCACCTTCCCCACACTGTCGCCATACAAATGAAGCTGAAGCTAGAGCTACAGGACTGCGAAATCCGCAACAGTCTGGTTTACTTCCGCGGCAGACTCTTCATCCCCTACGACGACGATCTTCGCAAAGACATCGTCCGTCGGTTCCACGACACCGCCACGGCGGGCCACGGCGGCAAGCGCTCTACCTACTACCTAGTTAGCCAACAGTACTACTGGCCGCTCATGACAGACACAGTCGCTCAGTATACCCGGAGTTGTGTAGTTTGCCGACGCGCAAAGCCATACAGAGACCGCAAGCAGGGACTGCTGCACCCGCTCCCCGTACCGAAACGATTCTGGACTGACATTTCAGTCGACTTCATCACACCCCTGCCAGACTGTACTAGATTCGGACGCACCTACTCTCATGTCATGGTCGTGATTGACCGGCTAAGCAAGTCGCAACGGTTTATCGCCCTAGACAGCCTTGAAGTTGATGCTGTTGTCCGAGCATTTGTCGATTACGTCTGGAGAGAGGAAGGTTTCCCTACTACAATTGTGTCTGACCGAGGGTCACAGTTCGTCTCTCATTTCTGGAAGGAGCTGTGTCATCGACTGGGTGTTACACCAAAGCTCTCTACAGCTTACCACCCAGAAACAGACGGCCAGACTGAAGTCGCCAACGCCGGACTAAAGTGTTACCTGCGTGCTTACACGAACTATATGCAAAACGACTGGGTAGACTGGCTGCCACTAGCCCAGCTCGCCATCAATAACAGAGAAAACGTGTCCTCTGGCGTCGCACCCGCGCTTGCCACCAAGGGCTACCTACCTCGCATGGGATCGGAACTAGTCACCGAAGACTCGCCCATTACCGACGCCCGTTCACGCGCAGAACAGTTGCTCCGCGAAGACGCCCGAGGCACGGTGAAAAGGATGACCGACGTTATCCGTTTCATGCAAGAAAATCTTCGCTGGTCCCAAAACAAGATGGAACACTACGCCAACCAGCACAGACAGCCCGCTCCAGACTACCGCGTCGGTGACAAAGTCTATATTGATGCCCGCAATATCCCTACGATGCGCCCGAGCCGCGGTCTCAGCGCAAAGAACCTTGGCCCATACAAAGTGCGAGCTTTGCCCAACCGATATGCAGTCGAGCTCGCACTACCAGACTGCTACAAACAAGTCCATCCAGTGTTCCACCCATGGTTACTACACCTGGACGCCGATCAAACAGCTCGCCCAAATGAGGGCGTCATCGCTGAGAAACACCCTGACGGAGAGCACGACTACTACGTAGACATGGTCGTCGACTGTCGCATAGATAAACGACGCAAGGACACCCTCACAAACAAGAAAGGCATGCTCCAGTATAAGGTTAAGTACACCAACTCCCCAGACTGGAATGCCTCGCCCGCATGGCAAGACTATACAGACCTGTGGGGCGCAGAGGAAGCGGTTGAAGACTTTCACCGTCTCTATCCCGACAAGCCCCCACCTCACGAACTGTATCGAGACCTAGCGTTGTATCTCAACCTAGTCGCCGCATATTCACTTGGTCGCGATGATGTTGAAGTTGTTAGCGTACTAGACAGTTGTGAGCTTGCCCTATCACCTTCGCATTCACTGATGGCACAGCTTGGACCTGGGAAGGTGGCACAACTCAGGACGTCTGTCTCCAAGCAGAAGCAAGGACCCGAAGGATGAGACACAACATAACTGCTCGGCATCAAGCACAGCGTCATAAAATAAAAGACATTCACGGCTTGCAGGTGCAACCGTCTTCTGAAAGGGGGGGGTAATGTTACGGATCCATAGACTCGCTCGGCCCATGGCCCCCATATCGATAAGATCCTTATCTTATCGGACTAGCGCCTTGGCGCCCACAGCATAAGTTCGGGCTCACAACGTAGATAGCTCGATAGCTTGTATCTTGTCAAATCCAATCTTTCTTGATCGATCCCTCACAGCTTCTTCCAAGAATCTTAAAATTATGCAATATCTTTCATCACTATTGTAGTTCACTAGTTTTTTAGTAGACCTGATAGGAACCTTAGGCTGTTCTTCTTGCCTTTCTATGAATTTTGGATATAGTGCTAACCGAAACTAGTTTCTAGCTCGCGCACATTGTTTGTTCTCAGCGCATGGCTACACTTCAAGACACTCACTAGAAATATCATACCGCTACGCAAGGGCTTTGCTGTGTTTGATCATCTTAGTTAGTAAATAGATCCGGTTTATTATGCTAGTGCTAGAGATAGCCAATTGCAAAGCAGCCCCGAGGGTTGGTCGTCGAAATCTATGGCCAGGATTTTATGATCGCAGAACACCTGCACTGCGCTGTCAGCCCTGTAGTACCGTCTAGAATACAGGCAAGGCAGGTACGAAGTGGCCGAGGCGATAGACTAGTAGAGGTTAGTGCAGCGAGAGAAGGTGATTGTGGCCGGATACGGGAAATGTGGACCCGTCAATGCAAACAACTCCCTGTATCGGCCGACGGTCTACTGGCCATAGAAAATCTTGACTCTGATGTTCGCGGCACGTAATGTGCCTCTGCAGGACTGTTACGCGAAGAAGGGCTGGCATCAGATATGACTTTGTTGACTATTGCATCCAGACGCACCACTAACAGCGGTGTGATGCTCGTACTAGGTGATTTTTCCGCTGTAATGGAACAGCAGCGAAGCTTGTTTACCGCGTGGGATCCCCAAAGAAGACAAGGAGAGGATCTCATAACTGCAGGTCAGCATATGTGGCGTCGCTCGTTGTGGAGCGGAAAAACATTGACTTTGGGATTAGGATGGAGCGCGGGACATAGCTCACCGAGGTTGATTTCTATCAAAAGCCAGATAGAGCCTAGTCTTCGAGTTTAGAATAGCGCACCAGATCTGGAAAATCGACGCTCGGACGGCCGGCAGTGTGGGCTAGTACTTGGGATCTCCAGGAACCTGGCTAATATCATGCGTGGAAACAGGGATGAAAAGAGAAATTGCTTAGCAGATTCGGAGCTGTCTCCGACTAAGCGAGCGTCTGCTGTCTGTCAAAAAGATGGCGGGTGACGAGGGAGGTTGGGATCCGAAGGGACCGGCACATATCGAAGAGTCCGTGCTCGAAGCTAAGCCTAAAACAGGCAAAGCTCTCGACAAATTTAGAAGTCTCAACGGCAACGCCAGTAGCGCTGTCACGGTGTTGTGGTAGGGCTGTGCCGTTACTTGCATGTCCCGGGCTGTATCCTTGCTGCTGATGAATCTACCTAGGTAGTCTGGCATGTTCTCTCTCGTATCCAACTTCAATCGCTCGTACGTGTAGTGGGGCTTTGCAGATGGTGAGAGACTACGACGTGTTGAGCGGCTGATACTACATCGATTTCAGCCGTCCTCGATGTGTGGCCGCTTAGGGTGAGTGTAGTATATAAGTTTGCTCTCATCTCGTCCTTGATACCCATCATCATCCGCAAACACACTTTCCTACCTATCCACCTTCGCTTTCCTCAGGCCGACACTCGCTATAGTGCCATCTTCAGACAATCTATAATACTTAATCTCAACCCAACCCAACTTCTACATAATATAATCAAAGAACCGACAAAGCGAAACTGACAAGATGCGTTATTCTTTCATCGCCGGTGCCATCATCGGGTCGACCTTTGCCAGTCCCGTCGCTCAATATGGCTATTACCCTGCAGTCACGCCTTCCGGCTACTCTGCATCATCGACTCCCGTAGTCAGCCCACCTTACCCGACCAGCACGCAGACACCAAGCTCTTACGCGGCGTCAACTCCAGCGTCAAGCTCAGCACCAGTTAGCTCTTCAGCCTACAATGCTTCACCTCCAAGCTCAAGCGTTGTGGTTCTCTCCTCATCCAGCACACCATGCAGCAGCTCGACAGAGTACTCCCACGGACCCTCCTCTTCCGTGCCTCACCCGATGGCGTCCTCTTCCGTACCTTACCCAGTGGCGTCCTCTTCAGTGCCTTACCCAGTAGCATCCTCTTCCGTACCTAACCCGGTGGCATCTTCTTCGATGCCCCAGGGTACTGGATACCTTCCAGTGAAGCCTTCCTCCACCCTGCCCCACGGCTACCTTCCAGTACAGCCTTCCTCCACGATGCCCTACGGCACTGGCTATATTCCAGTCAAGCCTACATCTACGACGCCCGCGGCGCCTGGAACTACTGAGTACCCTCACTCTGATGTTACTACTACCTACGTAACCACCGTGACAGGTTTCGTTCCTTGCAGCACTTCTGTTGGACAGAACGAGCATTCGGTCCCGGTTTACTCAACCTACTTGACGGCAAGCTACACAACCGTAACTCTTACATCGACCATCCATGGATGCGGAGACAAGTGTCCCACGCCTACTCCCCAGGTACCAAAGCCAACCACCGTTGTGCCTGTCCATACCGATGTGACTCCTGCCCCTGGCCACCCTTACCCAGCTGAGACCAAGTCGGTCTACCCAGACAATGTGCCCCACCCCGCTGAGTCCTCCAAGCCCCAGCCTTCCGCTGTTTCTGGGTGCCCGGCTCCTCAAACCGTCACCAAGACTGAGGTTTACACCGTAACCGTCGGCAATGGCTACACTCCTGTTCCCACAGGCCCGGTCACCACCATCGTCGTCACTGAGGCTGGACATCCCCAGACATACACGGTCACTCTCCCAGGGCCCAAGCCCACCACCACCGCTGAGGGACCCAAGCCCTCCGCTTCTTCCACCAAGACTAATTCCCACGGAGCGCAACCGCCATACCCTACCTCCAAGCCTCACCAGTCCGCTACCCCATCTGCCGGTACTTCCATGAGCTACGAGACCTCATCTGCTCCCTACCCTACTGTCAAGCCTTCATCTGGAACCTCGATGAGCTATGCGACCTCGTCCGCCCCGTACCCAGTCCACACCCCTAGCTCCTCGTCAACCCCTATCCCATCATCTACCAGTGTGAAGCCCACTTACGTCAAGCCCACGGAAACCAAGTCATACCCTGCGAGCACTCCTTCATCTTCCGCTTCGCCGACTCCCCAGCCCAGCGGTTACGGAGCCGCTTACCCAGGCGGCTACGGCGGATACGGAAACTACTAAATGTAGTCGATGATCAAGTCGAGACGATTTCCTTCATTTCCGAGCAACGATTTTAGGGTGCACAGGTGTTTGTTACAGTAACTGCGGTAGCTGTAGCCCCTCTTTTAGCAGGGAATTCACTCCTTCACCTAGATAGCCACGGCGTTTTTGTGATTCACGGTCATGTCTGACAAGCCCTCTAATGCTTAGATGTTTATATTCGGTTCATAGCATATAGATCTTACGATGGACATTTGAATTTAACTGGAAAACTATAAAATATCTAACTTTCGTCCCTCCTTCAATTTCTCTTCATCAACTATCCTCCATGCCAACCGTGACGTACTTCATCTGTCGTAGGAAAATATTCGCGGACCCCGCCACACAAACACGACATCGCGCAACCACCAGAAAGTCTCACGCAAAACTGTCCGCCAGCTCTTGCTGTGCAGGCCTGGACCCACCTCGCGCGTATGCAATGCCAGAATCAATACACCCTTCTGGGCCCCGTATTCGTATCAGGCTCAACAACCGCTTTGGGAAGTTCTCCCGCACAATCAATAGTCTCGCTCGTATCAGCACTGAAGTTTCCAGCTCACAACAGTGCAACCTTGCCAACGAGGAATCTGTGCAGAAGGGTTTCCCGCTGACTCCCACGATAAGGCGTGCAGCACTCACTTTATTGATTTTGAATGCTGACGGGAACTGATAGGAACGCGCATCGTGACCCTGGTCAGTCTGCTGCCGTAGAACTTTCGAAGCGTTCGTATTGACAGGGGTGCTAGGCCGTTGGCGTATTCAAAGCTGCGCGTCTCGGTATATAATCTGCGCATCTTGTTTCCAGCCACCTCATCATGGCGGCTGGGGTGGAATGATGCTACTGTAGTACCGCTAGAGTGTGCGCTTCAAACAACAACGCCACAAAATATCGACTAACGCCGGTAATCTATTCGCATTATTGATATCTACTTTTTCAACTCCAATGATCGCCATACGGGAGAAATTACCGCAAGCGAGCGTTTTTTCAATCTAGCGGGTGGGTGCAAGATAGGCCACTTCACTGTTACCTAGGTACTTCATGATTATTTTCGTTTCTGAGCATGTCAGGGGATACAGGTGAGCGAATAGACGCGTAACACGATACAGACTAGAACCCCCAATTGCTGGGGTGCAAATGACCAGTATACCGACAGTTCGCCCACTCCGCCGAAGCCTTGCGCTGTTCCTCCCTGACTTGCGCCTGCGTCTGGATCCGCCGTGCCACAAACGTGATCTCATCGTAGCCTTGAAACCGCGAGCTGGGCAAGTCCTTGCTCCGGAAGGTAATTTTAAAAACGTCGGGCCCCAGAAACATGACATTGATGTTCACAGACTTCTCGTCCATATTGTGAGCAGATCCCAGCTCGATAAGACAACCTATCTTCATGGGCCTTGTGGACGCCCACTTGGGTGCTTTGAAGTCGAACTCAACCCGCTCTGAGACGAAGAAAGTAAAGTCCGACTCTCCGGAGAGGTCTGCACCCACCATAGTACTATATGAATCGTCTGATCTGCTCATGCGGAGTGGTCCAATGTCGAAGTCTTCGAGCTTTCTTGGACCCCATTTCGGGATTTTTCTTTTCATGCAGTCGAGGTACGCACTCGAATACAGGGTCCACTTTCCCTTAAGACTGACCAACGGTACTTTCTTCCACGGTTTTCTATCGAGGTAGTCTTCGATCCGGTCCGCATTTGCTTCCTGTCTGACGTAGTGTTTCCTTGCTTTAGTGAAGAGCTTCTCAAAGAGTTTTTCGTCGTCTTCTTCGTCCGTCTCACTAGAATCATCTGTCGAATCTTCCTCTTCCACCTCCGTCATCTCTTCATCATCCGTTGCATCTCACACCTCCGTCATCTCCTCATCGTCAGTTGCATCTTCCTCTTCTGTCATGGCTTCTTCTTCTGATTCATCATCCTCATCCGTCTCATCCTCCCCTTCTGTTATGGGTTCCAACTCAGACTCAGACTCATTCGTCAGATCCGTCATCTCCTCGTCCGTGTCCGCAAGCTTCTCATTAACCATCCTCTTAGCAGGCCTCGCGCGCGCAGCGGTATGTACCATGGTGTATCAACTTCTCCAGATTGTCGAATGATAGATACGTCGTATGTTCTGACGACAACTAGAATAACATACGTAGAATCTTCTAGAACTGTGTCATCTCCAAGGGTCATATCAGGTGGGGCACCTCCGCTCTAACCATATCTGTCTACCTGGTTCGGAGCCGTGCACACGTTACGGGTGGATAGGTACCTATCCTGGAGCTTGGAGATGAATTTGGTTCTTCTTCCAAATATCGGAAGTGGTTTTATGGATTGCCTACAGGTTGCAGTACATAATATCTTGGACGTCAGAAGACATTCATCTGGTGTGTGCTCCGGTCTGACGGCCTCACTGCGGGTCAGCTGTCCACACGAGAAAGCTTCAAACAGAAGGAACAACATGTCTGTTGGAGGCGTTCAATTTTGAATTAGGGATGAGTTGTAGTTGTAATCGCTTTGTTTTCGTTTAAAAACGGAAATTTTGCGTCGCTTGTGAATGAGTGTCATGGTACTCGAGGGCATGAAAGGAACAGCACGGAAGAATGTATATTGGCTTTTCTGAAATATGGGAAAGGTTGAAGTTCATTCTCATTTCTTGTCCCCGCATGCTGGCAACCCGTCAGTACCAGAGTCATCGTCATTAAGCCCACTGTCAGTGCCGGGCCTCTGTGGCTACTTTTGTAACCCGTACTATTCCATGAAATTCTTCGGTTCCCTGTTATTTTCTGGGTGCAAGCCACCAGTATAGCGACAGTTCCTCCATTCTTCATCCATCTTCTCCGCCTCGCACTTTACTGCTTTCATATCTTGGTCGTGTATGCCGACGAAGTAGACACCGTTGATCGCATCTGTCTGTTTGAAATAACCAACTCCAACAGACCATTCCTAAGGAAGGTGAGCTTCGTGGTAAACTTCTCTGCCTCTCCGTCGTCGTAGAAGGATACCTTAACAGCATCAAGAGACGCGTACTTTGGTCTTTTCATATTGATAGCAGTGGCTTCTTCGGGCCCGCCGAAGATGTCGAGTACTGCTCCCATCATTCCTTTGCCTATGCCGAAGTTGTATTGTGGGAGACGCTTGCCGAGCCGGAGGGTTCCCACTCCGTCATCCCATTCGGTATCGTCGAGGTCTTGGTCCGGTTGTGACGTGTATATATCGATGTATTCTGAGGAGTAGAGGTTCTATTTCCCACAAATATCGTCCAATCGAACTTTCCCATCGTTCTCCAGCTCCACCTCAAGTTTTTCTCTAGCTTCTTTCGCTTGCTCTTCCTGCTCAGCTTGCCTGACCTTTTCTCGCTCAACGAATCCCTTCATTTCGATCTCTTCTTCAATCTTATGATCAGTCGCGATTTCTTTCTCGTGATGCTCTAGCAAGAGTGAGCTGACCAGGCTGACAACCAGACAATCTTCAAAAACCTATCATTCGGTTCTAACAGTTCAGAATCCATGTTGATTCTGGCGGATAGGTACTTATGGCTGTGATTATCTGTTTGGGAAGCAAATTAAACGAGTACACAATTCATGGAGGGCGAACGATTCGCATGTGTTTACGTCCGAAGCCGTGACGTAGTCGTGTGACGTCACGCTACACTCGAAATATACAACCCTGTATCTTCGTCGAACAACATCATCTCGCTTCTGCAGACTACACGACTCATCAACATGATTTCATTATTGCCATTATATCCTATTCGCTGGTTGGCCATGTTCTTGCGGATGATAGTGCTGTGTACCTGCACAATCGCAGATCGCATGTCGCATCTGTACCACCCCGCTGATCCCAGACGAGCAAACGCTTCGCCATGTTATATGTAGAGCTCCTCTCAATCATCGTGGACAAACCCAGGTATCGCCATATAGCCCTAATTAGTCCCAATATACGCAAAACTCTGAAAACCATCGTAGATCAACCCAGACATTGACATACAGCAAGTAGATTCGTCGATCCGCGCTATCGTTTCCTGGTCCTCAATCCCCTCTGAACTCCTTCAAAAATCCTCGCAGAGTACAGTCAGCCTCTTCAATGCTCCTTTAGGCCTCTTCTTTCTTCTTCATCTGCCTCATCTCTTCCACCAATTTCTCCAAGTCCAGTTTCGGAACCACATACTTCGCCCACCAAAGCACCACCCAACAGCCAGGAACAAGTTTCAGCTTCTTCACAAACCCCATCTCTCTCTCTGCTTGTTGGAGGTCTTCTCGAACAATTGCTTCCATCATCCTGGGGTTAACACGGAAGAAGCTGGTATCAGCCTTTGGGCTATCCAAGTCTTTGGCTGCCCATACACCGGGAACATAGTATCTCCCACGATGAAACTCTCCTCTTCGGCGACGATGTTCGGCAACTGTGTGTGTGGCATGAGGTACGCTGATCTTGGTGCGAGCGAGAGGTTCGAAGGGTGACAGGTTGACAACATTGAGGTGTTCGGGCGATATAGTCACGCGATCTGCGATGCGGACGCGTTTACATGTATGGTTCATTGAGCTGGGTGGAGTGTCAGGAGTATCGACGCGCGGGCGCTTGAGACTGGATTTAGGCGTCGCAACCTCTTGCTGGGTCTTTACAGACGGCGGCGTAGTAGGAGTCTTTGGAGTAATCGGTGGCGTACACTTGGCTTGGTGTGGTTCGGATAGCATCGCTAATGTCGGATTCGATGTGGATGTGGTTACTGGCAATGGCTGCTGGGATTTGGCGTAAGAGCCTTGTTGTGGTGGAGTTACAGGCAGAGTAGTTGACAGAAGAGATTTTTGGTGACGGATAGGTACATCTTGCCGATGCAGTTTCGATGGTGTTGATGTGGCGGCTTCCTCCAGCTCTTCTTGCGACATCTCCTTCTCCAACACCATCTTCAGCCACACCATCAACAGCCGAGCGAACTCCTTCTCTTCCTCGGTCGGTTCTTCCTCTTCTGCCTTGTCTGCATATGGCACGCCTGGTACCTCTTTCAGCTCGTCCGATTTCTTCTCCCATACTTGCAGCACTTCTTTCAACATTGCTATATCATCTTCTCCCATTTCCTCATCCTTGAGCAAGTCTTCAAGTCGATCAATGGTGTTTTGCATCTCCAGTTTAGTCGTGACCCATTCCTTCCTCGCGAGTGAGTGGATCCCTGGATGTGTTTCCTTTTGCTTGAATATGCCACCGCGCCTGGCGATCATGCGTTGTAATAATTCGAGCTGGTGTACTAGCCGCGTTATCGCACAGTTAGGACATACCTTCATCCATTGGTCAAGCTTGCGGGCAATAGACGAAGGTAAGCCATGTACGCATGCGCACATGAGGGCAGTGTAGGGTGCGGGCTTGTAGACTCTGGCCATGTTGCGCTCAAGTGAGGCTCGCTTGCTTCGATTTGCTGTCTCTGCGAATGTGGGGAGGCGAAGGTCGCGACAGTCGTAAGTAGAAAGATTCAGTACATGGGAAGTAAGAGCGTTTGCGATTAGTCGCCCCGGGTTTGATTGCTAGGTGAGTGCCAAGGCCAAAGCGTCATGACGTAAAAGTCCGCGAGTGAAAGGTAGACTCCGCAACAATCAATTCAATCCGGTCACTCTCCTAGACCCACTTACCTATCTAGGTAGGGCTTAAACTCCTATAGGTAACTACTAGGCTTAAAGCGGTAATCAATCAATCCAATCTGAACCTTCTAGGACCCACTTAATTGATTGTTGCGGACTGTGGTGAAAGGTAAAAGTCGGAAGTGATTGTCGCACTTTGCGATTGCTTGGGGCCACTGAGTAGAGAGAGTGAGAGTGGCCTAAGGCAATGGTATAATAGAAAATGTTTTTATGGCGTACCTGGGTGTCAATAAATACTTAACAATGTGGGTAAGCGCCTACCAAGCGTGTCTAACGACTACAGTAGCCTTTGCACACTAGTATGTCAAGTATCTTATGACACCTGGGTGGGCGCAAAGTTCTGTTGGTCCAGGGCGCAAACGTGCGATTCGGGCGGATGATATATAGTTAAGTGGTGTGACTAGGGGGTGAAAAGGCTCAGTAAAAATGGAAATCGAGCATGTGTCACATTCGCCCTATAGATGAAATTGTTTGCTTCCGAAGTACTGCGACATATCAGCCAAACCGGATCATCTCTTGCGTATCTCCACCTGCTTCTCAAATAGTCAAAGAAGCTAGGGCGCATTGAAACCTGAAATTCTTTCAGTTCGTTTGTATTGGACATAAGTGTGGCGATTCCTGTGCACACACGCGAAGATGAACGAGCACATGACTGTGCGAGTCAGTACAAAGCATATGTACGCGTCAATGAGATGGTCTAGGTGACAACGTAACGCTCATCGAAATGGATATTAGTTCTGACAAACGATGACTTAATCCACGTCCGAGAGGCGATGCAACTTTGTATGCGCTGAGCAGAAAAGATTGATTTGACAAGAAAGGAAATGAATGCCTCGATTATCCCGTAGACAAAAGCCGGACAGCAGCTCCTTACACTATATTAAACATGCGTCGCTCTGTGATATATACGAGCTATATAAACATCGGCAGCTCTGAAGGTATGTTGGGCGTGTACGATTTAGTGGGAATAAGAAAATGAAAGGAATATTGATGGGGGGAAGTGGGCAGCCTCATGACAGCCGAACCGAATGACATACAGGAAACATGACACTTAGCTCGCCACGCGTTTACTGAATTGTCCTGCCTGAGTGACTTATCATTTTGCATCTCCTGGTAGACGTAGGCGGAGTTCTCTAGTAAATCGTAGTGCTGGAAAGAAACAATTGAAAGCTATTCCCCTTTTGATCTGGCCGTGAAATGAAAGAGAAAATCTTCGTATATCACAGAGTCATCAAAACACGCATTATTCTTATGGTAAATCAGCCAGATAGAAGACATGTCGCATTCTGATGAAAGGTTTTCAGTCTCGAGATGATGTCATCTCCTCCTGGTGGGTCTTCTACGGAAATTGGCGAGAACCGCGGCGCCGCGGAAACCGCGGACTGCGTGGCGCCACAGCCAAGAAGATCGCGTCAGGAAGATCTCTAGCAGACAATGGTGATGGCATTCAAGACATCACACCCCCTCTTACATAATCACGTCAGGATACAGGCTTTGTCAGAAGAAGAGAAAGAGTTGGAAGTTCGGGTGTTGCTGCACAATAGCCACAGTGGAGGAATATGAACGACAACTTCGACACTAAGCAGACTCAGGAGCGTGGCAAAAGTCAAGAAATCAACGGTACTGAGACGAGCGGTGTACAAAGTGATGCTGCAGAACGTGACGAGGAAGTGACGTCGAAAAAGAGGACGCGGCCTACATGGCTAGCTGTGTTGACGCAGCATGGCGAGAAACCTCCGTTTATGCTGAAATTCAGAAGTTCAGATGGCTTCATCATTGGGACGGTGTCGTTGGCTGTCTTCACAGTAGGTCATTGCTTCGTACAGTTCGCGCAAGATTGTGGAGCTAACTCAAGTAGGACATGTTTCTGTACGGTGTGATTGTGCCTGTCATTCCTTTCGCGATACGGTCACGAAGCCACATTGAACAGGACCGAGTGCAGTACTGGGTATCGGTCCTGGTTGCTGTCTACGGTGCTTCCCTGTTGGCATTTTCACCCGTATGTGGCTGGCTTGCGGATCGTGGTTCGTCACGTCGCTCTCCGCTTCTTCTGGGCTTGCTCGTCCTACTAGGTGCGACTATTTTGCTTGATGTGGGAAATTCCATCGCTGTTCTCATCGTCGGCAGAGTGCTGCAGGGAGCCTCTGCTGCTGTGGTGTAAGACTACCGGAGCCTGGAAAACAAATCCATTGACTAACATGGCGCAGATGGGTCGTTGGCCTCGCTTTGCTGGCGGATACTGTACCGCAAGACCGACTGGCGACAGCCACGGGGTGGCTGAGTATAGGAATGTCGCTTGGATTGCTAATATCTCCGCTGCTTGGTGGCTTGGTATACGACAAGGCTGGGTACAATGCTGTTTTCGCCATGTGTTATGGCTTAGTCGGATTGGACGTGATTTTGCGCTTGCTGCTCGTGGAAAAGAAAGTAGCTGCTAGATGGGATCCTACTGTTGTAGGGCGTCTGGAAGTACAAGCTGAAATTCGTTCGGACGAAACCGCGAGACCAGAGGTTGGTGCCTCGACCCAAAGCCCCAGCTTGGAGCCTACCAAAGGCCCAGAATCAGAACCGGGTGCAGCGGAAGCGCAACAAGACATCCGCCCGCAACGCCGTCTACGCGATCGCCTTCCCCCGGTTATCTCACTTCTATATTCTCGACGTCTACTCGCTTCACTCTTCTGCGCTCTTATCCAAGCTCTTCTCGTCACAGCGTTCGACTCAGTTCTCACCATTCACGCGGCAGACACATTTAACTGGAACTCGACGGGCGCAGCACTTCTCTTTCTCCCTATCGTTATACCAAGCTTCCTCGCGCCACTATGGGGTTGGATATGCGACAAATACGGCGGACGCTATCTAGTCGTGGTCGGCTTCCTGTGTGCATGCCCCCCTCTCGTCTGTTTGCGCTTCGTCAATGAAAACACCATCAAGGACAAGGTACTTTTGTGCGCGCTACTGGCGTTGACGGGTCTGTTCATAGGTATGACTTTCGCGCCGGTCATGGCAGAGATTTCGGCGGTCACCGAGGCCAAGGAGAGAAAGATGCTCGAGAGTGGGCGCCCAGGATTTGGCAAAGGCGGAGCTTTTGCTCAAGCTTACGCGCTGTTCAATGTGGCTTTCGCTGGAGGATGCATGGCTGGTCCTTTACTGGCTGGTTTCATCGTTGAAGACAGTGGATGGTCGACCATGGCGGCAGTGCTGGGCGCGTTGTCTGCCGTCACCGCATTGCCTGGTTTTCTCTGGTTAGGTGGCTGGGTGATGAGACCTTAGTCAAAGCATGACATTAGGATTGAAGTGGCCAGGATTGCTTTTACCCAGAGTCAGCAGCTCCGTATATCGATGCTTACTGGGTTGTACCATATGTTGTGGTACGTTGTATACATGTCAGCTGCACGGTGGTCCCGTTCGCGGCCGCTACCGAGGCGCCACGCTTTAATCGCACCTCCAAGCCTAACCATCGTCGTGGTCGCATCCTCCCGTCCTTTCATCCCAACCCACAACGTGTGTCGCCAGCATCTTCCTTCCATGCCAGTGATCTAAACTCATAATGACATGTACAACCGCAAGCTGTCATGCTTTGGGTTGGTGAGAATGAGACATGGTCAGATTCGTCAAACCCTCTTCTCCTCCATGATTCGCCTCGGGTCTGTTCTTGAACTATCACCGCCACTCCCCACCCGTTCTGGGCGCAGCTATATCCCGCAAATCTGTCGTCCAACTCCTGAATCGTGTGGGAACTCCGTTGTACACGTGCCTTCCGTAGGTGACATCGCATGTAAGCCACGATGCACGTCTCTTCCACCAACCAAGGCTCATTAAGCCCTACACCGGACGTCACACTATGTCAGGCGCCACGAGAAGAGCAATCGAGAACTCTTCCACCAGATGACGATCCCCACGCTTACTCCACATTACGCTATCGCTAGCGCGTCTTGGAGGGGTCGTGCCCAACGACTATACCGCGACGCCGAACTCGACCGGCTAGGGATTTCATACTAAATGGCCTGGTAGGCTGTAGCTAAACAAGCTCGCAAAACTATGATCAGGCGATCTGCGTACCCTGCATCTTACTCGCTATAATCGTCAGGCACGGGTCATTTGCCGTGCATTAATACGCTGTACTAAGTTTACCATGGTCACTTGCAAAAACTCCATGCAGTCACCTGCTTGACCGCTTGTCCTGTGTGACACCTGTTAACGTGTTTCAAGCCGGTAAGCAATCTCGGTGGTTTTCTATCTCCGCGACTAGGCGGTACATGTATGTACAGTACTTGCTCTCTCCGCAGGTATCACATGACGCCGAGAGCCAGCGCACCTTTGCATGATGCTCGGAGAGCACCAGTGGCGCAAGAAACTCTTTTACCGCTCCAAGCACTATGGGTATACGGCAGGCCTAAGGGCATATCCGGGGCATGATGCGTCACATGCGCTCTGACCGCGTCCGGGGTGCTCGGCATTGTTTGGTGTTTCCGGTCGATCGATGTATCATGTTGCTTTCAGTCAATGCTTGTGCACACTTGTAACCTCTTCATAGTTCGAAACATAGATTATACATTGTAAATCAGTGCGGAAGATCAACATCGCTTCGTTGCTAGACTCCCGAGGTTGGGTTTGGGCAAGAACTTACCCACTTGCCATGGCCCTTACCAACTGCAGTCGCAACTCAGTTAGGGACCGGAACCTGCAAGTAACTCACGCGCCCAACCTTAGAGGGGCCCCGCGTGGACTATTTTCTAGTTCCGGCAGCTTACCTTGATGCGTTGACCCTGCTACCCATTCCCCGGATATCGCACAACCTTTTATAGGGCCCAGTGTCACCACATCTTACAGTCTACACTCATACCCACAGTATCTCATACTACTTCAAGTGCGACATCATGATTTTCTCACGCACAATCATTGCGTTATCGCTATCCGTCGCTGCACTTGCTGCCCCAACGTAAGTGTTTTACACGAGGTGGTGGAATGCACACTTCACATTCCAGATATAGTGGTCGCGACCACCTGGAGCATTCCTTCCAAATTTTGCGAACATGTTGCTGACTCGTACCCAAGTGAGAAGCGTGGTGTTGCCTTTAATTGGGGCACAGATAAAGTCCGTGGTGTGAACATTGGCGGATGGCTAGTACTTGAGCCGTAAGCATTTCAACCAAATGTCGAAGCGAGCAAATCATTGATCATCACTGTACAGATGGATCACACCGTCTATCTTTGACAATGCGAATGCGAACCGTGGGCAGAAGGACATTGTTGATGGTAGGTCATAGCTATCTCTTTCAATCACTTCAAGGCTTGGCACTGATACGATACAGAGTACACATTGGGGCAGAAACTCGGCAGCGCGGCAGCGGGCTCCATACTCCGCTCTCACTGGGACTCATGGGTCACATGGAATGACTTCAACAAGATCAAGCAAGCAGGCTTCAACATTGTCCGTATCCCAATTGGATCATGGGCGTACGACACTTTCGGCGCGCCTTATGTATCTGGAGCCGGTGTCTACATCGATGCTGCTGTCGACTGGTCTCGAAGCTTGGGACTAAAGATCATCATCGACCTGCACGGCGCTCCGGGATCCCAGAACGGATTCGACAACTCTGGCCAAAAGATGCCCACGCCACAATGGCAAAAGGGAGACACCATCAAGCAGACCCTCCAGGTTCTCAACACCATCCAGAAAAAGTACGCCCAGGAATCCTACCAAGACGTCATTGTGGGTATCCAGCTACTCAATGAGCCCGCCCTATACAATGGTCTCAACCTCGATATACTCAAGCAATTCTACCGCGACGGATACGGTCAAACACGAGCAGTTTCCGACACACCTGTAATCCTCCACGATGGATTCAACAACCCCAACACCTGGAACGGCTTTCTCACGCCATCAGATAACAACGCCTACAACGTTGTTATGGATCACCACGAGTACCAGGTGTTTGACCAGACGCTTCTCAAGATGTCACCTGCGCAACATACCAGCTACGTCTGCAGTAACTCTGGCACATGGAGCGGTGCGGATAAATGGACTATTAGTAAGTCTCTATTGTGGCGCAGTTTAGTTTGGATTTAGACTAACTTTACCTTTCTAGTTGGAGAATGGACATCCGCCATGACCGACTGCGCAAAGTACCTCAACGGCTACGGAATCGGCGCTCGCTTCGATGGTACCTTCCCCGGAAGCAGCAAGATTGGCGACTGCAGCTGGCGCAACGATCTTTCCAAGTGGCCCGCTTCCTACAAGGACGACAGCAGGCGCTACATTGAAGCTCAAATCGCTGCTTTCGAGAACAAGGCCCAGGGCTGGTTCTGGTGGAACTTCAAGACGGAGGGTGCGGCCGAGTGGGATGCATTCCGCCTCATTGACGCTGGCGTCTTCCCTTCGATTTCAAACGGAAAAGTCAACTACAAGTTCGGCGGCTCATGCTAGAAGCTAAATGGGACGTTGGATTACGAAATTACGATAAACACGAAGACATCCCACGAGTCTGGGGCTATGAAGGAAACGAACAGGAGTACATACACATGAGAGTAACGATTCTATACATTGTTCAACTGGTTGATGACTTAGGCAATGACATACTACAATTTCATATTCAAGCAATGTGCTTTATGACAAACAGGATTGCCAGAGTGAGAGAAATAAGAAGGGGGTCAAACATGTCAGGGCCCGAGGGCATACAAGCACAAAACACCTGCCGTTATGCCATCTATCCGCACCATCCGCACCATCCGCACAACCAGTTGCGGAAATAAAATCCAACTAAGCCACACAAAAAGCGCAGTCAAGTCTATCCTATAAGCTTGCAATTCAAGCCCCATATCTTACAAAAATAACCCAGCCAAAACACCAAAAACACAAGCCTCCCGTACCCCAAGATGCAAAACAACGCCATCATTTATCTTCCAACGGCCCCAACAGCGGCATAACATCCTTAAACCTCACCGGCTTAAGTAAAAACTCATCAAACCCACAAACACTCGCCTCTCTCCTCGCCTTATCACTACCCAAGCCCGTCAGCGCAAAAACAAACGCTCTGAAAGGTCTTCTCCTCTCCTCCCCATGGTCAATACCCTCATTTGTATTCTCATCCCCATTTACTCCGCCCACCCGTCTAGCCACCTCATCCTCGACCTTTCGAATATTAACCACAGCCTGAAATCCATCCATGACCGGCATACTAATGTCCATGAAAACGCAGTCAAAAGCGTCGCGGCTACCGGCAGCAGATTGGTACAGCTGGACTGCTTCGGCACCGTTTGTGGCGCTGGAGTAGCGGACGTTGAGGCGCTTTGCAAAGGCCGAGAGCATTTTGAGGTTGATGAGGTTGTCGTCTACGAGGAGAAGGTTGTGGAAGCGGCAGTTTGGGGGTGGTGGCTGTGAGGGGGGTAGGCGAAGGGTTTGTATCGTCGAGGTGTGCTGTGATTGGGTTGGTTGGGGAGGACGGGTTCGGATTGCGAGGACGGTTTCTTGTTGGAGTTTAAGGATTGGGGTCGCCGCTTCGGTGTTGTTATTGTTGTTTTCTGGGATTGCGGTTGGCGAGGTGTTCTCTTTTTCTGTGCCATTTTCGAGCGCCAAGGGTGCCGGTGATGGCGACGATAGCGATAGTTTCTTCTCGTTTGCCTCATCTAGCGCGGAAACGAGCAGTGCCCGTAGCGACTTCCCAGTGACTAATATCGTCATGTGCGTAGCTTTCCGGAAGCCAACCTTGTGTGCTACAATCTTACTGAAACTATCCAGCACTACCACTACCTGCGGGGCATCCTTGGATGTATATCCAGTCAACAATGTTTCAAAGTCGGGCGTTGGTAACGTACCAAGCGTATGCGCATCGATGAGTAATACATCTGTTGAGGACGCGTCCGCCAATGAATTTGTAAACTTCATCCCAAATCGATCCTCGCAAATGTTGCGGATTGAATGCTCCAGAACCTCTGGAGGAGACACTACACGTGTACTAAAGCCTTCATTTGTTGATCTGTGTCGAGATAGACTAAGGAGGCCGACAGTCTTCCCCCGCAATATGTCCAGGGGGATGGAATCGTTTTCGGCTCCTGGACGACTATTTTTCAGGGGCCTTCGGCTGGTCGGGATTTCGATTGTGATACGGGTTCCCTTGCCCAGAGTGCTTTCGACAAGGATCTTGCCTTGGAGCGATTCCACAATACTCTTGACTAAACTTAAGCCTAGGCCAGTGCCTGGACTCAAAACGTCTTCTTGTGTAAAGGGTGTGAATAGGTGATATTTGAGAAACTGCTCGCTCATACCAACTCCTGTGTCAGTCACAATCAATGATATGTGCGGCAGGCCGCCGTCTACAGCCTCAAGGTATGCCAACCTCACATCGATGTAGCCTTTTTTGGTGTACTTCAATGCGTTGCTGATGACGTTAAGTAAGATGCGCTTCCAAGCACCTTGTTCAATAGGCAACACCCAGTCCCGGCCCTTTTCGACGTGTGTAGTAACGACAATAGGCTCGAGTGACACCGTTTCAGACGGCGGGTCCAGCCCGCGCTGCCGCTCTTGTTCGAGTCCGGATACGATTCGTGAAGCGTAATCATGGCCCAGCGAGACAGTCTCAAGAACTTCCTCGACCATGGAAACCAAGTCGACAGGCACAGAGCTCGGACGAGCGTTGGTAGCAGAATGCTTAGATACCATTCCGCCTCTTTGTGCAGCACCAGCGCGGCTGTTGACCTTGGAGTATTCCAAAAGATGGTCGAAAGTATCTAGTAAGGTAGAGGCGCATGACTCAATCATGGTGATTTCTGGGAGCAGTTCGGAATCCTTGTGTGTGTTTTCCTGTATGAGCTCGATACTGGCCAGAATACCGTGCAGCGGACTTCGCAGCTCATGACTAATAGAAGAAACAAAGTCTGACTTGGACTGAGTATTGGCTGAAGCCTCCAGGCGGAATATTTCGGCCATGAGTGAGTTGCCAAAAGCTACCAACGAGTTGAGATCACCAGTGTCTAGAGTCTTTCCAGTGTCGGATACCCAAGCTATACAAGTGGCGTAGCAGGATTCTCTTTGGTAATGCCATAGAGGTATAAACATGACGTATCGAGCCTTGGGTATATATTTGAAGAAATCGCTCCAATTATTGTCCTCGGAAGTCGAGGTTTTGCTTGAGTCTTGTGCGTCTTCGCCCCCATGTTGGAAGACGCCGTACTCATCCACTGCAAAAACATGCCCTCGGGTGTAAGTAGCTGTCAATCGCTGTATCAGCGACTGGCTTGGTCGACCCTCCGGATGTTGTGCGGCTACATCGTCCTTTCGATAATAGGATAGCGGTGTCGCTAGAGTGTCTTCTTGGCGCAAAGAAGATGCATCAGCAAATAAAGAGCGACCCTGACCACTGCCGTGCTGGGTGCCAGTTGCGACGACATCAAAAAAGTCGAGGCCGTTCAGATCCATGGCATGGCCAATCTTGTCAGCGGCAATGGAGAAGAGATTGCCGATTTGGGTGGATAGGACAGAGCTCATTTGTCCTGTGTAAGTGTCTTGCCGGGAAGCTGGGGTGGGAGACGGATCATCACCGGACGATTGTATAGCAGGGGCTGGGAGTGCTAGTGGTAAGGCATTTTCGGTCAAGTCAGATGTAGTGGAAGAATCATGCGGGGCGTCAGCTTTCGTATTGACGGGCTGACAGCTTGGTGAGGACTACGGAACGTGAGTGGTTGAACCGAATGATATGTATTGATGCTGATGCCGCTTACATTAGACGGTTGATCAGATGCTACTGTATCGGAGTCTCGTGTGCCAAGATCTCTTTGTGATGCTGAACTAAAGACGTCAAGATGGAATGGACTTTGCCCAACTGCCTTGGGCTCTATAATGCCAGACTTTGGGGTGACTTCGAGCCGACCGGAGCCTACAAGATGGCGAAGACTATCCATCATCCTCTCTGATCGCGATTTGCCGGCTTCGACGCGTTTCAGATTAAGGTAGGAACTAATGGCATCGCCAACTTCGCGGAGGGTGGCCAATGCCGCGGGATCCAAGAAGTCGCGTTCCTTGTTGTCGACGACACAGTAACTACCCAATATATGTCCTGATATAGAGCATAGCGGGACCTCCATGTAAGAGACCATGTGCGGGTAACCAGCCACGAATGGACGCGGTGCAAACATGGGCACCTCGCGGAAGTCTTTTATGCAAAAGTACGACTTGTCAGCGACAATGTACGGGCTGTCGGGTAAAGCCACTGGTCTTCCATGGAATATAGACATGGTATACGGGCAAACTCCCCACTCTAGCGCGATATGTGAAGTACCCAGAAGAAGAGGATGTGTCGGGTCCGGGCTCGTGAGAGATTGATGTTTGGTCATCTCGGCGCATATGTATTGGTTTCGATTGTCGATGAGGGAGAGGAATGCGCGATCGCAATCCAGTCTATGTACGCCATGTTGGACGAGCGCGTTGAGCGTAATGTCAGTGCTAGGGACGGGGTTTGGCGGCGGGCCTCCTTCGATATCGAACGGGAACGAAGCAGCGGAGAGATATCTAAAGTGACCAGTCAGCACTGCTGTATCGATATGCGCGTATTCCAGTCGTCTTACGCTGCGATTTCGTATGCTCGTACTCGTTCGTGGTTATCGATTGCCGCTGACGACGGCGTGCACGCCGCGGGGTCCGCGATGGGAAAACTCATTTAGCACACATTGAAGGCGCGTAGCACTTGGTCTCCAATCTAAGCGGAACTCCAGACTTCGGGCCTGCACTCTACAATCTGGGCCGTAATATGCACGCATGTTTGCGAGAGAAGGCGGATCTGGGGCGATGATCTCAATCCTCGCTGTGCCGCCTTAGCGTTGACAGGCCGAGTCGCATCGCGGCTAGCTGCATGCATGATAAAACAGCCTCATAATGTACTAGTCGTTAACACATCCGCCCGAAGCCGCAGTTTTCAGACACAACTTTTGCTACCTAGGTATTTTGATGATATGCTACAGACAGCAGATATCGTGCCGACTCGAGTTTTATGGGGTTGTATCTCTCTCTCATATTTTCACGGAATTCGCGTACGCGTCACAAGCCTCTCTCAGCTTTGCCTTGGTCCCGGGCTCCGTGGCGCTGTGCCCAGCATCGTCCACAAAATACAGCTTGCTCTCCGGCCACATCTTGTGTAATTCCCAGGCTGTTATTGGTGGGCATACCACGTCATACCTGCCTTGCACAATTGTTGTCGGGATATGCCTGATGCGATCGATGTTCTCCTTCTTTAACAGTTGTCCGTCTGTCATGAACCCGCCATTCGTAAAGTAATGGATCTCGATCCTTGCGTGTGCCAGCAAATAAGCCGGCTCCTTAAGTTTCTGAGCAATGTCGGGGTCGGGACGGAGCATGCTTATAGAGAGTTCCCATGTGTTCCAGGCTGTGGCTGCCGGGAGGCTGACTGAAGGGTCCGAGGACATGAGCCGTCTATGGTAGCTGGCAATATGATTGGAGCGCTCTTCCTCTGGCAGAAAGTTGATAAAGTCGTCCCATCGATCAGGGAAAAGCATCGAAGCACCGCCCGGATAATTCGTCCATTTTAGCTCAAGATCCCGTACAGTGAAGATGCCGCGTAGGACTAGGCTGCCAACACTTTCGGGGTGGGTTTGCGCATAGGCGAGGGAAAGGGTAGAGCCCCAAGAGCCGCCAAAGACAACGTGCCACTTGGGGATAATGAGGTATTTCCGCAGCGCTTCAATATCAGAGACAAGATGCCAGGTGGTGTTGTTGGTAGTGTCTGCGTTAGGTCGAGATTGACCACAGCCTCGCTGGTCGAGCAGAACCACTCGATATTCCGCAGGGTCGAAGAAGGCAGTGTTGCCCTTGGAACAATTGCCACCTGGGCCGCCGTGAAGATAGATCACTGCCCAGATTTAGATTGTGGCAACCAAATCAGATTAGGAAAACTCCATGCTTACCCGGCTTTCCATCTCTTTTGCCATACTGCTGATAGTGCAATTCATGCACATCGTCAACGCGCAACCAGTCGATATTCCACGCGTCTTCGTGCTGATAGCCGGCGATTTGGGCTGTTTGAGACATTGACGTTAGTGATGGCTGTACAATTATTAACCAACGTGAGTTTGAATCGATGACAGCGCAAATCACGGATCTTGTAGTCAGGATTAGAGGTTAGGTACCTAGGTGGTCCCGTGATAAGGAGTCAGAGTTGCATGTAGGTGCCTATGTACTACCCCGCTATTAGCATAGTGGGCCCCACTGAATATCTACAGGCCACCTTCCCATCTTAGCTCTCGCGATGGCTGCACTATTTCCGGGGATAAGGCATCGCCGATGAACCGAGATTTTATACGCGCTACGGGTCTTGGTTCATTGAATATCGCCATGATACTCCTGCCCACAAATCAAAACGCTTCCAATTGACAGTCACCCGACCAAACCACAGAGCGATACTACTCTCAGCAATGTCAAGACTAGAACTTGAAGCCGCCTGACCTGGTACTGAAAAAGCCGTTTGGATCAACACTCTTCTGCAACGCCTTGAACTTTTCATAGTCCCTGTAGCTCTGTAAGACAGGCTGATCCCACATGGCATCGTTCATGAAGAGTGGCAAATACAAGTCCTTGGGCATACCAGCCTCCTCCAGCCATTGAGGTACGACCTCATCTAACCAAGCCGTGATCTTCCTAGCGATTCCGTATGCCAACTCATCATCCGTTGCCAAGTTCCAGGCTCCTTGGTAGATTAATACGATGCGGTCGGGGTCCGAAGATGTAAGACCCATGGCGTTGCCGCCTTTGGTTGCCGAGACCTTACCGAAAATGGACGGTAGTGGCTGAAAGTCAACGCTGAACTGGATGGCGCGAACAAGGGGTGGTATGGTGAGGAAGGGACCAGAAAGGTTAGCCATATTGTCACGGATCTCTTTATACATTTGAGGACGAGAGGGAATGTAGGGGATGGTGTATGTCTATACATGATTAGTATGCGATATTAGGCATATGGTATGGGAAATCCTTACGCGAAAGAACGATCGAGCATTCAAGAGACGGACTGGTTCGCCATTTGTTTTCAACTGCAAATAGTCAGCTCGTGGAGACGGCGATGTGACTAGAGAGTAAACTCACTAGCTCGGAGTACTTTTGGGTTCTGGGCACGCAAGCCACGTTAAGAACTTTGAAAAAGTCCGTAAAAGGGCCGGACGTGGGCGGTTTGGGATTGTCATAAAAGTAGAAGATGAGCTTCGTCTTGACACCAGCGGCAAGGACTAGATCCGAAAATATGATGGCGGCCTTTGGATCTTCGGCGCCATGACCAACAAAGTTATGTAGAGCAGCATACAACTCGTCATCTTTGGTGGCATCATAGGCGCAGGAGCCACCCCATATATCACCCATGTGGTGGACCTTTGCCTTGAACTGGGTAACGATGCCGAATTGGCCACCTGACCCACGCATCGCTTGCGCAAGGTCAGGATGTGTGTCAGCATTTACGTTTACCACTGAGCCGTTAGCCATGACTGTCTCCCACTCGATAATGTTCTACTACATGTCAGTACACAACAAGTTAGGATGGATCATAATCACTGACATCAGCCGCGAGCCCTTCTTGAGCATTGAGAAACGAGAGTCCGCCTCCGAGCAACAGTCCACCCACACCGACAAGTCCTATGCTGACTTAGTTGCATCCATATTAAATTGGCGAAAGGGCAGCCTTACCAAGTCTTCCGCCAGAAATAGCCACCCCGCTCTTTTCGAGATCACCAATGACGTCGTTCCATTCTCCCCCTGGTCTGACATAGGCAACATCGTCGTCTGAGTCATACGTCGCCCCTACCAGATCAGTCATTGTGATTACAACACCGTCCTGAACGGTAGCGTGTCCATTGTTAGGGTCATGGCCTCCACTGCGAGTAGCAAACTGGACGCTTGGGTACTTGTTCAAGATCTTGACAACGATTGATACATCCTGAGCAGAGTTTGGCTGAACAATGCATGCGGGATCAACCTCGCGGAGGTTTGTTGCCCAATACTGTTGCGTCTCGTATGTATACTCTACCGTGAGGAGGCCAGGAGTGAGAACCTTGCCTGGGAGAGCATTGTTGATCTCAGCACAGGCTTTCTTGGTTGCATCAGAGGGGGCAGCGAGACCGAATTGGGCGCCCAACAGCAGTGTTGCAAATGTAAAAGAAGCAGATTTGGCCATGACGACCAGAGTGAACGAAGAATGAACAAATATGTCAATGCTGATAGTGGAATTTGCTTGAATCTGTCTGCTGATACATGTAGAGACGTTTAGATTACATTTTATACTCCCCTTCAATCATGGCGCTGCCTTGAACCGTATTGTGGTCGATTTCACGCCGTATGGTCACGCACTTGTGGCGTTCCACCGAGCAGCTGAGGACGCGTCGGGTACATGATATGGCGTCGGATACGAGACACCTTGTCCAATAGAGTTCCCCAGGCACGTGCTAGCCTATCGTGAGCGCGTGTCGGCAAGCCTTAGTGATGCGAGAGAGTTTTTAGGGAAATCAATGCATATTGGTGGTTCCTCTGGATACATCACTCGCTAAGGTGTGTATATGGCATGCATGAAAGTGGGTGTGAAGTCCACATAGGGAAGGATAGAAATCCAGAATTGCGGTCCTCGTATAGTGGCATGACGATGGTCCACGTGAGCATTTGAAAAGACTTATGGTGGGTCACGGATCAGAGGGAAAGGCTCTCTTTGACAGCAATCCTTTTTTGGCGATTCATCAGATATGCGAAGTCGTACTAATATATACATACGCGGTGTGATTGAGTAAGCAGATGTGAAGCCGGACATGAGCGGCAGCAAAATGGCGGCGATGACGAAATGGCTGTAAGGCTGACATGGAGGTGGAGTCGTGGCGACGAGTCGTCGCGGATGCGGAGCTAAATTAAGTTATCGGTGATTCGGCACGCGCCGGCACGCGCCCGCTCTCCGTAGGTACCACGCCGGTTAGCGACATGCGGAATGTCCTCATGTCTCGCCCACATCGAGATTATCGTTCGTTGTCATCTATGCACGAAAGGCAATCGACTCCTGTATGGAACCCGTATATATATGCGACTTTGGTAATCTAGTCCTGTTCGGTATTGGCATGACCAGCAACCGTCCTTGGAGTTGTGAACGGTCTGTAGGTACTGTATTCCAGCTACCTAATCCAGATGCTATTTACAGTCGAGATGAAGAGAGGAAGAAAGTGGGCGGCCATCCTGCTTTGTTTGGGTTGGCGCACGGCGCACGGGCTGCTGGGGGAAGGAGTGATAGAAGGAAGGAAGTGACTAGGCCAGCGGCCTAGTCATGTGACCTAAGGCTCAGCCCGTTACAGGAGTACTGTGACCGTGAGCACTACACCATCTTTTTCTTCCGAGCCCGAATCGCTCTGACGCAGAAACCAGGATCTTTCCGTGGCAGCTACGATACTCTGATCGTCTAGTCGTACAGGGCCCTTGCAAAGCTCAACTTGCTTGCCATCCACGCGCACAATCCCGATATCAAACTGAACACACCCATAGCCGCGTGGTAATCCGGTCAATAAGTGACTACTATCTCTAAGATGGGGCAATAGAGACGTGGTCCATTATCGTTTCTTTCAGAGCCTAGACCACTTGCCGTATTGTGCCACTGAAGGGTAGAAAGATGTTGCTTAGTAAGCACCACGTCTACACAAATGATCAGAATGCCCGCAACCATACGTCATTGAGTGCCTTAAAATGTCAGCATATTCAATTTGAGATTATCATGTGATCAATCTGTCGACATACGGCATCATTCCTCATGGGCGTACCTCATCAAGGCGGTCGCGGCGCATACTGAGCAAACTTCTGGTCAACATCGTCGATGTTTAGGACGGAGGATGACTGTCTACTTACGGTGCCTTGAGCAAGAATTTGAGTGATAGCAGCAGTTGAGGTAGTACAAGCCATACTAGACAAGTCGACTGTGGTCAGTTGGCACGAGATAGTCATTATATGGCAGCTATTGGTATTCAAAGTGCCAGAGTATCAAGAGTGTTAGCGAAGCATTGGTAAAAAAAGGTTGTTCTTATTCCATGCTAACGAACTTATCAACTCCTTCATTTTCCAGTCCAGCATGGACGGTGTGTTGCGAGCCAACCACTCGGTAGGTCGGAGCGAGGAGTCAGACAAGATGCAAAGAGAGCTTTAGTATGACAGGTCTCGCATTGACATACGAGCAACGAAAGAAGGAGGGTATTCAGATGTATACTAGTTCAACGGCAGGGACGACGTTGAAACGACAAGGCAAGACTGCGCAGCTGTAGCGAGACGCATTTTCCGCGAGCACCCGTCGCTAGTGTATCTTGAGACTGGTGCTGACTTCAGGCAGCGATCTTAGCTAGTTAAGCGACCGAGGCGTCCAAGCGGTGGCGCAGCAGCGCTGGGAATGACATATAGTTGCTTGTTTACGAGTACGACAGATACAGCACGCCGAAGCTGTCAAGGTCTAACGAGCTGGGCATGTTGGACATCCGGCCGTTTCTTCCTCAAGCTCATCGAGGAGGTATACTGACTATTATGTGGCCATCTCTGCCAAGTATTGCTCATACTCAGCAGAAGTAGAACTCTAACGTTTTGAAGATGGCTGTCGGGTTGCATAGCCTTGCTACGGTTAGCACCTACCTTGATCAAGTGTCAATTATCGTCTCGCCAATTCCTTCAGCTGCCTAGGTATACAAAATGACGTGCTTGCGGCTCTGGCAGAAGACGCCACAGCTACTGTCGTACCAAGATGGAGCGTATCAAGCTTTTTCAAGACAGAGCGCTGGTATCAACGTGGAACATTTCACCGACGTCATGTTGGATCTGAGGTGAGAATCGGCTCAGCCTCTACTATTGCTGCTGCTGCTGCTGCTGCTGCATCTATTCCGGTCCGAAATGATCTCAAGTTGAGCATACAGGCGTTTTTTTCTCTCGGAGGGTTTGTGTTGCGAGGTTACAGTATGAACAGCTGCGTGCACACTTGAAAGAAGCCTGCCGTGAGCGAAAGATTAAGTCATGGTATGATTAGGCCTACACCGAGTACATGCACCGGGTACACTGCAGTACTGAGGAACGCAGCCGCGGCTGCTTCGGAACAAGAAGCACTCTTGGCGATCTGTGAACACCATGTTGGAAAGACAAGAGAAAGACATGATTGAGATGAATGCGGTCCACGGCCTGGGCGATCCCAACGCGGATCAATGCCGATCTAGCCGCAACCCAAACTCGACGTCTTAGTGCTGATCTCATCTGTTGGACCACGCTGTCACCCAACACAGATCGTGTCATTCCCGGTGAAATCTGCTTGAAGACAATCGGGCTAAATCTTTCAAGATACGGAATACTTGCCTACAGCGCTCGCCTGTCCAACACAACGTTGTAAGCAGACCGAACAGCCAAGTACCAAGCCCTGCATAGTCTTGGAAGCAGAAAAAATAACTCAAACTCAAAGACAATAATAGAAGTGGTGATGACACACACATTACTACAACCAGACAGCACGCAGCGATGTCCGGCTTTTGCTCGGTCATACCATTTCTTATGAACGTCCTGCGGCCTCTTTCAGAGAGCTCTTGGCATTGTCTACTGCGACCAAGATATGTTGTCAGATGTGGCTAGGCCATGGTCATAGAGGGCAGACTTGCTACCAGTCAGTCTATTCAGTTTAGACTGACTGAACTGACTGAATTGGACTGAATTTGAAACCTTGTTTTGCAGTCACGATAGCAACTTCTAGTGTTGCTTAGAACACGGTTTGTCGATGCAACTAAACTTAGACAGGAAGATACTAGATCTGTATAGGTTAAATAAAATCCCTAAGCTAATTAGACTCTGCTAATCGCGTTAGGGCCACATAGCAGCCTTAACGCGTCGCGCCTACTCCAGCAACTTAATGCTACAACACTCTCGCCACTCTCGCTACTAGATATTTTAGTGTACTTTATGTCTACTTCTTTAAAATTAAGCCTCCACCGCCTTATCGAACGCGATAAGTGCAGTTCTCCTCTACCGTCGCTATCGAACGCGTCCACTGTTGGGGATACTGCGAGCGAGGCTTAGCCTAACGAGTTCTAGCCTGACGAGCCCGTGGCAATACATGCGGACTTACCTAACGACGACAACTATTACCTTAGGCTTAATTTTAAGCGCGTGGCGTACCTCGAGCGACGCTAAACAGAGCGCAGTCGCGGCACAGTAAGGAGCTAGATCTACCGCCACGGCTAGGGCGTATAGCACCGCAAGAAGAAGAAGAAGAAGAAGAAGAAGAAGAAGAAGAAGAAGAAGAAGAAGAAGAACTATTAGCTTTGCTAGATCTACCATAAGTAACGGCGGTAATAAGAAGCCTACTACGAGGCTGATAGCACTATAAACGCTAGTCGACACCTCTTAAGTAATAGGTCTAGGCATTCACTAGGACCTAACGGACCTATACTAATTACTAGCTAAGAGGGTAATATCATAGGCGCGCTCGCAAAATTATAAGTCTATATAATAAGGTCTAGAAGTGTAGAGGTCTCCTAGGAGGTTACTAATAAGATAGCGGTAAGCTTTTTATCCTCTTAGTTTTAAGACGCCCTAAAGGACTAGGTAATTGCTAACAACTAGAGCCTACGCGTAAGAGAGACGCCGTAGTTTCGAAATATAATCGCGGCTGTAAGTCCCCTAGCGGAAGCCTTCCTTTAGCGTAGCTACTTGTCAGATATTCACTCTCATCTGGAATACTGATGAAATAGGTAATGAATGGTGATGATGTTGATTATTGATTGTGTGTTTGTTCTGTCTACGGTTGTGGGCACACCTAGGGTGTGCCAAGCCTTCCTGTGATCCGATTGGCTCTCACAGATGCCGGGTCGCGCTAGTCTAACCCAGCGTCTGTACGCTCTCATCTTCAACAGTGCTATTATCTGACACTACTAGACGCTCTGCGATTATATTATTACTAAGTATAACGCGTACGTACCCGCTGTTGCCGCCTACCTTCGCGAAGCCTAGTCGCTTATATATGTTTCCTTTAACAACTAGACCTTAACTAGTGGATAGTACGCTTTCACTACGCTTTCACTAGCCTTTGCGTACACTACCTTAACAGCGAGGGCAAGCTAGTTAACTACTTACTTAGGTTACCTAAGCTCTACAGGGCGTATACTATCAATAATATTGCCTTAGTAGCGGCGATAATACTACAGCTATTTAGTGTTAATGTTGAGAATACAGCCCGTAAGTGACTTGGTGGTATCAAGCGGAGGAGTAGTCACATGATTGGTGACACGTGCAGGTGGGTCCTAGCGGGGAGCTTGGACGCAGCTGCACGCAACACGGATCTACGAACGTGTGAATAGCTCCTTAGTCAATACAATACGAATCTGTACCACCACTACCGTTGTGCCTTAGAGAGCGCTCTATTAGGTAGTCATACTACTACTAATAGTGTCAGCTTCTCAATAGTTAATAATATAAGCGTTAAATACTTTATGCTTAACAACGTAAGTAATAATAACACTATAGTTAAGTCTTTAGCAGAGGAGTTTAACTTTACTATAAGCGAGCGATAGCTGCGCTGCTACTACTACATCCTTAACCTAGGCGCGTAGTTAGTAATTTAGGGTAAAGATTGTAGCGCGTACAAGAACGACGCCGCTTACCTTAATAATAAGGAGATGTATATAGATAAGTAGCGTAAGTACAGCCCTATTAGCGTCCTTTTTAACGTAATCGCGTCTATCTATACGCCACAAACTTAACAGCTATTAGAGCGCCTACAGCGTAATAAGGCAGAGGTGATAGGCGTTATAGCTAATATCTAGCAACTTATTAAGCCTATTAAGACGCGCTAGAATAGCTATTTTAACGCTTTTATATGCGCAGTTAAGCTATATATGTCAGGAATTCCCAATGCGAGGTGTAAAATATATACTATTCTACCACGATGATCAGGAGTTCACTGATCATACGTACCTTTGTCAGATATTCACTCTCATCTGGAATACTGATGAAATAGGTAATAATGGTGATGATATTGATTGTTGATTGTTTGTTGGTTCTGTCTACGGTTGTGGGCACACCTGGGGGGTGCCAAGCCTTCCTGTGATCCGATTGGCTCTCTCAGATGCCGGGTCGCGCTAGTCTAACCCAGCGTCTGTACGCTCTCATCTTCAACAGTGCTATTATCTGACAACCTTTTTGGTTGCATAGCGTAGTGGGCGTAGACCTGCGTTCTGACAACTAGTTAATCTAGTTTAGGTTAGTCTAGTTTAGTCTAGTTAGTCCGCAGCAGCAGCAAGTTCAGTCTAGTTTAGTTAGTTTTTATTTACCTAAAAAGTCTTGGCAGTCAGTTCAGTCCAGTTCAGTGACCTTCAAACATCAGTTCAGTCAGTCCGGAGCCCTCCGGACTGACTGAACTGACTGATAGCAAGTCTGATAGAGGGATGTGAAGCAGGACCACTGTATGCCAAGGTAGCTTTGAGATGCAGATGAAACTTCCCGAGATCTTCAATTGCTGATCATGTCCTATCATCTTGTCAGATGCTCCTGTCGTAAGTCACTGGCGCACTTTTCGGTAGGGTCTTCTCCAAGAATAACACTTTTTGTCGTGGATTATTCGCGGAATCAGGACGCTCTAAGATCCGCGATTTCGTTCCATTCAGACGTGCTTTGCGCTCATGCGTGACAAAGGCGGAGAAGCACTTCTTAAGGAGAGATAGAATGCATAAGCACTAACTGTTGTTCAGGTACATCGAGACTTGCTAAGAATTGGCCGAACATATGTTCGATGCAGAAACTTTGATGATATTCGGCCATCTCGGTCTAATCATGATCGTACTTCTGGATCGCCTGCTTTAGAGGCGAATCTGCGATTGGCGATAAATCTACTAGCGATAGCCACTCGGCGTAGAAAATATCACAGAACGGTGGTATGGAAAGGTCCGACATGTAAGCATTCGAAACAAGGGTAAGAGGATTTTTACAGAAGATACGTCACCAGCTTGGAACCGGAGACGGACGGAATGATATGTTGGTAGAAGAGCTATTGACTATAAAGCTCACTGTTCCAGTCCCTCCCCGAGTTCATCACACTATTTACATTCCATCATTACCATCACTTCCATGTCTCCCAATCTTTACCATGGTTGCTCTCAAGCTGGATATTCCAGCCCTTATCATCGGCTCTCTTTTGGCCATTCCGGTCTTGTCGGCACCGACCGCAAATGTTGTCGGACATGCCCCTACCGTTGAGGACATTATCCCAAGGGAATACATCGAGGAAGTCCGCGCCTACCATGAAGAGTTAGCACAAATTAAGAAACGGGCTGAGTGGAACCATGCTAAGCGTGCTCTATCTGCGCTGGAAAAGCGACAACCGGCTCAAAATACCTGTCTTGAGGGCGAAACTTGGATACAACGCGAATGCAGGTCGGATGTCAGCCCTCGAGCCTGGCAGGACGAATGTGAGCCTGCGAATGGCGAAGGCTTTGGCGTTTTCCGGCCCGGCGAGTGCCCCGAGAATACCGTCTGTGTGCAGCTTAGTATCCCTAACGGAGTGGATCCTGGAGGTGAAGAATCATTTATCGAGGATATCCTTTGCCAGCCAAGTACACCGCCCAGGCAAGGCGTCCGAACTGCCAAGAGACAATATGGGTACAGAAATTACAAGGCAAAGGACAAGAACGTGGTCGCCATTGGTATCGAGGTATTAGAGGATAACACAGAAGCGTCCGTGAGTGCCAATGTACTAAGTAAGTGACCATATTGTTTATTCCACGACAATCATTAACATTTTTTAAAGGCAGCGATCGGACGTTTGTGGTCAAGCCCATAACCCCTATCACAGCGAATCTCCGCGGCTTCAACCTGAAACTCTGCCAAATGGACCCGGGCAACACACAACAGAATAGCCCTCAATGTTCCCCTATTGGTAGGCCACACAATCTTCGAATGGGCCAATTCGTCGACTTTACGTTCGCGCTCTCGGCCGGCCAAGATTCGTTGTTATTCTACTCCATTGCGGGCTAGATGCAGGAGGAACACTCTGTTACTCTTGAGATGGAGGTACCTCTCTCTTATCAGAGAAACGCCGAAAATCTTGTATCTTAGACAAATGTTGGTTGTAGCGCAGCAGTCAAATAACTCTATAGCGATTAATTTTCCGCATCCATTGCCTTTTGCTGCATGGTAATTCTAAGTTATTCGAGCAAATTGATGTTTTACTTTGGAAGGCTTCGTTGATAGACTGGCGTCATGAACTACTGCTATATCCACAGTAATCTGTCTACTGCTACTACTGGGTCTGTTCTAGATCAAACTGATCTCAAATTGAGCATGCAGGTTATCCTTTTTCTCCAAAAGGACTGTGTTGAGTAACCTAACCACAGCGCGCATACTTTAGGCTACACGACCTGGGCATGATTTGAAACTGAACAGACGGTACTAGATCTGACAGGATATACGAGTTTGGAGTATTGAAGCCGTATTTATGGTGTTGATGACATGTTGATGGCATGTGAGTGGCATGTGGGTGGCATAAAGTTTGGAGTTTCTCACCAAGGTCTACGTTACCTAGGTACCAACCACTAGCGTCTTGGCTAAACATCAAAACTCGAACAGGTGGTCTTGTACAACTGTTTGGGCGAGGAAGTTACCACGTGGCGTGCGATAATACTTATCTACGAAACGTCCTCAAATAACCCATCTCTTCAGTGATGTTCGCATGCTAAGATGGTGGTGGAGTGGTGCTGTCCACGAGTTGTCGCGGAGATATCGGTAGTTCGTGTCAGGAACCTGGTTAGCGCGGACTGGCCGGTTGCTCCTTCCGCTGGATTAGGAACACTGGTAAACAAACATTGGACGAGCAGCCTTCCCGACGACGCTGCCGCCCACGACGCCGAAAGCCGCCCATCAAGATGGAGTCATATAATCTTAAGACTGCATCGACCTACATCAACAACTTACTTCTTGCGCGGGGATTGTTGCGCAATGGCAAGCCCATTGAGTTTGCGCACCCATCAAGGGGCGAAGGAGGGAAAGAAGCCACCATGGCTCAGATTATCAACCTAGTCCACGATTTGATACTGAAGCGCGATGTATGCATATGCCACCGTGTTATTTTCGACGACATACCCCTAACGAGTGCATAGCGCGACCACGAGTACCGCGAATCCATCGCCGAAACGCTGCGAAGCCTCCGCTCGGAATCGACGCGCCAAACAGCTGCTTTGGAAAAGCAACATAACCGCAATGCAGACCTCTCGCGACAGTTGTCGCTCGCCCAGGCGCAAGAACAATCGGCGCGCAAAGCTTTTGCAAACCGCTGAATCATCGGCACGAAAGTTGCGCGCAGAGATGCAGCGATTGAAGACGACGGTTGACCAAGTACGGACAAGTTGCACAAACGACGTGCGAAAACGCGATAGAGAGATCTCAAGGCTCAAGAGTCACCTAACAAGCCAACAGCGGGGCAACAAGACGGGTCTGGTGGGCGCAAGTATCACAATCAACCCCGGAAGCGTGGGCCTAGGCACTACCAGCACTGTACGCGACGAGGTGCCAAATGTCGACGACCCTGAGTATAGTCTCAAACAGGAGACGACTGAGTTCTTGACTCATCTAAGCCAGAGCTTGAGCGATGAGAACGACAATCTGATCGGTCTTGTACGGAGCACACTCCTGACACTGAGGGAGCTCCAGGGCATGTCAGAGCAGAATGGGAAAGGGGGCGAAGAAGATGCATCGGTTCTGGATGAAGACGACGACAGCGCACGACAGGGCATGCTCCACGCGCTGCCCACCAACTACGAGACCCTAGCCGATGACATGGACACAGTCCTGGACAATCTGAAGAATCTGCTCACCAACCCGAATTTTGTGTCAGTGGAGGAGGTCGAGATGCGCGAAGAAGAGATACACAGACTACGGGCCGGCTGGGAGAAGATGGAAGCTCGTCTACGCGAGTCTTTCATTTTGATGGACTCCTGGAGGAAGCGCATGACCAATGGCGACACTATCAACCTCGAAGAGCTTAGGATGGGTCTCGGTTTTAGTCATGGCCTAGAAGCGGCCAACCATGAAGGCATTTCCATCATCGACGAGGACGAGGACGAGGACGAGGAGGAAGAAGAGGATGAGGCTGCCAGCTCAGTCTTTGACGAAGATGTGGATGATTCTGACGAGCAAAGAGAGCAACAAGACACAGAGCGCCATCTTTCACCCAGAGTAGAGGAAGCTCCGGAAAGGACCAAGGGACCCGATATGTTCAAGATCAAGCTGCAACCCAGTCAATCAGCGCTTGGAGAAACCAGCGGCAACAAGTCGCCCAGAAAGGTAGCCTTTTCACCATCCATACCCAACACACCCTCTCAAGTCGAAAACGAGAACGCGGATGCCTCTGGGATCGACCTAGTTGGTGCGGAGAAGCCTAGTCGCCCAAGCTCTGCAGCCAAGCCACCACAGTCTCAAGAACGAGCATCGAGACAAGCAAGTCGAGATGGCCGGGCACCACGCCATGTACGTTACCATGATTTTGACGAGCAGCAAAGTTTTCTTTCCCTTCATCTCAAGCACCTCTTCTTCCAATATCCAATACTAACAACCTTCATCAGACCAAGAAACGCCTCTCTAGCCCACATGCCCACCCCGATGAGCCGTCACCCAAGTTGAAGGTCAAAGACAAGCTACGAGAAGCTGCGGAAGCTGCCGCCGTAACCGACGGCCAAAAGTTTACCAGCCCCACCGCACAGGTGGATGACAGCGTCGCAGTCTCTGAAGACGTAACCACAAGGCGCGCAGCTAGGTCTCCAGTCAGGACAAGAGTCGGTGGCAGGCCAAAGAGGAGAAAGAGCACGTTGACGCCAGAGGAATTGGCCAATCTATTGGGTTGCTGAGTCGGCAAGCTTCGGACAGAATGCATGTACGATATTCACGATACCAGGTCATGGCGGCGTTGAACTACTCGAACCTGCATGTAATATCAAGTGGCTTCATGTCAAGATGCGAGTGCGGGCCTTGCATGATCATGTTGAGGAGCTAATAGTGAAGTGGCTGTCTGCGTGACCAATACTCGATCTTATTGGGCAGGCCTCCGGTGACGGTGCATCTGTAGCGTTCATGTCCTGGGTACGGCGCGTAGGCTTTCAAGATGAACCTCACTCTTTTCAGTCTAGTCTTGCTGGGCATCCATGTGGGATTGGAAACTGTCCGATTGATGTGCGCCATGGGGCGTTGGGAGTTGAGGGACGCAGACGCAAAAGCAAGGCCACATTCTCGGCGGATCTATTCCAAGTCGAAGCAGGAAGCTTCGAAGAGCACAACAGTGACACAGCATGTACCCTGCTTCTTGTGTGCCCAAGGAATTCATCACTTATCCATACCCGACGAACAATGACGTACCCGAGGTGCAAACTCCCGTCATTGAGCGATACAGCCTTCATTTCGCGTACCTGGTGTCGAAGCGCTGTGCCTCAGCCGCACCGAAGTGCCCGTCCTTGTTCCGTCTCCTGACAATGCATGATTTCGACACTTACGAGGCTGTATGCAAGCCCACCCTGCATGGCATTACGATATACGTTTGCTTCCACATGGCGGACGTTGTGACCGCAATGTGGCCGGAGATGTTGCTCATATGGTATCCAAGTGAGGTTGGTAGAGAGATGCTGTGGTTGGATGGCGCTGCAAGCCACTAAGTTTATTAGCCGCCCATTGTCCCCTTTGGGGCATTTGGTGACGAGTAAACTGGCCTCGGAGTGATGGGATTGGGTGGAGTGGGAGATGTGGGTACGGAATGGCTGTAAATAGGACTCTATGTAGCAGGGAGGATAGCTGCAGGTTGATCAAGGTAGCAACCTTGATAAGCAAAATTTTCTGCATCCGTCATCAGCCTTCAAGCCTAAGTTCCCCCGTCGAGCATGCAGTGTGACAGAAAGCGATCTGCACCTCGCACATCCCGACATCACATGGCTCACCTCGTCGTCATTTCTGATTGGATGCATGTTTTCACCTCGGGCCCGTGCTCTACGTGACGACCCACTCATGTATTCCCCGCCCGCGCTGACGAATGAGGGGCCAGAAGCAAGACGCCCGGCTACACACGACGAGTGGTGCACCACTCTCGCATCACCGTCAAGCGCTCGCCGTACATTCGATAGACTGCTCTCCACACCCGCTACCAGCTTACACCCTGCCAAAATGGCCTGTGTGCAATCAATCGCTACCGGGGCGCAGCGACGTCTGGTCCACTGTGGGCGTAGCGCAGTATGCCTGCTTGCTAGCCCCTCGCTAATGCCCAATGGTCGCCCAGCAGTCGTGCAATGCAATGTCTGTAGATAAGTAGGCCTGTGGCCGCTCATATGTCGTCTTTTTTTTCTTCAGCAAGTGTGTCAAGTTCAGAGCTGTTGTGTTCGTTTTTTGTCTATTCTTTTTTACCCTCCCCCTTCTTCTCCTCTCTCCTCTCCAGGCCTGGTGCCATCTAATTATCACTACTCTACCGACAACCCTATACCCACCCTTTTCACAGTAATTCACTTCCCTTGTGGCCGGTCCACTTCACGTAATACGCAGCTCTACTTGCTCGAAACGAACATTCACACCAAACGACAACGCAAACTCGCAAACTTTTACGAATCTCTCAACACCCGCACAGCTTCTTCAGCAATCTCGACGTCTATCCATTAGCTTGGCATCGGACAATTTCGAAAGAAAACGATACTTCATAATACCAATTTTTACTTCAGAAAGAAAGAAAGAAACAATTTCACAATGGCCGCTATCCAGCTTAACTTTACTCTTCGCACTTCCTCCAACTGCAAGACCGTGCACTTGCTCGGCTCATGGGACGGCTACCAAGGACAACTCCCGCTCTCAAAGGACCCCAAGAAGTCTGGAGGCTGGGTCGGATGCTTCAAGTTCCAAGGACAGACTTTGAAGCAGGGACAGCGCTACTGGTACTACGTATGTTCATGTCACATCCATGTTGCGATGGGAGGGATGCTAATTAGGACATAGTACATTATTGACGGCTACCACGTCTCGCACGACCCCGCTAAGGACCACACCACCGAGCCCACCACCGGTCGCAAGCTAAACATCATCGACATCCCCGCCGCCAAGTCGAGCTCAAAGACAACCACATCCAGCTCAGACCGCAAGTCACGCCGCGTCTCGACCGCCACCATCCCCAAGGGCCGTGGCCTCAGCCCCGAACGCATCGTCGCCCCCAAGCCCCAGCGCCCGCACGAGACCCGCCAAGTCATCAACACGCAGTACGACAAGACCACACTCGAGGCCCTCAACGCCCGCTTCGCCAAGCAAACCATCGAAGAGTCGTCAGATGACTCCGAATACGACTCCGATGAGAGCTCAGACGTTCCCTCGCTCACCAGCCGCTCCACAAACAGCTCTAGCCCGTCCAGTGTTAGCTCTGGTAGCTCATGCTGCACGTGCGAACGCTACGGCATCACCCGCGCTGGTGACCGCGTCAAGCTTGACTGCGGCGGTGCTCGATGTGGTTACTCGGATGACTCTTCTGACTGCTCTTCTGAGGACGAGTACGTCTACGAGGAGAAGACTACCCGCCGCCAGGGTGTAGTCATCCGCTCTTAAGTGCTTCCATCAAACAACTTCTGGATAAAACCATTGCCCATGCTGTCGTCGTCGAAATTCAGTACCCTACGATGACGACACCGCGGACCCTTCTTCAACACCCCTCTTTCTTCTGTGCATATTATGATTACGAATCTTCTTTTCTTCCTTCTTTGTTCCTTCTTTATCAATCAAACCCACTCTTTGGATCTCTAACGACAACTCAAGTTTATTTATTGCTGCTGGTTTATGGGAAGCTGCCCACACGAGTTTCTTTCAAGTTTAGTTTTTTTTTCAACGCATCTTCCGTGGCTTTGTTGCCCCCTGAGATATGGGGGTGGCGTCATGGATGGCGGGGCATTTGCGACGAAAAGATGAGGACTTTTGAAATGGTCTTTGTCTTTTGATCAACTACGGTTTGAGGGGGAGGACCCTCGGACTTGTGCGCCAAGGCACGCTTCATGTAGAGATATCTATGTAGTCAATGATATGGATTTGCATGGGCTCGTGCTCAAGGAAATGGGTTTTGTTTGACTGAGTTTTGGGTGATGTGTGATTGAGTGACTGACTGGAGAGACTGGATGATCCGGCTTTTCAGTGGGATGCGGCGTTGTCGGATGGCGGGGCGTGAGGCAGGCGCTGAGTGGGTGCGCCTGCCTTCGATCTTGGCCCATCAGGGTTGTTGATCAGTTGTGACTGCTCTGCAGAAATGCAGCTTGACTGTGCCGCAATTCCAGGTAATCGTCTACCCCTCCTCTGTCTTTCTCATTCATCATCTCATATTTCACACTTCCTCCTTTGTACCTCACATTCTTGCGATAACTCTAAACTGCCGTCACGGAGGCTGCCGGGTCAGAGAGCGACGTTGACTGCGATATCTGCCCGTCGTTGAACCTAAAGCATAAGAAAAGCGACGGCAATGAGAAGCGTCGATTCTTCCACGAGGCCTGTGATCGATGCGATAGCAAGAAGTCGCAGATTCGGTTTAACCTATGTGCGAAATGCCGACATATTCGTATCTGGCACCTCCTTGGTTGCTTTAATGACGAAAACTGGACCTTTTCGTACAAATGTTCTAGAAACTCAGAACAGTGCGATGTTTGCAGTTTCATGATTGCCTGTGAGGCAAAGTGGAAAAAAGAGGAGGAAGATGCAAGTAAACATGATGAAGAATTTACGGTTTACCTGGGAACGGTAGATGTGCTAATCAACAATGATCCCGAATTACATCAACTCGAAGCGGCTTGGGGGGTAGAATGGGGGAAAATGGATCTAACCACTACTCTACCCGAGGAAAAAGCAGCACGTCCCTGGACATATATCGACTGGCCTTGGCTACGCTCCTACCTCTCACCTTTAATGGAACCACAGAAGCGCGAGGATACGACGCATATATTGCCCGTATACGAACCGCTTCGCGACATCCGCGTGATTGACGTTGATCAACGCTGTGTTATCCAGCTACCGCAAGGTGCACAATATGTTGCACTATCTTACGTGTAGGGAAACGACTCTGTCAACCACTTCCGGACATTGCGCTCAAATGTCGATAGTCTCTCCTTTCCTGGCAACCTAGAGAACATAGATTTGGCGCTCACGATATTGGACGCTATGACAGCGTGTAGGGAATTGGAGCACCGATATTTGTGGATCGACCGCCTCTGCATTGTTCAAGATGAGATCGATGCGAACTCCATCGAGTTGAAGCACATGGGGAGTTTGTATCACCATGCAGCATTTACTATTGTTGCAGCGGCGGGTTCGAGCGCTGCATGTGGCTTGTCCGGCATTAGCCGTGCAAGACAGAAACGAGAATACCTAGACCTACAGAACGGACTTAAAATCGTCGAACCTGCACCAGATCTGCCAAGAGTCTTCTCAAAATCCAAATGGAATCAGCGCGGCTGGACTTACCAAGAGCATATCCCATCTTCGGTTTTGGTCTTCTTTACCGACTATGGGCTCTACATCGAGCATAAGACACCCCTTCAGGAATATATCTCTGCAGAGGCACCTGGTTCGAAATGGCGCATAGAATCGGGTGTCATCGAATATTTTCTGGCTCATATCCAGGAGTATATGGAAAGGACACTGAAAAATCAGGCTGACGTCTTACAAACCTTCTCTGGTCTACTTGAATCAAGGTATGGCCATCGGACGTCTTTTGGCCTACCTTGGGATATCTTCAATCTTGCAATCCTCTGGGTGCAGAATGAATCTTGTCCCAAACCACCAATAACCATAGGGACGGATGTCTTTCCTACATGGTCATGGATATCAGCGAGGAGTGTAAAATTCCTGCAGTATAATTGGGACATATGTTCTCTTGCATATTGGTGCACAACAGTCCAGAGTGATGGTACAAGTACCAGGGTAGCCATTGGCGGTTCACATGCGTCGTGTCCAAATCTTCTGGTGGGACTCGCATGGGCAAATGGCTGTATACGTTCTACACTACCAGAGTACTTCAAACTCGACTGTTCTAGGGAAGACTATTCAGCTCGGCTGCAAGAACGATCGTCCGACAACTCACTTGATTATCGACAGGAGGCTTTCCAGGAGTATGATGAGAAAGAATTATTCAAGGACATCCCCGAAGAACTGACGGAAGTACCCGGACGGATAATGGTTCATACACAAAAAGCTTCATTTACGTTAGACTGCACTCCTTATGGATCTCACGAGCATCCTATTCTTATTCGAAGCAATGGGAGATTTGCAGGCGTAGTTCATGCAGATCAGAATGCAAGGGAATTGATCAACACTATCAATCTAGGACAGTCCCGTGTTGACTGCATAGCCCTCTCCATGTCTCAGGAACATACGTCCTATATCAGTCTTAGCGACATTTACTTTACCGAACTCCCATCCATTAGTGAATTTTACGGGTGCCCTTGTTCTCCCAAACAAGAAGCGGATATAACAACATCGACGGACCACGTTGCCGAGTTCCCAAAACATGCGGATTTCCGAGAAACGGTATCCGTCTACCATCCTGGTGCCACTGTTGCTAGGACTGACTTGTATCATTGGGATGTTAGTGAGAATAACATCAGCAAACTTTATATTAAAAACGGGGACTGCGGAATAGCACTGTCCAAACATTTGTCCGGTCAAAGTTACCTCGACATTCACGGAAACCTGCTCCGTGTCTTCGAAATGCCGCCTTGCTTACATGTAATGTTCATTATACCAAGCCCTGTTCAGGGCAATGTCGGTACCGTTTACCAAAGACTGTGCCTCGGAACAGTTTACCTGAAGCAATGGGTTGAAGCATCACCAAAATCCGAAAGCATTGTCCTCGAGTGAAGACTAAAGGACGTAAGTGTCCTTATCTGCTCGGTGATTGGCAGCTGGACTTACTCAAGCAGACTTGTATTCTGTTGCGCAACAACACACTGGCCAGTAAAACAATCATGACCATTATCTTCCTACACGCGCGACACTACTTTCATAACTCATCGCAAAGACATCCGCTAGGAAGCTACTATAAACCACCATCCCGACGGCTCCCACGCAACGCACATCTCTCCATACTAGCAAGGCGAGCTTCTCTCCAACCCAGTAACCCCCGCGGGTAACAAATTCTATCCACAACTCGCCATAGTCCCTTCTAGACCACCCTTCCAGCCCTCCAGGCACCCTCCTGACTCACGCCCTTGAGCCAAAAACCCCCCGTAACAATCCTACCCTACAATCCCACCACACAACGCCCATTCCGCCCTCACCATCCCTTGTGACGGTGTGAGGAGAGGAGGAGGACTGCGTTGCATTGTGTAGCTATGGAGGAACTGCAGCTATATAGGTGTGTGTGATGAGAAAGTGTGGTAGCGATAGCCGTACCCAACTCTCACCCAAGTCGGTCTTGGCAAGTCCCAAACCGTTACATCCCTGCTCCAACCTTGGCAAGCAGCAAACCTCGCACTATCTACCACACACACCAAAAAACACATGAACCTCCCTCGCTGCAAGGCCCCCCACCCATCCCAGCTCAGTGGCGTAAAACTCCGCCCCCCATGTTTTCAGCCGTCAAACACTGCGCCACATCTGATCGTAGTACCACTGAGACCGCGATCGTGACCGCGAGAAAGAGTGAGAGCATCTATAATGGGTGTAGGGGCTTGTCTCATTCGCCACAATGGAATTACCCGTTAAGCGCTGGGTATTAGTCCGGAAGAGGATAATGAAGAATGTTTGGTGGAAGATATGGGTGTTAGGATGAGTAGGGCTTTATTTCTGTATTAGATGGGCTGATGTAAGGCGGGATCTGTAGTCTGCCAAGTGTTCTCGTGTATAGGAGTTGGGCGCAAGGTGATTGGAGTTTAGATTTGACGAATCGGATTGCTACCCTTGCTAAAGCTTTCTTGATGGTGTATCTTGTGGCTATATTGTCGTCTAAAATTCAATGCTCTTCTACGTCATCAGTCGTGACAAGGGATATGCGTAATATGAGTAATCATGGCCTGGTCGTCAGGTAACCGTGTGTAGACATGTTCCCAAAACAACCGGTTGAGTCAGCAGCGGTGTCACGTGCTAAGTACTACAACACAAGAATAAACTTCCGATAACCTATCTAGGATTTACTCGTGTATACATGGTCGCAAGGCGTCCACGAGCCTCCAACCTCCAACCAGTGGAAGTTCCACGACGACACAATTCGACGAGATCATGTAAGCTAGGCGGCCACCCAGTTGTCCAATATCCAATGAGAGAAGTTGTATCGAATATTCCCTTTATGGCATATCCCATTGGATTTGAAGGTCATGCTAGTCGATCGAACTAATGCAGGGGCCAATATAACACCGGCGAGCTGGCGAGAGACCCATGATCCGTGTTGCCGTTGTACCCACAAAACGTTGATACAACGTTGTCGCGCCCGCGAGGCTGAATTCGCATCTCGGTAGGGGCCGCTTGGGGAAAGCTGAAGTTGTCGGCTGTTTGACCGGGGGTGATGCATCTCCACCGACTCAATGTAGCAAAACTATGCCGAGTTGTCAAGTCTGTGGGAAATAGAAAACATGACCAAGCCACGTAACCAAAACACCCTACAACAACTGCCAAGAATAGCTTGGGGGTGGAGAGGTGTGCTGGGATCTACAGTCGGCACCAAAGTTAAATGAAGCAAAAGACAAGCTGCCAAGAATGCGGAAGCCGGACAGATACTTGAGCGTGCGTACTGTAGATTGCGAAAGCAATGCCGAAACAAGAAAACCGGCATATAGCTCAGCGGGACCACGCAAGAAACCAAGAATTTATAATCACCAGCAATACAAGGGAAAAAACACCGCAACATCACACCATGTACATGGTCCCAGACTGCGCATCAATACGAGGTCGCCGAGACAAAACAAGAGGGGAGCTAACAAAAGGACGAAGAAAAACAAGTACAGGTATCCTGGCATTGGGGGAGGAAACCGTGGCTAGAGAGCCGCGCAAGCCCATAGCCCAACGCATACGCAGCTGCGGGAGCTACCATGGCCGAGCGAGGTAGCTGTAGTGTCCTCGAGGACGCGGAACGTGACGATTCTCGCCCTGCGCCCGGGGACTCCGTGTCGAGATGCTGGCAGCGGAAGCAACGGGCCTCGTAGAGCCATGTCAATGCGACTCGCGTCCAAGGCGTCATCTGCATTCCGATGGATAGCTGTGGCGCGATAAGCCGATTCGCCGAGACAAGAGGCTGCCGAAGCTGGTAGTTCACCGGCACGGTCGGAAACGCCCGTATAAATGAGTCAAACATCACAAAGACACTTGCATCTCCAGAGTGGAGTTATCGTCTTATGTGTGTGTCATAGGAATTGGCAGTGACCTCGCAGAATACGTTGAGTTGTGTGTAGGCCTACTTGACCGGGTGGCGGTTCTCACACCGTCCGAGTGGATGGGTGTTGAGTGTATACCAAGAGGCTTGGGTCAGGGAAGAGGCGGTAAGGTAGCACGTGCACGTGCAGAGTAAATGTGGGGCAGCTTAGCGAGATGACGTCGCGGCGAACGTCGTATGCACTGGATTCACTCTTCTCCAACGCTTCGGTCCGTCAAAGTTTAGATTACGATTGAAGTATAGCATGGCGACACGTCGACTCGTGTACGGTATCGAGACTAGGACAGTACGAACTCGCCTCTTCCGCCCTAGAAGTGTGGGCTTTGTGGCTGCTGTCTTTTCTTTACGCAAGGCAGACTTGAAGGTGCTTGTAAAAAATAGTGGGATTGACAGCGAAACACGGCGCTACTACACGAGTAAAAATAACGGATTAGAAGAGAAGTTGAAACTCATTCCTCCTACTCCACTCAATGCCGCCGAGATCCAGTATAACATTATACCCATGCCCTCGTAATCGTACAACGTCCTGCTCTTTCTAATATGTATCCCATGATGAAGACTCCAGCCCCAGATAAACTCCTTGTTAATGCGTGTATTGTTAAACGTGACGAAGGTGTAGAAATGAATGTTCCAAAAGAAACAACAGTCGCAGGCTCGAACGAGAAGATGGTTGGACAAGAGACAAACGGTCAATCGGAAATGTTGAAGTGAAACGATAGATATGGTCGTGAATCGTGATGAGGTCGGAAACTTGTCTCTTCATCCTAGGAACGAGGGAGGATATGTGCCGCTTCCGTAGCCCGAATCAGGGTGGACGCTGGTTTGATGGGCGATCTCAGGTCGGCCGTTGCTATGTTTGCTGCATGTATATCCTACAAGAACCGTCTTTTCTTGGATGGTATGTCCGCGTTGTCCGTGGGAGGCACATGGGTCGATTGAATGTTTGTGGTAGAGACATCGGCAGACCGAGTAGCGTTCGATGACTTGGTAGCACATGTTGGCGGTTTAAGATGTTTGGGAAGTAAGTCACTGATGTTCAGTGGAATGTGTAAACGTGGGTGCGTATGAAGATTGAGACCGACGATATGGAACAACTGAAGAACTGGTGTTTAGGGGAATGGAGACTTGGGGTAATGAATGTACTCGACGTGGCAAGGGACGGCATATATACGGAAGGGATGAGGATAGAATAGAAAAGCATAGGCCAGAGTGGGTCACCCATGGTAGGCATCTTGTCCATCTGCAGGTCCATCAGGCAACTGGAGACGTGTGTAGGGATGATGTGCACAGTCAGCCGGAAGCTACTAAGATGGGACTGTCAAAAACAGCCATTACAGCCGTTAGTTTCCAAACTGTATAGAAAGAGGCAAGGTCTTCGGGTGTGGCAGGGGTGGGTACTTCGCTTCTTAGATGCTCTTTCAGCTTGTTGCAGATGATGCGTCTCAGAAGCTGATTGGCATGTGGCTTAGCCCATGCAACATCCGCAGGGTCGCGGAGAATTTAGTAGGAAAAAGGACAGGGCGTGGAAGCGGGAGCAGGAAAACATACGATGTATTTTGCGCATAGTGAGCGAACGGGGGCGGCAAAACCCCTGTAGTGCGCGGGCCACGCAAGCGTACCATATACATTACAAGAGCCCATGTTTATATCGGTTCATACGTCCTAGAGCCGAGTGACACGATCTCTGCGTGACTCGAATCGCATCTGACAGCTCGAATTCAGCCACAATTCTGGATATAGCGCCTGGGTAGTGGGCGGGAGCGGAGCGACGGAGGGGCAGTGACTTTTCTGACGTATATTAGTCAGGCCCGGAGCTCTAGCTCCACTGCGCTTCCACCGGGGTCTAGTGCCCCATTCGGAGCGGCTATCGCGCCCGTCGGCGATTTCATGTTACGAGGTTGCGAGAATCATTTTGGCGATGAATAGCAACTTGTCGTTGAGGCTGGTAGTTGGCGGTACGTGCGGCTCTCGAGAAATCCCGCGCCGGGTGGTGGCGGTTCGCGCTTGGTGGCTACGTACGTACCGACCGTGAATCCCGACCGTGAATCCCGACCGCGACTCCGTGTTCCGAAGAGGACCACCAAAACCTCAACACCAACTTCCATTTCCAGTCATCTACCACAGCTAGAACGGCAAGATTACTCTGCACCTTCATACCAGCTGATCAGCCTTACCAGCGGATTCCAGAAGTGTATGGGCGCTTGCCACTGCCTAGCGCTTCAGGCTGACCAGCTGAGTGCTGCCTGGCCATCTGCAGATGGACACACGCAACATGGGGTTTTCGAAAGCCATCTCCGGCTAATCGTCCAATTATACATACAGAACTCTGTCCGTGGGTCATGGGGTAAGTTGCTCCATCTGTCCTTCACCGATTGATGGGTGGGCGGTGGAAGACGCCGCTAATGCTACTAGGTAGTATGCCTAGAGGGAAGTTCCATCTCATTGTAAAGAATTGTCTAGAATGTTGGTAATCTTTGTCCGTCTTTTGGTTGGGCTATCAGAACGCCAGGTTCGCTGTGAGCGCTAAACTCCTTGCCATCGGCGTGATTGCGCGCTTCGAGGCTTACCTGCAACGGTTGACCGTTATGCAGCCCTATGCACCCTCCCGTGCGATGGGTTCACGTGGTGGCGATCTGTACATCTCACGCAGCACTTCCCGGTCTACACGGTTCTCAATGATCTGCTATCTGCCAATGACATCAACCTGCATCCACCCTCGTCCCAGTGTCGATACTGCAAGGCTACGCCTACCAAGGAAAATCGGAAGACTCCGCCTCAAACTAAACACCGGGAACCTTTTCCAGTTTCAGAAGACGAGGGTCTAACGCCCTGAGCATATTTTCACCGTACCCGGCCCCAGTCCCGCATCTGTCTGCAGTTACTATAGGAGACTGTTACAAGGCAGATTTCCCAGAATAATGTTTGAAATGAGTCAGGGGCGAGTGGCTGTTACCAGTTCTCATCTTTTTGCAACATCGTACTCACTTTGACCAGTTTAGAATCGGCCTTCAGTGCGTGGCACGACTGCAACCTGGCTGGCTCAGGGCAATAGGCAACACTACAAGATTGGCACATACAAGCGCAGTGCCGAACGGCACTACGGCCGGCACACGTAATTTCGCCCACCAATAATGACTGCAGTTGTCGACGGTGCATTGCTTGGCTGCGTCTCGCTTCCTTGCCCACGTCATGCTGAAAGCTTTGCGGCTCTTCGAACATGTCTCTTGTCACTTGATGAACGTCGAGAGTGCGAGCTTTCCCATATCGTTCCATCCATGCTACAGTGTGTTATTAAGCTGACACCTCACCACTGATATCGGTGCCTAGCCAGGTCAGGCTGGAGCGTGCTCCAAGGCCCCATCATGTCCCGAGGAATTACACCCAAGGTCGTCACAACGCCGTTCAGAAGGCGCTGCGATCCCACGCATCAGCTCACTTGCATACAATATACCCCACGGAGCCTCACCGCCCGATCGTACCAGAGACTCGCTGCCGTGGATCTGGAACTCAGGCGGATGACTCGGATGCCATAGCGGCAATTTCCATATTCCAATTGACCGGAATCTGGACATGGGACGCTGGTGAGGATCACTCCATGGATCACCTCCGACGTCCATACCGATGGGATCGTGGCATGTGCTCGCGCTCTGATCACTATATACACCGCCTGGTCGCAGTCACCGATCTCTATCTGCTTTCTCTGCGGTTATAGTAATTGTCACGGGGTTGCAGCGTCGCCCTAACACACAGCAATCGGTGAGTATCTGTTGTAGCGGTGTCAAACTATTGACCGGAATTTCTAGCAAACGGATGTGGAAAATGTGCAGTTTGAGATGCTCTCGGTGATTGCGGGTCCGAAGTCCGCAATTGCATAAAACCCATCACTGGCCGCCCGAAGACGATACGAAACCACACGTGGTCATAAGTACAGTTTGAGGAAATCCATCAAGCCAGCATAAAAAACCTGACTGACCGGGCCTTTTCGGCTCGCATCCAGAACAGCGGAAACTCGTAGAGCACGAATGTAAGCCGGTCACAGTCCCAAGCTGACAACGATACATATGACCATCTTCAGCGCAGCAGCCAAAAAATCATATATGTAAATCGCCATGAATTACGCCCACAAAACTTCCCTCATGATATTTCATAGCCACATCCGTTTACGCGTCGTTCTCTTCCCGTACCCAGACTACGTCTAAACCCCACCCCACCGGAACCCACCTACGCTCGACAGAGTAGGAGAAGAAACTGGAGGTAACAAGATAAGGACAAGGTCTTTCCATTATAGACAATTAACTACATGGAGTAACCGAGTCATTCCGCAATACACCCAGCACCAACCCCAGCCTCCCCCTCAACAAGTAATTAACACCCATACATACGTTACAAGGACTATAAAACAGTCTTTCCCTAATCGGAATGTAAATTACATACAAATCAACTCACGTGCACGCCTTTACCTCCGCACCGCCGCTGTCGAAGCGTCGACCATCCGATGCTCCGGAGCCGCTAAACCTAGTTTGACGAATCGAGGCGTTCATCATTCTTGTATTGTGATACTGCGTAATCTGTGACTATTGCTTGCGTAGTCTTGTCTCTGGGCCAAGCATGTAGAGGCTTGACATTTTAGTATCTAGCATGGATGAATGGGTGGGTGAATGACGACGTGGAGGGTTGGCCGGGGCGGTGAAGTTGCGAGACTGCTGCACCTAGCTATTAACACTTTTGTATCTGTGAAGTGCTAGGCGGAAGCGGAAAGTGTTGGATAGATGCTGAGAGTGTAATTTGAAATTTGAGTTCAGGGAGAAGTGCAAGGAAAGGCACGACGATGCAAGTTGCGTGAGTTGATATGGCTACCGTGTAAGCTTTATGTTGCAACCTCGGTCTTAAAACCGTAAAACTAGGAACTCTTTCAGAATTGAAGTGTTTGATGACAGCGCGGAGGCCTTTATACAGAGCAGCCTCTCAGAGAGTGATGAATTCACGAGAGACAACTCTCCATCTACGCGTTCGCTCCTTTTTCTCATCACTTACACTTCCATGCACAGCAGAAGAGAGATATGGAACGCAAAATAGCCCAGATAAAGATCAAGCTTACTTCGTCTCTTCTTCTCATACCAAACTTCACACAAGTATCAGTACATACACCCATTCCCATGTCACTCAGCGACCCACTCCTCCAAGCAAGAAGGCATAAGCAGTCATGCACTCGCACTACCCATCACACCAAACTCAGCAGACAGGGTATTGGATAGAAACGTATGATTAAGTCTAAAACTCGTATTTGCCCAAAGGTCGGGAGAAAAAAAGCCAACTTCGGGGGTATATATCCATAAGCCCAGCCTAATCCAGTCCAAACCATCTCAACCGACAGGAGAAAAAGGCCTTTCTAAAAACCAATGATGCCTCCCAAAACGCAATCAAAAACAAAACAAAACACCGAAAAAGAGAACCTCATAGCTTCATCATAGTAATACAACCCCCTAGGTAATCAAAACCAGAGACACCATCTTCTGCAGGTCCAAGACGGATGGGTTTACATGAAGACACCAGCAAGAACCATGACACCAACGACATAGTACCCAGTGTACTTTCCAACCTTCAAGTCAACGGCCGCACTACTTCCCGGCGCGGTCGTTCCCTCAGGCAGGGTACCGTTCAAAACAAGCGTCTTTGTGCCATTGACATCAGACACGGTAACGAGAGACTTGTCGAGGGCGGGGTAGCTTCCGTTGCCAACAAGGTCGTCAACGTACGAGTAGTCACCGTCGTTCTCGTCACAACCGCAGGAGCTGTTTTCCTGGCATAGACACATGACGGGGAGAGTCTCGTTGCGGCCCTGAGTTTGGCGTGTCCAGAGGTCGCGCTTGTTGTTGTTATTGTTATCGTTATCGTCGTTTGTGGCGGACTGGTTGTAGAAGCGGTAGGGGTTATTGTAGTGGTATGGGTATACGCTGGCGAGCCATAGACCGGGCATGATGAACAGCATGGCTGCTGGGAGAATCAAAGCGCCGGCAACAAGACCCTTTCCAGGTGTGCGACTACCGGCTCTGTATGGCTGTGCTGCGCCAAACGATCGTGGTGCACCGGAGCCTGAGCTGGTGCGTCCACCACCACCGCTAGATGAGCCGCTTGTGCGTCCGCCGCCACTACCACCGCTACTACTCCCTCCTCCTCGGCCACCACCTCCTTTGCGACGCTCTAGTGTGTGCTCTGGTGAGAGGAGTTCTGAGGGTGGGACGACGCGGCGCTCTTCGAGTGCGTGCAGCGCATTGTTTGTTTCGGGGATCGAGGCAGCGGTGATTGCCTGCGCGGCGACGAAGCAAGTGAGAAACTGTGAGACCTTCATGTTGAAGGATAAAGTATGATGATGGTGCGAAGGAGTCGCGGAACCCTGAATGTGCAACTTGAGTCTAGTTATACAAATGAATCCTCAAATATAATGTAAGGGGAAGTACAGGAGCAAGATTTGAAAGTTTGCTCGGTGATTGTATAGCCGTCTGCTAGGGTGAGGTTGAGGATGAAAGTGCGATTTTGTGGAGAGGCAGGCATGGGTCTTTAAGCCTTTGCAATCTGCGTCATGAAAGAAGGACCCTGACGTAAACTGGAAAGAAGGGTGGAACCAACGCCACCACGCAAAGATGGTACTAGGTAAGAGCCTAACGGTGTGTTGGCTTGCCTAACCAATCTGAATGATAAGTTTGGTGGCTGATGATCCTTTGACAGTCTTTCGCCGCCGGGCTGTGAAGGCGCCGTCGCCGAAGAACTGCCTTGCAATCTGCGCAAGGGAGCATAGACACTTGGCGAAGCTGACACTGAAACTGATAACCACGAGATTTCACTCCATTACCAGCACAATCTGCACTCCTCTCCATTTCGTTGTTGGTGACGCGCGATGACATCCAGATCCGTATGACCTCATAGGTCACTACATGCCAAGACGTTATAGTACAATACCTGAACCAAGTGTGTGGCCACACGCATCATCGGGCAACCAGCCAACGAACCAGGGGAAGCAGACTTAGCCGGATACCCGATCACAACTCGATATGGTTCAATAGCAAGTTATGCACTGCCATCGCTAGGAAATGCTATCATGACTAGGAGCGCAGTAGTGCTCCCGGGCATACACATTGCGCAGATCACATGGATACCAAGGAGAAAGATATGCACATTTGGGGCAGTGTTTTTGACGCTGGCAATATGTGCTTGGTGCTTTGTTGGCACAAACGAAGCCGATTATAGACAATGGGTAATCGCCTAACCGCGGCCCAAACCTTGGCAATTGTGATAGACGTTGGCCTTGCCACGATACAGGGCGCCTGAAGAATGAATGATGCTTTATCCTTGTTGGCATTCATTTCACTTGATACATGTCGTTTGTCTCTTTGACTTGCCGTTGTGTATCAGAGCCAACTGGTTGAATCTTGCTGTCCATCAGCCGCCATCAAATAATCAATCCATAATTCTGCTGGATTCGATTGGTAGTCCTATTGTATAGACAAATGTCGTGTCTACCATTTAGTCGGCGGTCAAGAATATGGCCAACAAGGCTGCATGTACTCCGGTCCCTTGGCCTGGGAGAACGGGTGGCGCAGCTAGGGCACGTGGGGAACCTGAGGCCTTCTAGAAGGGCTGCGCATGCAAGGCTGGAGCGGCAATATGACTTTTGCTCACCGGCTACAGTTGCAGTAAAGTGGCGGATGTTGAGAATCATCGCCCAGAGTCACCTTGTGACCGTGGTGCAGTAGGCCCCCCTCCATCCGATACCGTCTGGTATTTTCTGTATTCCTGTTCCAATTCTCGCTGCATCTCAAAGTCGGCCTGTCGCTCGCGCTTGACCCGTTGTTGTTCGTAGTCGCGGATAACACCCATATGCATTGCCTGAAGATATCAGCAAAGACGCATGCAGCCGCATATTGTGTATACTAACTGCTTTGTCGGCTCTCTGCGACCAATGCACGAATGCGACAATGCTAATCGCCGAGAAACATGTCGTCGCCAACGTAATCTGAGAGGCTCGAGACATGTTGAGGGCGGTGAAGAAGTTGCAGTGTTGGTGACTGAGTCTGTGTAAAGTTGTAAAGTTGCAGTGGGGACTTATGGCGGGAAGGAGCTTGGGCCGCCGATGCACCATCCGCCAAGGTCATTCGCTGCATCATGTCTCTCCGCAACTCTACCTTGATATAACCAACATCCCCGCAAACCCAACACCAAAGATGGTGAGCTATTCGGAATACGTGGGTTAGAGTGACCGCTGACAGCTGTAGTCCGCCCAAAACTCCGCGGGTATCCAGACCCTGCTCGACGTAAGGCAGCGCAACCCACTATAACATCCGCATAGCTCACACGCGATACAGGCCGAGCGCGAAGCTCAGAAGATTGTCCAGCAAGGTATGTCGCAGTTCGAGTGTGTTAAAGATAGCAGTCGCTAACACTCCAGCAGCAAGAGAATGTAAATGAAGCTTCCGACACCCTACCGAGACATAGCTCTAATGTACCCAGACCGCACCAAGCGAGTAAAGGACGCCCGAAACGAAGCACAAAAGGAGATCGAAGACTACAGGAAAGAAAAGGAGGACGAGTACCAGAAGTTTGAGAAGGAGGTTCGTCAACGACGTCAACACTCTACAGGCTGGGGGGCATGAAGCTGACAACGGAACAGCACAGCTCAGGCAACCAAAAGGCCGAGGAGGATGCAAAGAAGGACACCGACGCCAAGGTCAAGGAGATTGAAGAGATTGGCAACAAGTCTGGCTCCAAGGTCGTCGACCAACTCATCCAGGCCGTCATAACCGCCAACCCCGAGCCGCCGCGAAAGGCAAACTAGACCGCTGGTATAACGTCTGGGTGATGCGCAAGGGCAGCTGCACTTTACTACTTTATGGGGAACCGGACAGGAGGGTACAGTGGTGGAGATGGCTTCCTGTATATGACCTGGTAGCAGTCAGATTCGGACTGCGCCAGTTGAGTTCCAACCAGTATACGATGCATTACGAAAATGTCCTAGCAACTGCAGCTTCATGATGGTGTATGTTGTGCCATTTCTGCTTCAACTGCGACTCTTCTGAAAACTTCCTGTACTTAAAACTCCCACACACGTATCCCGTCGCACTGCACGCATGGGATTGCATAACGTCTGCGGGTCTGATACATGTTTCAGCCTCGATCTGTATCCATCAGTTGTACCCGTCACAGACCCTGGCCGGCAGTTGTCGCTAACGAGCCCTACGTACGTCATCCGTGGAGCGCAACGCGGAACTTCGCAGCTAAACTCCAAACGCGTTCTGGAGTCACATACAATGACAACTACCCAATGATACGAACATGTACTCGGGCGACTCTTCGCTCGCCTATTTCGAGGCCAGTGACATATACTCTAATACCAAAGTATGCCTGTCGTCAGTTCAGCAGCTCGCAATGGCGCAAAGAAGACCCGCGCATCTCAGACTTTGGTCGTGAGATTGTCGATGAGTTTGCTGTAATGCGCGAGAAATATGGTACTTGGGATTATAATCACTTGATTTCACGAATATGGCTAACAGAATCAAGATACTCCTGTACGAGCCCAAGTCCACCCGTACTTTGCAATTCTGATTCTCGCAGAAAAACACCATAGTCCTGGCACATGGGCTCCTTGGATTTGACGAATTGCGTCTTGCCGGCCAATTCATACCAGGAATACAATACTGGCGGGGAATCACAGATGCACTGGCACATAAAGGCATCGAAGTCATCGTCGCTGCAGTGCCACCCAGTGGGAGCATCGAGGCAAGATCAGCCAAGTTGGCCGAGAGTATTGCGCTCAAAGCAAAGGGAAAGCAGGTCAACATCATCGCGTATGTGCACGTATCTCCAGGCAAGATACATATCACTGACTAGTTGCAGACACAGCATGGTAGGAGGATAATCAAGCTGGCACAATTCCTGGTAGCTGACATTGGCTAGGGGTAAACATCATAATGTCTTCCAAGAAACATTGTATTGAGACAACACAGGGGTCTCGACTCACGATACATGATCAGCCAACTTCGACCGACCGACTTCAAGATCCTTTCCCTCACCACCATTGCGACTCCACACAGAGGCTCTGCCTTTGCTGATTACATGTTTGAGACAATAGGCCGTATGTTGACCAGATACATCCATGATTCCAAGCTAAAACAAGGTAGAGCGCCGTATCAAGCGAGTTTACAAGGTCATGGAGTACTTTGGCCTTGAAACTGGCGCCTTCTCACAGCTCACACAAGCATATATGAAGAATGTTTTCAACCCCAAGACACCGGATATACCGGACGTCAAGTATTACTCGTATGGCGCGTCGCTGGAGCCCAGCAAATGGTCCGTCTTTTCGCCTTCGCATGCGATTATCAAGCCAATAGAGGGGGTAAACGATGGGCTGGTTAGGTACAAAAGACGCAAGACTGAGGATGATGTACTGATATCTGACCTTTTACAGCGTCCATTCAAGCCAGTGGGGTGATTATAAAGGTACTTTGATTGGCGTAAGCCATCTTGACCTGATCAACTGGACGAATCGTCTCAAGTGGTTCTTCTGGGAACTCACGGGGAGCAAGCGCAAGTATGAAGGATGCTGCTCATCGACCGGAACGAATCTAGCTGACAAACATGTAGTTTTAACGCTATTGCATTCTATTTAGATATATGTGGTACGGTGACAGCTCCACAACATGAACCAGTAGTGCTAACATAGCCTCCAGATATGCTAGCAAAAGAAAAGCTGTAGTGCACCAAGCGCAAGCTCCGGAATGTTCCATCGCAAAAGTAGCCGCATTCGCCGCCGAGAGAATTGGGCAAGAAACACGATGCTGAAGTAAGACTGGGCATGCTCCAGCTCGGAACTGCGGCTGGGGTGCGATTGTGGCTGTGTACGGCATATTACCCGGTTTCAAGGTGCGACATCGCACCGTATGCACCCAGCTATTGAGCTGAGATATACGGAAAGCAGTCTAGCAAGATCATTTCCAAATATTTGAAATCATTGCTTGCGGCTAGATAGCTACAAAAGACGTCTTGTTTGCTTAGTGCTTATGACGTTGTTGGATCCTGGGAACTTCGCACCCCGCCCTGCTCAATCCGTTTTGTGCCCTTCAGCCTGCGCGCAAACACGCTCATGACTTGACACGCGTTCTCCTGGCTTAGCCTCTGCATTAAAAACAAAATCTATAACATGGCTCCACACTCAAGACTTTTTAACTTCTGACATGTTGCTTCATCTCTGCAAACTGCGCGATTTCCCTCACTCAGACATCGTAGCCTAAAGCAACACAATCGCAACCCCGCGCAGCACGCCTCAAAATGAATGTCAACATTGTGCTCGAGCATCCGCACGAGCACTATACAAATCTCGACCTCATACAGGGCAAGGTCATTTTGCGTGTGCCCCATCCGGCCAATGTAAGCAGCATCATTGTGAAGCTTGAAGGTGAGGGCAGGACACGGCTACTGGCGCCCATACATCCGAGCAGGCCGGACAAACAGAGACCAGTCCTAGAAGTACACAAGTTCTTGTACCAGACACAGGTCTTGCTCCCACCGAATACACGTCAAGAAGACCTCAATCCAAAGGCTATTTTCCCTTTGAATTCTGGTTCTTTTGAATATCCATTTCAGTTCAAGGTAGGCATCCAGTGGTGGCAGCGACTTCCCACACCGCTGACGCGAACAACAGCTTCCTCTCAATACGCAATGCCAACAGTCGAACAACCCCATCTCCAGTGTCTCCTTTACAAATACGATTCCCGAATTCGCAAAAACACCGACACAACACGTCAAGGCTACACTTCCACCAACGCTTAGTGGATTCCCAGGCGAGGCAGAGATTCGATACTTCGTCAAGGTGACGGTAGGAAGACCACAGTTCTTCAAGGAAAACCCAAGGGCAATTGCAAACTTTACGTTTTTGCCTATTGAGCCTCCGCGGCCCGAAAAGGCAGACGGAGAAGCGTATGCAAGAAGACAACATGAATTTTTGGAGAATCCGGGAAGCAAGTCTGTTGCAGGAGGTGTGCAACCGCGCGTAGCCATTGATGCGCGTTTGCCAAACCCTGCGATACTCACGGCCAACCAAGACATACCGCTGCGGGTTCTTGTCAAGAATGTCAGCCCGCGTACAAAGAACATATATCTGCAAATGCTCCAGGTTGAACTCATTGGATATACCAAAGTGCGGGCGCATGACGTATCCCGTACCGAGTCCAACAGTTGGATCCTGTGCTCGTTCAGCAACATGGCGATACCAATTGGCGCCCCTTCAGACCCGCTAGAAACCGAGGTACCCATCAACCCAGAGTACTGGTCTGGAAAGGTTGTACCAAACACCGTCTCGCCAAGCTTTACATCCTGCAACCTCTCGCGCTTCTACGAGCTCGAAGTGCGCGTCGGACTTGGCTACGGAAGCTACAAGCACGGTGAAGATCAGCTCATTGTGCTACCCCTCCGCTTACCGGTCAAGGTCTACTCTGGCATCGCGCCCCCAACGGCACTACTAGCAGCTGGGTTCAATGCAGAATCGGGAAAACCCCCACTTCATGCACCACCTCTTCATACTCCTACCACGGGCTTCAGCGGCCAACCTTCCCAGCCTCCGCCAGCTCCTGTATATGATGATGCCCCGCCAAGCTACGAAGAAGTCGTTGGCCAGAATCTACCGCCTATTAATGGGTATAGGGGAAGTTATATGCCTCCTCCCGTTCCCGAGGGCGCCCCAAGATTCTCCGACGAGAAGAGACGATGAGGAATGCGCAGGAAGCCCAATGAGGCAGGTCCGAAGTAGTCCCATTGCGTCAGGATGATGAGGAGACTGGATGCAAGCGGCTGTATTCGGTCAACGTTACTCGACGGCAACTTGGGGATCGACAAAAAGTAGTTTGGGTCGCAACGGTACGGCCAATGGTGGCCACGAGGGCGTGCGTGCATACTGTACAGCGGGAAGGTGGAGACCTCCCACCTGCAGCTGTTCCACTGTTTCAAGACGATGTGTTTTATCTTTCTTACCCAATAGTTATACTTGACTAATGCTGTTATGAGGATGTCTGTCTGTCGGTGCGGTGGGGAGGTGGAGAAAGTAGTGGAATGAAACGAAACCGGGTAGTATACATCATGTTTCATGTAGTTTCTACATCCAATCATCAATTTGTTTTCGATATAATCTTGAACGCCCATGTGCTTTGGTAGGGGCAGGATGTACCCAGTGCGGGGCCCGTCCCGTGTGACCGGTCAACCTGTAGAAATGATTTGCTTGGTTTGTGTTGTAACGCCACTATGCGGGTGAGGCATTTTCGCGGTGATGATGCTTTTGGCCAAGAGATTGGGAAGGTGGTGTGTAAGCAGAGCAGAGGGAAACGCGTGGTTGTGATGTTGTGGTTTTGCGCGAACGCGTTCTTAACATACACTCGAGATTGATAGCTGCTGTGATGTGATGTGATGTTGTAGCTTAGATCTTGTCGGATGATGTATTAGGAAGGATTTAGTTGTCATCTATCACGAGTTGTACTTATCACGTCTTGGAGTCCATCTACAAGACGGAAGCAGAAGGACGTCGCGATAGTTGTATGGTGTTGACTTTCCATGTACCCAGCCACACCACGCCTCCGGACACTAATCGATAACCTTACATTGACTTGAAACAGACGCGAACTACCAAAAAAAGACATCATTTGTTTATTGTTATTGTCTCCTACGAATCGCGTCTCTCGCCCGCGCAAACTAACAGACGCGTCGTACCTGGCCCTTGACTCAATCAAGGCGCTTCCCACAACCCCCTGCACAAGTACACAAGCCCTACACGCGACTCCGGAGCGCTGACCGCCAGTCCTACGCACTCGCACTCGCCCAGCCACTGTCCCCCAAGACCGAACAACGCACACTACTGCAGGCGCCGCAGACACCATCCCGTGCATGCCAGCCTACGGTTGGCCGAGCGGTGTGAAACGTTTCAAGCCGACGGCCCCACATGGATGGCTGTGTCGAATCGTCGCGTCAAACACCATATATACACGTCTCTGCACCGTGGTGTAGTCGTGTTTTTGCGCAGTGTTGGAGGCTCCATCGAGGTTAGGTGATGGGGTGGCGACTTGGTTGGCGATGAGGGTTGACAAAGTGGTTTTGACTCACACTTGCATTCGTGTCAGTTCGCCCCGCTTTTTTAGAGCATGGCTAGTTTGGGTAAATAGGACTGACTGCGATGGAGGTTCAATTTTTTGGTATCCTTAGGATTTCTCTCTCGTCTTTTTTTCGCTTTCATCTCTGGGAAGATTGGATGTTTGAAACGACGAGTACGATTTATTTACGATTTTTCACCAGATTGATACCTTGATTGAAATCGATTTTTTAAACACAACTACGCTATACTACATTTGCATGAGATTGTACAAGCTTGAACATGTATCACTCACAGCGACAACCACCGTCGCTAAAGCGATCGAATTCCAAAGAGAGCCAGAATAGCTATGGTAGTGCTGCGACTACGGTGTCGCGCGCGAGTTCGAAACTGCTGTTTGGAGAGATTCCATTGACGCCGGCGACGACGGCGGATGGTCGATGTAAGTGCTCCCTCACTGTTGGAACATGCAAGATTCGGGTACTGACAGCACAAAGCAATTCGCTCAAATGGTTCCATTTGTAACCTGGTTCTTTCTACAAGTTCAGTCTTCTTGCGCTTCTGGCTTAATGATGCATGCCGCGATAATTTGCTCGACCATATGGAATCAGAGGATCTATCAAGCTTCCGTCTCGTATGCCATGACTTTTCTGCCAAAGCAGCGCCCCGGTTGTTCGAAAAGATGACTGTTACATTCAAAACATCTACATTTTCCAAGCCTGCGCGAATTGATGCGCTGTCGAGGATAGGCCGCCACGTCAAGACCTTCACCTTCCACATGCCCCACGGACCAGAAACATGCCTTCCACCCATCATCGACCCCTTGACCGGCGCAGAGCAACAGTTCATCTACGAGCCCCAAGTTCAACTCCCCCAACATGGACCTGCAAAGGACAAGGCGCCAAAGTACGGTAGCTGGGAAATGCAAGACCTACTCATCAAACAATACCCACCCCTGTTCCACGCCGCCACAAACGTCCCCGCCTTCTGCGCCGCCTTCTCCCAAATGATTAATCTTACACATCTTAAAATCTCTTGTCCCGGATCCAACAGCCCACGCCATCGCCGTGGTGTTGTAGACTACGCCCTAATCTCGCTCCGCATCGCCATCGAGCGTGCCCCCTTGTACAGTCTCTCAGCCCTATCCCTCCACCCCATCCACCCGTGCGGCCTCCTCTACCTGCACCCCCTGCACAACTTCGGCAGCACACCTTCATCAGCCAAGCGCTGGAGCCAAATCCGCCATCTATCAATCTGCATGGAAAACATTCCCTCGTCCCCGCGGTCTCGCAGCAGCCACTCTACAGAACACCTCCGCGTCCTACACGCCTACCTCTCCACTCTCTCCCGTAGTCTGACCCGTCTTTTCTTCCGGTGGAAAGGGTCGCGTGGTCCTTGTCCGTTGAGTCTGGATCGTGAACCTTGTTTGTCGGGGCAGTCCAGCAAAGCCAACTATGCGGATGAGAGTAATATTCACCCCTCCCAACGAGTAGGAGGAGCAGGAGGTGGTCCCACACCACTATCTTTCCCCCGCCTTCGCACCCTAGCTCTCGAAAACGCAATCATGGATTCCTCACAGATTGCGGATTTCATCACACGACATAAGCGGTCGCTTCGCGAGTTCAACTTTGAAGACGTCAAACTGAGGGAGGGCGATTGGGACAAGGCGCTTGAGCCGCTGACTACGATTACTGGGAATGATAGCTGGAAACAGTATCAAGAGGTTGAGAGTATGGATGTGCCGGTTATGTTGAGTCCGGTTGAGATTGCTCCGCCGCCGAGGGAAATGGCAATGCCGAGGGAGAGGGAAGTAAGGAGCGATGTCAGGATCATGGGTCCGCTTATGGAGGAGGTGCAGGAGGCGATTGAGGAGGTGGGGTACATGGAGAGGAAAGAGAGGGAGAGGGTGTTGTCGAGGTGGTTGGGTAGACCGGTTAGGGGGAGTGCTGCTGTTGTGGGAAGTGCGGGTGGGGGTGCCGCTGCGACTGGTGGGAGGAGGGGTAGGGAAAGGGAACACGTTCATAAGGATAAGTTTTGGGGTGGTGGGGGCAGGAAGTTGTTGCATTTGAGTACTTGGAAGGCGAGTAACGGGCCCATGTTGGTGTTTTAGGTGGATGGTGGGTGGTATGGCGTCTCTTTTCCTGTTTGTCACGGTCGATCGCTCTCTTTTTCTCTTTTCTTTTACGGTTATGGCTAACGCTCCTCACGACTTTCATGTCTCTCATTCACGGCCGCGTCATGATAGCGCATGCTTTGTAGTTATATTACTACATCACGATCTTTCAATAGAATTTCCTTTGTATACTTTGAATCTCGACTTGCTCTTTTGCTTCATGTGCCAAGCATAAATGCGTTAAGAGACTACAATGGGACTAATTTGTTCCTCTAATAGATTGTTCCTGTTGACTGCACTGTGTGTTCAGCAGTAGTGCCATAGTCACCCACAGGTACCTCAAAACTTCCGCTTCCGAAACCAAAAACAAAGAATGACGATTAAAGCTACAACTCGACCTTAATTCGAGTTTAGACGCCTCACTCAACCTGTAGTGGTTGAGAAAATTCGATTAGAGAGCCGTTAAGGTTAACTCGGTAGTATTGTGGTGAAAGTGAAGGTGAGAGAAGCGCGATTGTGGATACCTAACCGCGCTAGTGAAGTGAGAGATCGGCTTGCCGTCAGGCGAGGATGGGTGCCGCCAGACTGTCGGGAGGCTGTCACAGGAAAGAACAAAGACAAGAGCCTCGCTGAGACACGGGATAAATCAAAGGGCACTGTTGAGTCTATTTGGAAACAGGTAAGATTTTGCAATGCCGCAACTCGAGCTGGTAACTGACACCACTAGGTGCATCATTAGCTGTACGGCATGAACTCATACATCCGCAACTTGGTGCCAGGCGAAGTTTCACACGAGGACTGTGTCGTGAAAGTCACCAACTGGAACTTGGCAGCACGCATGCTCGGAGAAGCACCTACAAACGAGACCCCTCAAGAGCAAGAGTCCCAGAAGGCAAAGTTCGTAAAACTGAATGACACCATAGAGGAGCTGCAAGTCCTGCTACACGAAACATAGGCAATTGCGGCCCAAAAAGCAACACTGGAGTCCACGGCGGTAGGCCGAAAGGCGAGCAAAGGTGACCGTGCTTGGGCAGGAAAACGGGCACAGTTCTTTAGGAAACGCCAAGAAGAACGAATCGAGCCTCTTCTGTTTGACGCAAAACTTGTCAGCGCAGCTCATACACGAGCTGCCATACTCCTGCCATTGTTTATCCGCGCAAAGGCCAAGAGGGCTCCAGTTTTGCAGAGATGTCAAACAGAGCAAGTCAAGGCTGGCTTTGATTCTTATCGATTGCAGATCACAGACCATTCTCTGGGACGTGCCACTGTGCACGAGCCTCTATATTGTCTGTGATCTGCAATCGATAAGAATCAAGCCAGCTTGACTTGCTTGTTGACATCTCTGCAGTTTTGGAGTGAGAGAATCAGCGGTGCTGACTTTATCCCGTCGTTCTTCATGCACATTGACGCCTTCGTGGATGTAGTGTAAGCCAGCTGCTCCTATATCGAATACTTATACTAATCACATATTTGTAGTGCTCTCATGGACAACACGCAGTTGATGAAGATATGGAATTGGCGTATGCTGATTACTTGCGATCTCATCCGTCGTTATATTGTTGCGAGGGATTATCTCCAACATTTCGTGCAGCGCCAGCTTGCTTCGTTCGCAATTCGCTCCTATGCCGTCGTATCTTCTAAAGAGATAGAGGTCAAGAAGGTCATCTTCCATCTCAGCCGTAAGCTTACAGAGGCCAAGTAATCGTCGTGGAAGAGCGTCCCGGTACTGGCCAAGAGAGGCCACGAGAATAACAAGTGGCTTGACAACATAGAAATGTCGGAGGACGAACCGGACTGGTCATCTGAAGCCTCGCCTTCAGAGGATGGAGAAGATGGTGACGATGGTGGTGAGAAAGCATTGGCGCAGGCTAGCTGTAGAGGAGCGAATGTACCTCAGTAATCTCTACGCATATGTCAATATCGTAATTATGAAGTGGTGATACAGTACCGCGGAGAATACATGGGTCCCAATGTTGTCAGAAAGAGTCTATGGCTGTTCACCCAGGAGGGCTACAATAATCCGTACTGGACATTCCATAAAGCGAAGTGGTTGCGCTCGAGGTATTTTCTGTCTTTGAAGTTGATGCATGTGCAACATACTTCCTACATCGCATATATCCTGAAGAATCGACTGTCTGTGCCCCCCACTTCTGAACGCGCTAGACTTACGCGTCAAAACTCGGTTCCAACTCTCACCATTCAATCTTCTACTCCTTCATCTCATTCTACTCTCTGCCAGCTTCAGCAGACGGCGATGGACGATTCACTCCACGAAGTGATTGCCAGAGAGGGATTTCCCGTCCTGGGAGTCGATGCATCTGCAACGGAGCTGGTACGCCATATGTGCCCGGACAAAGCTACCACTCTACATGCGCTATCGTATTTCGACGTAGAGTTCGCCCCAAGAATGATCGAAATCCTGACATCTCCCTCACCTCCTACAGTTCAGACTCTACTTGAGTGCACAATTCCAACCGATACCAAGTCAAAGTGGCTTGTATATTTGCAGTTCCTCAAGAAGGTGGGCGACATATAATACCACGTGTACTGTGGCTCTTCGACGCATCCAGAAGGTGGCCCGACGAGACTGGACGAACAAGATGCATACTTCGAAAGGTCGAAACTCTCGAAAGAAATTCAGACAAATTTTACGGATCTCGCTGACAAAGGATACACCCGCTGTGAAACTAGCATCATCGCCGTTGCAGAGATCCCAAAGGACGGTCTTGACTTCATGTTCCTTCGCGCTTACATCTTGATCTTGGGTGCCACACTCACTGTCAAGCTATGGTTCTTCAAGACAGCCACGTATGGCATAGGGTCTAACGATTCACTTTGGAACCAAGCGGAGGTTGTCCATGCAGGCATATACAGCTATGCACAGAAGTGGCTGCACCAAAGGTACATGATGTCTTTGATGAAACTAACATGCGGAGAGACTGGGAAGAAGTAATGAAGGAGGGTATCGAGTGAAAACGATCTTGGAGGCCATACAAAAGAGTTTCAAACAGATGGGGCAGCATACAGCGAAATAATGGATATTAAGTCAGCCAGGATAAAGCACTCTGAGGCAGATACAAGATGGACAGTGATAGAGATGGGTATCAAGAAGGCACCCGCGGAAATCGACAAGGGAGGATGAGCAATAGGTGTTGTGGATGAAAGATGCGTAGAGGACTACACGGCACCAGAAGATCTGCCCAGTTGCATGCTTGGCCGAATCGAATCAGGGAAAATGTAGTTGTGTTAAGAGCCACTGTTGAGTTCCTGTTTAAGTCAATCTTACAAGATTGGATTTCGGCACGTGACCAGCTCTTGGCATGTGACAGTGAGCTTGTCGGCATACATACTACACACACCATGGTGCTCTGGACTTGTCTCTGGGCATTAGATCCCTAGAGACTGCCTGCTTTCATGTTGCCAATCCATATGTATTTAGATCCCCATATGGGGTATTATATACAATGTGACCTTCACAATACCACAACCACCACAACCACCTACAACTTCGCCTTTGTCTGCACCTTCTTCAACAGGGGCTCTATTTTAGCGGCCTTCATCACAGCGCCTTTGACCTTCAATTTCCCTGACATGAACATCCTCTGTGCATTCGCCTTGCCCGCGACTAGCTTTGCGAAGTCGGCATCGTTCGTGATCAGGGTGACATCAGGAGTCTTTCCATCAGGCGCGGCACCCTTTCCGACTGTGCCCGTCTCCTTAAGATCAATGTACCATGTCTCCTGTGCGCCGTTGTTCTTTAGGGTAAAGGCGAAGATGGCGTTGGCTTGCTTGATAGCGTCCTTGCGGTCGGCTTCGGAAGAAAGGGACTGCGCGATCGCGTCAAAGGCGGCGGAGGTAGGGAAAGCGTCTGCGGCGATATTAAAAATGATGGGCTATAGTATGCGATCCAACGGATAGCCTACCGTTCTTGAGAGACATGATGGCCGTGTGTATTGTAGGATGTGTTGGTCAACTCGAGTTATGCGTGAAGGGCTTCAAAGCGCAAGTCTGTATATATCTGTACGATGATTGTGGGGAAAGATATGTCAGAGGCGCAGCGCGAGAAGTCTGGGGTATATAAAGGTGTTCGGAGGCTCGTGACAGCGGTGATGAGGTATTGAAGTGGATCCGGGGAAACATGTGAATGCATGCAGGGGCCACGAACTCCGAACAGAGATGCCGAGGCATGACCGTTTTGGGATTGTGCACGTGGATCGTGGCATCACCAGGTTGGTAACCCCGTGGGGAGGACTCGCATCTCTTGCCTTGCTGGGTATGAGGGAAGTAAATCAAGTGCTTCGAGTTTGTAACGTGTCCGTGCGCGTGATGCGCGGATTCGCGTGATGCGCGGGGAACACCAAAACACGTCAAACCCCTTCACCTTCAACACACGTTAACTCCACCAATATGGACCCAATTCAAGCTGCGATTGAAGATATTGAAAATCTAGAGCCAGGAGAACAGTTCTCGTATACTAAAATTGCTGCTAAGCATGGTGTTGTGAGATCTACGTTGACCCGAAGGCACCAGGGCCAGACAAGCTCAGAAAGAGACAAGAACTTCAACCAGCAGAAACTCAACCCACAACAAGAGCTAGAGCTTGTGAGATATATCGAAAAGCTCACAAAGCGAGGCATTCCTCCTACACGAGAGATGATCAGGAATTTCTCATCAGAAGTAGCCCATCAGCAGCTCAGCGAGAGCTGGGTTACTCGCTTCATCAACCGACACGAGATCCATCTCATCTCAAAGTGGACCAGCGCCATGGATCGTACGCGCCACCTGGCTGATTCTGAGTCAAAGTATAGACTCTACTTCGAGCTGCTGCATCGAAAGATCACCGAATATCACCTAGAGGCTCGAGATATATACAATATGGATGAGAAGGGCTTCTTAATTGGCTTGATAGGCAGAAGTAAGAGGATATTCAGCAGGCGTCAATGGGAGAAGAAGGAGGTTCGAGCATCTCTCCAGGATGGATCACGCGAGTTTCTGACAGTCCTGGCCTGCTGCTGCGCTGATGGGAGCTCGCTGCCTCCAGCCCTTATCTACGCAGCTAAAAATGGAGCTATACGATCGAGTTGGGTAGAAGATATCAAGGCAGGAGAACATGAGGTCTTTGTCTCATCATCTCCAACAGGCTGGTCAAATGATAACGTAGGCCTAGCTTGGCTGGAGCAGGTGTTTGATCGCTCTACAAAGCAACGATCAGGTAGATGGAGATTGCTCATCCTTGATGGCCATGGATCTCACCTCACGATGGAGTTTATTAAGTACTGCGATCGCCATAGGATCCTCCTCATGATCCTTCCTCCCCATTCGACCCATACGCTCCAGCCGCTAGATGTAGTGCTGTTCAAGCCACTCTCTCAAGCCTACTCTAACGAGCTCACTAACCATCTCCATAAGGCTCAAGGCCTTATTCCAATCAAGAAAGGGGACTTCTTCCCGCTCTTCTGGAGCGCCTGGATATCCTCCTTCACAGAGAGCCTCATATTGAAGGCCTTCGAAGCCACTGGGATCTGGCCGATGGATGCCAACGTTATCCTTCGTAGATTTGCTAGCACGCCAGAAGCTGAGAGAAGCTCATCGTCAGGGCTCTCTGATCATGACTGGAGAAAGCTCGATCGGCTAGTACGAGCTGCTGTTAATGATAGCCATCAGTATGAGGCAAGAAAGCTGCGCTCAAGCGTTCACCATCTCTCTGTGCAGTATGAGCTTTTAAAGCATGAGAACGAGGGCTTAAAGGAGGCTCTTCAACATAAAAAGAAGCACAGGAAGAAGGGCAAAGCTCTTGACCTTCAACAGCGCCAGGAGTATCACGGTGGCTCTGTCTTCTGGTCTCCTCGCAAGCTGCGTGAGGCTCGAGCTAGAGAAGCAGTACGGGAGCGAGATGAGACGGAGGAGAAACTCCAAAAAGCACGGTCCAAGAAGCAGCGCGAGGAGGCTCGACTGCAGCGTCAAGATGAGCTCGAGGAGAGGCGTGTGGAGAGGCAGAGACTCAAGGAGATGAGGGAGCTTGAGCGAGCTGAGAAAGCAGCTGAACGCGCGCGCCAGAAGGAGGAGAGAGACGCTGCTAAAGCTATACAACTACCCCAAAAGGGAAAGAGGAGAGCTTCAGCAGCTACCTCATCGAACAACAAGCGTCAAAAACGCGTTGAGGCTGCTCGCGCTGGTGCTCAAGTTCAAGAAGAGCCTCCAGCTCCTCCATCAAAGCTCACATCACGTGGCCGCAACGTCAACCTCCCATCAAAATATAGATAGTACAAGTTGATCGCAAGCATCTAATTACTCCCCCTCTATAAATTCGTATAATAACAGCTTATATACGTGGCTTAATAGCTTCATTTTTGAAGTAGTGGATATGGTGTTCCCCGCGCATCACGCGAATCCGCGCATCACGCGCACGGACACGTTACGTCATTTTGTCTTTCTTTGCTTGTTTTGGATTCGGCTAAAGGTGCGTGGTCGATGGATCTTCTCCTGCTAGACGTATGACAATGCTCTTTCTTCACACAAGTATCTTTCCGTGACCTACCAGCACCCAGAGACAGATTGAAATATCTAAAATGTCGATACCAAGCATGTACTCATTGTACAGCTTATCAACTCCTGACAGTCATGATTCCGGCTTATCCACAACACTTCCGCGCCGCGTTCTCTGGAGTACAGTACAGAAAGCGGACATTGTTACACAGCATGGAATACAGCACATCTGGTTGGTTGTACGTTCTGAGAGGGGGACTTGATACCGGTGAAGACGCGCTAGCACGCGGCTGACATTTAACAACGCGTCCTGCTTTTATCGTCTCCACTCAGCTCAGCTCAACTGAACAGAATAAGTTGACACCACTCTTATTACCTCCCTTATGAAGAGCGATCTCAACAAGACCTTTCGCGAGATCTTCGACAACGATGGAGCAGCATTATATAAACAGTTGTTCCAGGTCCGGGAATTCCAATTAGATCGCAAGGAGTCCGAGCGATGGATGCAACGACCGAGGTTTCTGAAATTGTACAAGCCATCCGATTTCGATGTGGTTGGGAAGGAAACGGACGGCTCTAGGCCTAGGCGAACCATAGCGTTGACGTCTCGGGAAGAAGACAACGAAAGGATAGGCAGGTACATTGCTGTATCATGGCGATGGATCAAAAACGAGGACGTACGAGCTGTTGGCTGCAATACGCAGGCACGCTTTGATTATTATATCAAGAGACCAGGGGAGAAGTCTTACAAAACCGAGTTTCCAGATTGGTTCATGGACCGTGTATGGCGCTTCGCGGAGAGTAAAGGTATTCACAAGATATGGATTGACACGGACTGCATATTTCAAAGGCCAGGAGACGAGGGAAAGTACCCTGAAGATAAGAAACATGGCGTGCAGGCCATGGATCTTGTTTATGGGGGCAGCCTAGCTGTTGGGCTGCTCACAAAGTCTCTTACGAAGCAAGCCGACGTCGACATGCTGGCTGCATTGCTCTCTGAGCAGACATTCACCGGCTTCCAGCTGAAGGAGGATACTGTTCAGGGAATGCTCAAGGTTATTCGTCATGTTCTCAGTGATGATCGTTGGGATCGAGGCTGGATTTTCCAAGAGGATCATCTGGCTTCAAAGAGAATGACATTGCTCATTCCGCACTCTGAAAACATCTCCAAATCTCATCTTAGCGACGTATTTGGAGAACTTTTGGGTGATCTCACCGTCAATCTCGCTCAGTTTCGAAGAACTGTCACCATGTTCTGCCAGGCATGTTCCAAGAGCGGAGAGCACAGATCGCTAAAGGACATCCTGGATAAGGTGAAGCAGTACAACCAATACGACGTACAGACTACCACAACTCTTCGTGTCCTCGACGACGTCTGTAGCCGCTCACTAAAATTGGAAAACGACAGACCCGCCATATTTGCAAATGCACTGCGATTCAAATACCGTCTCGATACCAGCGAAGACTCGTCACTTGCGAAGTCGGACAAATTCAGCATGTCCGTAGTATTCCTCACACTGATCTTGAAGAACGGCGAAATATTCAACAACAACATCAGCACGCTCGACATCCTGTCCTACACCCTCCGCTCCTTGCTGAAAAAGTTGGAATTCAAGATCGATGCCCCACGTCCTGATTACAAGCAAACCTTCGTCGACCATTGCCGCTTTCCAAGCCCGGAAATCTGTGCTCAGGGTATCAAGACCAATGGAATCCTATGGAACCTACGCGATTCAAAGCTCCTAAACCTCAATCCCGGTGAAAAAATGCTGCTCAAACGATACCAGTCCATGCGGCACAGAGGCGCCAGACTCAGCGAAAGAGGCAAAGCAGCAATTGAACTCCTTGCCCGCAAGCTAGCAAGGAACAAGAAAACAAAAAGACTATCCATATATCTCCGCCGCAAAATCAAGCTAGACAAACCAGGTGAAAAAGCCGCAGCATCAACAAACTACATTCTCAACAACCTCTACGCACTATCCGGCGCCCTCCTCAAAGGCCACGAGCTAAGTCTCGGGTCCCCAGATACAGAGACCTACGGAGAACCAGAAGATACGGCCATATTCATAACCAAGCGCAGAGACTTCATGGCTTTCACCAGCTGGGAAGAAGGACCAGATCATGGTCAAGAGCGTTTGGCAAGTCTTCTAGTCACCACGTTCCATGGTTATGAGGGAGTGGGAAAGAAGTACGCGCCACAGGATTCGGATGAAGAGGATGCGCCGTGTGTTTTGAAGAACCGTGGGTGGGTGAATGGGGTGTGGGTTGCGAATAGTGGGGTTAGGGAGAAGGTTGTGTTTCCTGTGCCGGGGATTTTGGAGGGTTGTAGGGAGGTTGGTAGAGGTGTGAAGAGGAAGAGGAAGGCGTGATTTGATGATGATGGTGAGTAGAGTGTGGGTTGGAACTGAAGGATAGTAGATGTTTGCGTTGTTTATGGTAGCGGTTCGGGGTCTCCTATTTTATTTAGGTTGTGGTTAGGGTACTTGCGTAGAATAGAGGGGCGTTCATGATTTGCAAAGGTCTAAAGTCTATTGTATCTTCTAATCATCATCTTCGTGTATCCGCTCCAGGCCTTCTATGGGCCGAATCTAAAACGTCCACTACATTACATCTACGTCTATGCCCATCCTATTCTATAAAGGTTGTATCCACTTTCGTCACCCCGTCCAATGCCCTTCCTCTTTTCCACAAATTCTCTCTCCAGGATCTTGAATGTTGCGCCATACTCATTCTTCGGACATGACTCATCAGCGAATACAGCTTCCACTGTATCCGGTATACCCTCAAACTTCCCCGTCTTGCGCATAGTAACCATGAGCCAGAAAGTACCAGTCGGGGAGAGGAGATGGGCCGCGCAGTCGCGTAGCCAGTTGGCGTGTTCAGGGGCGTAAACAACGTCGGATGCGATAAGGAGATCAGAGGACGATTTCAAATGGGCAGGGGGTTCCGCCCAGTCTAATATCGCAGTTTCTACAGGCGGTGAGCTGTACGAGTTAGGTGGGAAGTTGGTGTCAATATTCGCTTTGCAGTTGTCCAGGACTGCAGGGTGATAATCCGTTGCAGAGATGCTCATGCTTTGGATACCAATCTCAGGAAGTAGTTTCGCCAGCACCAAGCTTACAAGTCCAGTACCGGCACCAAGTTCTGTGATGCTTGCTTGCTCATGAAGTCGAGTTTGATCGAAACCGAATAGGTCCGGATCCGCACACATCATACTGCTCAGTACGATACTAGCACCCCACGACTGAAGTCCGACGGCCGTATGATCTGTCGAAGATAGTGGCGCATCGTTGAGTGTGACTTCAACAGCGTGTCCAGATGAAGTAGGAAAAGAGAAATCTCGTGTGATTGCCTCTTCTTCCTCATCATCGGGGGAGTCGAACAACTTTGACAGAATAAAGCCTGCGTCATCAACAATCTTTTCCCGGACAGACTCGTCAAATTCCAACTCCTCAGCACATGCAATCAGCGAGGTGAGCCATTTGGTGGCAAATGTCCGTTCAAAAGGATCCGTGCGTAGGGCTGCTGTCACCTCCTCGGCATCAGACTCGTCGTCGTCATCTTCGTCCTGCGATGCGTAACCAGAATCAACCGGCTCCGGTGGGGATACAATGGAAGTTTGTTCTCGCTTAGAAGTTGAGTCTGATATGATAGTCGGCAAGCGTACAGGGCAGTACAACGCCTGCAAATTCTTAAGCGCGGTGGCGACCTGGTCCTCGGATGCCACAACCAGCGATCGGATGGATGGTAAACTGCTTGAAGGTGCCAGGCAGTTGCCTGATAAGCTGACACTCATCGGACGCCTCGCCAAACAGCAGAAAGGACACGTTGGCAAACACACCCGCAGAGAAAGAGACAAAGGAACGTGGAGACGGAAGGAAAGAACTGGAGGAAACGTGGAGGCAGGGTCCGAACAAATATAAGAAGCGAGTGACTCAGTGAAACATCGGACAAGGACACGATACTTAGTCTAGTATCAAGCCGCGGACAAATTTGCGTCTTCTAGATCTTTTCACCGCCTGTCGATTGGCATCGTGGGCGCGTGCTTGGGTTCGGGGTGCTTTTGTGCCGATTGGGCTTACTTTGTGCTGTGCGCAGAGCCTCCAACGGTAGCGATACCATGGTACCAATACGACAGTCGTTGTACCGTGGAAATGTGGCCATCTTGCAATGCTTTGATGCGGCGAATTTTGCGTGGGATGGATGCAGCGTGGGTCGCTAGAGCCGCATCGAAATAAGGGATAGCGTAGAATCACGTGCTAGACACCCAAGATATCTCCAACGGACATCCCCGGCCAGCAGACCACATTTCGACGGAACCTAAGAAATCTTGAGCATCTTGGTATACCACAATGGGAACATTTGACGGGATCTGTTGATTATAGCGCTAGTGGCTTGGAAGTGCTTTGCGCGCACGCTGTCCACGATGAACAGCGCAGGCGACGGGTCGGCGGTACTCTGTAACCTTCTTTTCAGCCACAACTCATGCCACAGGGGTGCGAAAATAACTTGTGGTTCGAGTCTTTGGAGAACGCGTTATCTCTGATTTACGCCTTGGATACGAAAAGAGCCACAGCGCAGTTACATTATATGGAGAGACCGGAACGGAGCGGTTTTGTGAATATTGGCTTCGTCGGTCAGTCGACTGACGCGGGACAACTCTCCATGTGGGGCCTAACAATTGTCCGAAGGAATGTCAGAACGCGATCGAACCATTAACAGACAAGATAATACTTTCATGGATACGAGAATCAGTGATTTCGTCTGTTTACGCGCCATATGTACCATTAATTTGGGGGCGTAATGGGCGGGCTGAACACCTGTCCAGCCAGCGCGGCTCGGGGCGTTGATCCAGGCGTCCAGCGCTTCACACCTGCAGTCAACAGCCGTCAAGAGCTCCCTTTCACCCTACGACCGCTCTACAACTACATAGAACACTACCAGACTCCTAAGAAGCTTTGCGAACCTTTCAGCTACCTAAACTCGTTATAAAAGCTCTTCGTTCGCGGTTTGAGCGTGTCAGGAGGCCGGACGATCATGTATTGAGAGTATCGTGAGGGGCCTAACTTGTGCTTACCTACGGACACTGATGACGACACTACTGTCCCTGCACCTTTGCTGCATGTGAAAGTCGGGTCGGTAGATATAAGATTCCATAAAAAGAATGGAATCGCCAAACCTCACCCCGCAGTGGCAGTTCTGGCAAACACAACCGTACCAGCAATCGCCTTCACCGCCAGCGCAATCACCTCATGGCTACCCACAATCTCACGGCCCCGAGTACACACAGTACATGCTGGCGGCAGGATCTTACGTTCAACCGCACTACAGCAACACATCTGGTATACACATGATCGCTGAATTACCGGCACCACTACCGCCATCACCATCTACAACGACCCCAGAGGAGCAGTTGAAGCAAGATGAACTACTTGCGCGCAAGATGCATCAAATGGAACTTGAAGAAGCCAGGAGAAAATCAGAAAGTGCGGTTGGTCAGCATCAACGCCCCGTGAGCATGATGCCACAAGCCTCGCAACAATTGTCACCACCGCTTTTACACCATCACCAATCTGCGCAAACCCTCCGGCCTCATTCAAGAAGCTTCTCCTCAATTCCCAACCAGCGGCCAGTCAGCATGGTACCACCAAATACCCAGCAACTTGCGCCGTTGCCTCTTGCACACCATCGCTCAGCGCAGTCACTACGACCTCACTCTCAAAGCGTAGGAGCAGCGACCGAGCCGTGGAGTCCTGAATCGTTCGCTTCACAACCTAAGCCGCCTCCTATACCACAGCCTACTCCTCAAATTGACCTAAGTCGCTACAGCACATTGCCCGAGGTAGTAGTGGAGTCACACCCAGTATCTTACTACGAACCAAAGCCTCAATCTGAGAGCTTCCCAATTCCCGTCCTGCCAGCCCCACAACAACCAGCCAGACGTCCATCCGTCGCGCTCGATCCATCATCCTTACCTGCATACCTCGAGCAATACCGCCAAGCACCCTACCCACCCCAATGGACCCCACCACCATCCCTCTCCACCTTCTACGCCCACCGAGACCCCAAACCCTCCTCCAGCACAACCTGGCTCGATACCCCCTCAACCTGTTCCTGGAAAACAGTCCGACACTCCGATCCCTCGGCCTCCACCACCCCAGCAGCCTACACCTTCAAATTCAAAGTAATAAACGGCACATTCCGCGCCCCGAAGTTCTCCTGGACAATGACGTACACTGCTTCAGCCTCCCTTTCACCCAGCACCACGAAGAAACCCCCCAAAGACACGTGGGCCTACGAACTCAAACTCGACCCGCGCTCCAACCTCCGCAAATCAGAAACCCTCATCCATGAGAACACGGCTGAAAGACCAATCTTAACAACATACGTTCATGCGCTAAACTACGATTCCTTACGCTTTATCGGACCCGACGGGCGTGCGTACATGTGGGTTTCTAGTTCAAAATTGTCCTGTCTGAATGGCGCTAGGTATGATACGCTGCGGCATGCGTTGTTTGTTGCTACAGGGAATGTACCG